AGATTCTCTACCACTTGAGCCACACCTCCAGTCCACTTTGCTCTGGTTAATTTTGGAGCTGGGGGTCTCCAGAATTATTTTCCCAGGCTGGCCTCAAACCTTGATCCTCTGGATCTCAGCCTCCTAAGTGGCTAGGATTACAGGCGTGAGCCACCAGCGCTGGGCTGCGCTGCAGCTTTTAAAAGCAGCTGACCCCAGCATGGTGTGGGAGTGTTCAGTAACTTCATTTTGTTGCTTTTCCTCTTTCTGACTGATTAAAAATGACTCATGTGCATTCCTGCTTGAGAGGACCTTGGAGTTTATCCCAGCAACCCCACAGCCCCGCCTCATGAGCACAGCAAGGCGGCCATGGCCCAGTCAACACATCCTTCCTCCACAACCGGCCTGGGATGGGTTGCCTGACAACTTCAGAAAACAAGAAAGGTCAAGGGGTCACGTCTGTCCATCAGCTCTCCAGGACTGTCTCCACTGGGCTGACCCCTGAGTGACAGCCTGAGTTTTCCATCCTTTTTTGTCTTTCTAACAGCGGGTTAGCTCAATTTCCAAACCACACAAATATTTTCCTGTCAGCTTCAAACGTTGCCCAGGGGAGCTGGAGCCCAGCTGTGGTCCCCTCGCCTCTGACCACTGGGTCCAGAGCTGACCTGACCGGGGCCCACAGATGCGAGCAAGACTGCAGCGACCGCAAGCCTGAGGCCGTGGGGACATGTGGTCCCCAGATGGTCACTGTCCACACATGGCCAGAGGGACCCGTGGTGTGGAGGAGGAGATGGGTAGAGTTCCAGGGGGCCCGGGGGGACATCACGGAGCTATTGCAGTAACACAGGGAGAGATGTTTATCTGAAGACATTTTATGCAAAATGATTCACGCCATAACACAGTGTCCCCTGCAGAGGGAAACAAACACATTTTGTCCTCGTAAAACTCCTGTGATCTAATCTCTGGAGGGGACAGTTATCTGGGAGGGGTGAGAATTAACAAAGTTATTCTCAGTGACGCCATCCTTCCTTCACCCTTCTTCCCTTGTGCAATTTGTTTGTTTGGTGGTGGTGGCCCTGGGGTTTGAACTCAGGGCTCATTCTTCTTTGGCAGATGCTCTGCCACTTGAGCCATGCCCCAGCCCTCTTTTGCCTGCTTTTTGTTTTTCATTTTTTTGTTTTATTTTATTTTTTTGGCAATACTGGAGTTTGAACTCAGGGCCTCATGCTTGTTAGGCAGGCGCTCTACCACTTGAGCCACTCCAGCAGCCCTTGTTTTTTATTTTTGAAAAAATAAATTAAAATTGGGTCTCACTTTTTTGCCTGGGGACAGCATCAGCACGAACTCTTTCTACTTATGCCTCCCACGTAGCTGGGATTACAGAAATGTACTCCCATATCCAGTTTGTTCATTAAGATGGAGTCTCACTACTGTTTTTTCCCTAGGCCAGATTAAAACTGTGATCCTCTTGATCTCTGTCTCCTGAGTAGCTGGTGTGGGCCACCACATGTGGCCCCAGTTTTTGTCAACTTAACAACAAAAAAAAAGGGTGGTGTCGTGGATTACTTGATAGACTCCAATTGTGTGGTATCAATTTTTCAAACATGGCTTTCTTGGGTTGGGTTGGATATACGTGTGTGTAAAAACCAAGGATTCGGTTTGAAATGAGAAGGTTGTGATTCTTTAAACCAGTGGTTCTGTATGACTGAGCCCTTGAAGGGAGACACGGGGACCCCAGTCTCTTCCTCTCTTTCACTTCCCGGCTGTCAAGACTGAGCCTTTTCCTCCCACACGTGCTCCTGCCATGATGTGCTGACCCACCACAGACTCCAAAGCAATGGAGGCCAACTGACCATCCACTAAACCGTCAAGACCATGAGTCAAAAACTCTCCTAGCCAGGCACTGCTGACTCACACCTGTCATCCCCACTACCTGGGAGGCTGAGATGGGGAGGATCAAGATTCAAGGCCAGCCCAGGGAAATAGTTTACAAGACCCCATCTCCAAAAACCAGAGCAAAATGGACTGAGGAGTGGCTCAAGTGGTAAGCTGGCTCCTTTGCAAGCATGAAGCCCTGAGCTCACACCCCAGTCCCACCAAAAAAAGAATACAAGAAGATAAACCTTTCCTCTTTCTAAGCTGATTTTGCCACGGTGATGGATAGCCAGCTAACACAAATGAATGAAATAGTAGAATATTATTCAGCCACAAAAAGGGATGACAATACGGATGACCCTCTCAAACACTGTGCTCAGTGAAAGAAGCCAGACACAAAAGGTTCCATATTCCATTATACGAAATGTTCCATGGTCAGGCACAGCCTGTTCTCCCTTCAGCCTTTGGGGCCCTGCTCTGAGACCCTGGGCTATGAGTCCCTGACCCCTGTGGGCAGTGGGACTGCATATCAGCCTCCCCCCAAATGTCCAGACTGATGGGCACCTGGCAGTCACAGGAGAACGCTGGCTACAGGGAAGGACCAATGCGTTCCCTGTCCACACTGAGATACCATTTGTCACAGGTGTGCTAGGATCTGTTAGTCTGTTAGTTTGTGGTCCGGTGCTAGGGACAGAAGCCCTGTTGGGCAGGAGCTTTCCCCTGGGCTGCACCCAATCCGGTCCTGACCACTGCTCACACAGTGGTTTGCCCTCATGGGAGGTGTCGGTCCTAAAATGACCACACCCTGCAATCTCACACAATCAAACTGTGGTTCTCATGGGAGAACAAGTCCAGCGACAACCCTCAAATTTTCCTGTCACAGAAAAAATAAATCAAAGAACCCACTCAAACCCAAAAACCAACTGTAAGCCATGTAGAGCCTGAGGTTGCACGACTACTACAGTATGTACGGTACTGGCCTTGGTAGTACCGTATTCACTGTAGTATTGGGGAATAGGGGTGGGCAGATGGCAGACTGTGAAAGGCTGGGAGGAGGTCCCCTGAAATCAGATGGGACAGGGAGACCCCAGCTCCTAATACAGGGGTGCATAAGTGTGGTTTTCTGTACTGCACCAGTGAGCTATGGGTTATTTTTATTTTGCGGTTCTGGGGACATATGGTGTCTTTTTTTTTTTTCTTTCCTTTTTAAACAGGGTCTTGCTATGTAGCCCAGGCTGGCCTTGAACTTGAGCTCCTCCTGCTCAGCTCTCTGAGTGCGCCTGGTTCTGCTTTTGTTTTGTTGTTTGGTGGGACTGGGGTTTGAACTCAGGGCTTCGCACTCGCAAAGCAGATTCTCTACCACTTGAAGCACACCTCCACTCCATTTTGCTCTGGTTATTTTGGAGCTGGAGTCTCACACTTTTTGCCTGAGCTGGCCTCAAACAGTGATCCTCCTCATCTCAGCCTTCCAAGAAGCTAGGATTACAGGCGTGAGCCACAGGCACCTGGCTTTAACTTTATTTTGAGACTGACTTTAATAGGGGATCCTATTGATCCAGGCTGGGCTCAAACTTGGAATCCTCTTGCCTCAGCCCGACGAGTAGCTGGGATTTCAGGAGTGCACCCCCGCGCCAAGCTTGTTTTGGAGTGCTACAGGGTGTCACTGACTCTTTTGTCCTGGATGAGTCACAATCCTTCCATTTCCATCTCCCGAGTGGCTGGGATTAGAGGTGTGCACCACCACCCCTAGCTGTTCTTTATACAACTGGCAACGAAGTAGGTTGGTTTGCACCCGTATCACACCTGACCTATCGTTGTGCAATAAGATCCACTACGATCTTATGGATCCACGAGTGCGAATGCAGCCCACTGTGACTGATGGTAGTGTGTCCCTGTACTGGAAGTTACAGAGGGCTCAGGGCTGGACGGATGGGGCTCGGAGGGGACAATCCTCCTGGTGTCTCAGCAGGAGAGACCAGTGCCACTCCTGACCCCCATCTACTCCAGCCCCCCCCATTGTCATTTTCTCCATGCATAGTGAGGACAGGTACTGCCTGTCCTGGGGTCTTCTCCAGTTGGCCTGGTGCTTCCTAAGTGGGTGGGGAGCGGGAGGCATTCAGCGGGCCCAGGTGCCTGGGAGCAGCCAGGGGACCAGGGATGCCACCGTGGAGGTAGGAGTTGGGCCAGCAGAGCAGGTAGGTAAAGGGGAACCAAGAGTTTGAGCCAAGGCAGGCAGTCCAGCGGGAACAATGTATCCAAGAACTAGGCCATTCAAAGCCACTTGTGGACAGCCAGATTTAGCCTCGATCCTGATAAACAGGGAGGAGATGGGGTAGGAGGTGTGGGGGGGGATGAGACTGGAAGCTTGAGAGTGAGGGGGTGGCATCATTAGAGAGGTGACACAGGACTTGGCTATGACAAAGGAAGGATTTCTCCTCCATCCACCTCAGGAACTCAGGACAGCAGGGACATGGCTATGGTGGAAGGGTAGGGAAGGGCAGCTCTCTGCCCACCCTGCTGAATGCTGAGGGAAAAGGGAGCCCTGAGGCGGGGTGGGGGGAGAAGGAAGAGGGAAAGGAAGGGAGTTGTGGACAGTGCGGGTGGGGCCTGGAAGGTCTGACTTCTGCCCAGCCTCAGTCTCCCCAAAGGGTCCCGGCATACAGCACCAGCGAGGTGGAGGTAAAGGTCACCGGACACAGCAGTCCCCAGTTCTGGGGTCGCAGAGGGAGAAGTTGCCAAGCCAGGCACATGCAGGCAGCTCGCTCGCAAAGAGGGGCCGGACAGTGGGCGTGGCCAGGGAGGGTGGGCCTGGTCGTGCGGAGGGCGTGGCTAGGAAGGGGCGGAGTCAGGTCGCACGGGGGCGTGGCCAGAGAGGGGCGGGGCGTGGTAAGTTGTGAGGCGGGGGCAGAGCCAGGGAGAAGCGCGATCGAATCGCGAGGGGGCGTGGCCAAGGGCGTGGCGTGGGCGTGACATGGGCGTGGCCAGGGCGAGCTGGAGGTTGAGGAGCGAGTGGCCAGGTCGCCCCAGCTCGGCCGGGCGCGGAGCGGGATGCATGGCGCCGGGCGCTCGGGGCTGGGGCTGCGAACAAAGGCTCGGACCTGAGACCCGGCCCGGCCCCCGCCAGGCCCCTTCCCGGGGCGCGGAGCCCCAAAATGAGGGGCGCCCTGCTCGGGCCGCCGCTGCTCCTGCTCCTGCTGCTGCTGTCGCCCGTGTCACCGAGGGACGGCGTGCACGCCGCGCAGCCCCAGGCCCCGTGAGTACCCGTGGGGACAGAGGCTGGTGCGGCTGAGAACCGCAGCGACACTCTGAGGTGGAGTCGGATCCCCAAGGCCGAATCCCCCCTGAGGCTTCCAAGGTGGCCGGCAGACTCACAGGGACATCCCTCTGACCCCCAAAGCTCAAAGGATGCCAGGCCAGCCCCAGCCCCCCCACTTTGTCTCCTGGGGGAGTGACCCGGGCTGTCATCTTGGGTAGCAACACCCAGCTTCCCTAGGCATGAAGGTAAGCGGGCGCGTGTCCCCAGAGGTGGCAGGAGAGGTGACAGGACTGCCCTCCTGGGTGGGCGTGGCAGGGGAGGAAGCTGTGTTTTGCTTAGACATTTTTCTGGAAGTTTGCTTACAGGCTTTCTGGTGGGTTGAAACTGGCAGGAGGTGAATTAACTGCTGGAGACAATCTCTTGCCTGGCTTTGTAGGGACTGTTACCAGATCAGCTAAGTTCAAGGCTGGGAGGGGGCTGCCCAAGTTCAGCCTTTCAGTGCAGCGGTTTAGGAGGTGGCTTGTTCAAATAGTCCTTATTTATTAGAAGTTTCCAGAAAACAGGTAAACAGCAAGAGGAGGTGTGTGGGGGGGTCATTACTGGTGACAGCTGGAGAAGTCATTCAAATGTCCTCTTGTGTGCTGAGCTTTGGGCGTTGTGAAATCAGAATTCTGGAAATGAATATGATGTTTCTTTCAAAACTGGTGTCCCCTAGAATCAGGGCTTTCTGTACGCCCGGAGTGATTTTCGTCTCCTTCGAAGTGACCAGCGATGTCTGGGGGCATTTGGATTGTCATAGGTAAGGGGACAGGGACGCAGTGCTGTGGGAATCTACCAGGGAGAGGCCAGAGATGCAGGTAAATATCCTGCCATGCACAAGACAGTCCCCCAGCACAGACGGCGACCTGGTCCCTAAGGAAAGGTTCTGGCTTTGAAAGATCAAATTCAGAATACTTGAGTTGTAGTCTTGTTTGCTTGTTTTGGTTTGCAGTGCTGGGGATGGAACCAGGGATTCCGCCATGCTAGGCAAATGCTCTACCCCTGAGGTCCACCCAGGGCCGTGGGTTACAGGGTTTTAAACAGTTCTTGGGGGGTAGTCATCTTTGACTAAAGCTATTCCACTAAAGTGAAATGGATTTCCTGTGCCAAGAAGACAATGGGAAGAGAAGTCCACAAAAGACTGATCCAGGATTCCTTCCAGATTAGCCAGCCTCTAAGCCACAGTCATAATTTGTCCAGCTCAAAGAATCCAGTTTGGAAAAGTCCCACGTTTGCACAGTTGTGAGACCAATTCTGTCTATGCTTAACCGAGCACCCAGACATTCTGAGAAAGATGACACCAGTGTCGAACAGATGTTTGAGGATGGGTCAGCTGTGACAGTGATCAGCTGGCAGACATCCAACAACCCCAACTTCTAAATAGTAGAGATTCTGCCCTTCCTATTTGGTTATGCGACGTTCTGTGGGCAATGGCTTGAAGACTCAAGCGCAGACCTGGGTGAGGACTTTAAGAGGTGACCAAGGAAAATGAGTATGTAGATTGCGTAGTTCCCAAAATTTCTTTGACGCTCAGCACATGCTATAAGCAAGATCCATCCAAGTTCTAGGGATCAGACAGAAAGATTCTTTTTGTAAATTTTGTTTTTGGTGGTACTGGGCTTGATCTCGGGGCCTTCACCTTCAGCCACTCCACCAGCCCTTTGTGTGTGTGTGTGTGTGTGTGTGTGTGTGAATGGTATTTTCAAGATAGGGTCTTGTGAACTATTTGCCTGGGCTGGCTTCAAACCACAATCATCCTGATCTCTGCCTCCTGAGTGTCTAGGATTACAGGTGTGAGCCACTGGAGCCTGCCATGCTGTACCTTGTAAGCACTTTGTATGGCTACAGAAACTTTGTGACTTTCTATGGAAGGTGGCAGACTCCTGGAAGCAGGAGTCCAGGTGAGGAGGACCTGGGTTTTCAGGTCAGGTCCTCCAGGGCCCTCACTCTGACTGGTTGTGTGATCTGGTCTCTGTTCCTTATCCTTCTGGAATGTTGGCTTCTCGTCGTGCAAGTGGACAATGACATCTTCATTCCAGAAGTGTCTTTTTCAGTCAATCTGAGGTTTTCCATACAGTGAGAGCTATCTTGATTCCATCATTCAAAGAGTTTTTTCTGTTTTAGGTAATTTACTTTAGTTTTTTTTTTTTTTCTGGATTTGTTCTTTAAAATGAATGAATGCTGGCAGGTGCCAGTGGCTCACACCTATACTCCTAGGCAGAGATCAGGAGGATCGTGGTTCAAAGCCAGCCCAGGCAAATAATACACAAGACCCTATCTCGAAAATACCGAACACAATAAAAGGACTGGTGGAGTGGCTCAAGTGGTAGAGCACCTACCTAGCAAGTGTGAGGCCCCGAGTTCAAATCCCAGTACCACCAAAAAAAAATTAAAAATAAAGAAGGAATGCTACAAAGAAGTCCCTTGCTTCTTTCCCACTGGGTTCTGGGATCTGACCACCTGTGATAGAACCCTGGTCTCTTGCTCACTGGGACATATGACTTGCTTCTTTGGGACTTACTTTTTGACTATGTGAATAATGGTAATATTGACATTTCTCCCAGGGTAGCCGTGAAGATGAGTTATAGAAGAGGGTCTTTCAGACACTGGGCACAGCAGGTGCAAAGGTCCTGAGGTAGAAGAAGAAGCCAAGAAAAGAGAGCTGAGGCTGGAATACAGAGAGTAAGGGATGGGGGCACGTGATGATGAGGTGATCCAGTGATGCTGGATTCTCACCCAACATGGAGGCTTCAGAGGTGAATAAGCCAATTTCAGGCCTGAAGGACTGGTGAGAGATGCATCTATATAGAGTGACAGTGTCCGCCCCTGCATGGTCAGAGAAAGGAAGGACTCTGTCCCTGTCACAGCCAGGGTGGCAGTGAGGCCAGGAGTGGGTGAGACCTTCACTTCCATTTTTCCCTTCTCACAGGGGCTATTTGATTGCTGCTCCCTCTGTCTTCGCTCAGGAGTAGAAGAAGTCATCAGCGTGACCATCTTTAATGTCCCAAAGGAAGTCACAGTCCAGGCTCAGCTAGTGGCCCAGGGCGAGGTGGTGGCCCAGACCCAGGGAGCCATCCTGGGTAAGTCCCTGGGTGCCCAACTAGGGAGGGCGAGAAGAGAGTTTCTTTCACAGACGGAGAAAGTAAGACCCAGCCTGGGAACAATAACCAGAGGACACTGGTCCTCAGCAGCCCTGGTTCTTGGCTGTAGATCTGGACAGAGCCGGGATGCCCTTTCCTGTGGTTTTGGCTGCGGGTGGGACGGGGACCTGGTGGGGATCCCATGCCCACTTCAGACTTTTTGTTAAACTTCCTGCACCCTGTGTGTGAAACCCAGACCTGGACCCGCAACCAGTCTCCCCCACCTCCCTGGTCAAACGCAGGTCACAATAGTGCCAGCCTCCTGGGCAAAGACCCTGCCCTGAGGAGTGGAGCAGTGTTGCAGGGCAGGTCCTCAGTCCCCATGGAGAGCATCGTGTCCCCACAGGAGAGACAGAGGACGTCAGGGGCTCCTGTCCCCTGGGCAGGCAGAATGCAGGGGCTTAGGGAGACCTCAGGGGCCAGCACTGAAACCCAGGTCAGGCTGTCTTCAGCAACTGAAAGTTTATGGACTTCTGTAACCAGACCCAGTCACCACATCCAGGGGGCCACTTTGCGCACGTGCTCACGGGCACTGTCTTGCTCTAAAAGATCAGAGGGCGGGCCAATTTGTCAGGCTCAGTAGATAAAACCACAGGATTCTCTCTGATTGGCCTATCTTGGGTCACGTGCCCAGTACTGAGCCAATCCCCGTGTCCAGGGGAAAGGCCGATGTTGATTGGCCTGTTTTGATCATGTGCTAACCCTGAGCCAGTCCCTGTGATCAGAGAGAAGGCCTGTGTTGATTGGCCTGTTTTGGGTCACGTGCCCAGCCCTGAACCAATCCCTGTGGAGCACAGCCCCAAGGGAGGGGTGCGGCGGCCCTTCGGAGCCTCCTGGACCGGGAACTTGGCAAAGGGTTGGGTCCGTCAGTAGACGATGGGATGCACCAGCCCAAGAGGAGTCAAACCAGAAGACGGCATATAAGTGATGGAGGCCGGAAAGCCCAGGAGAGATGCGGGAACCGCAGATGACTCAGTGTGGGTGGAAGAGTGAGGCGATGGCGGGAGACCAGTCGGGTCTGCTGGGCTGAGGTCCCCTGGGGACCTCTGTCTCCGCTTCTTTCTGTCCACCCTTCTCTCTGTGCCTGACCCTTGGTGTTTCTGGGTGACTCCCCTCACAGCTGACTTTGGGCGAGGGCCAGGGCTGAGTGACTTCCATAGCAGGCAGGCCGACTGTCCCCCGCATGGCTGAGTTTTACCCAGCCTCTGGCCGTCAGCCCGTGTCATATTGGAGAAAATGTCTCACGTTGGTGATGCCAGGCCAGCGTGATCCAGGCTGTGTCTATCCACAGAACACCCCCGGGTGAGAAAGTCCTGTGGGTGAGGCTGCAGCTCAGGGAGGCAGGGAAAGACAGCTCTCGATTTAACATTCTTAAATTTTATTTTTATTTTTAGATAGAGGGACACTCAAACTCAAGGTAAGCTGTGAATTGTCTGTTTGTTGTTTGTTTGGTAGTCCTGGGATTTGAACTCATGTCTCACGCTTGCTTGGCCAGCACTGTACCACTTGAGCCACTCCACCAGCCCTTTTCTGTGATTGGGTTTTTTGAGATAGGGTCTCGCAAACTATATCCTCACCTGCCCTCAAATCACAATCCTCCTGATCTCTGCCTCTTGAGCAGCTAGAATTACAGGCGTGTGCCTCCAGCGCCCTGCAGATTTACGCTTTAAAGATTATTTTCAGTGGGGTTGGGGTGCAATTTGATGGTAGGGCACTTGTGTTCCATCCCCAACACCACAAGAAAGAAAATAAAAATGAGATTTTCTGTGAGCTGGAGGGGGCTGGTGGAGTGGCTCAGCGGTACAGGCCTGCCTAGCAAGCATGAAGCCCTAAATTCAATCCCCAGTGCTGCCAAAAAAAAAAAAAAAAAAGTAATTGTTTTAGAGTTTTGATGTTATAATCCAAGAGCTGTATCACCATTTTGAGTGCCTTCTTTAGGTTAAACCCCAGGGTCAGGGTCCCACTCAGTGTCTCTCTGGGTCTCACTTTGTCATAGACAATGTGTCCGAACCCTTCACCGAACCACATGCAATATGTTAGAGGCCAAATACTGCATTAATATTGATTCTTGTTTGGCTTGGTTTCGAGACAGGGTCTCACTGTGTAGCCCAGGCTGGCCTTGAAGTTGCCATCCTCCTGTTGTGAGCTTCTCATGTGCTGGGATTCCAGGCATGCACCACCTCTCTAGGCAAGGACTACGAGATGTTTTCTTTCTTTTTTTTTTTTTTGTGGCACTGGGGTTTGAACTCAGGGCCTCACACTTGCTAGGCAGGTGCTCTACCATTTGAGCCACTCCACCAGCCCTTAACATTGTCACTTGAAAATGATTTTACAAGCCAAACTATGCTGACATGGAGCTTTTAAACTGGCATCCTCAATTCTCAAGGAGTTGGTAATTCCTGGAATTACAGGCATTTTCTGCATTAGCTGTTCCCTAACTTTTAGCAGTTGTTTGGAGACACCCATGACCAATTGGACTAAACTGAGAATTATTCTACATATAATGTTCCCCATCCCAGTGATCAGGGTGAAGGGAGGTGGCTCCTCTTCCACTGGGGATGTCACTGGTGTCTGATTGCTACAGGGCAGCTGTCTTCCTGCTGTTTTCTTTTCCTTTCCTTTTCTTTTTCTCCCCTTCCTCTCCTTTTCCTCCCTTTCCCTCCCTTTCCCTCCCCTCTCCTCTCATCTCCTTTTTCATGGTGCTGGGAATGGAGACATTTTCGGTGGCCACAATTGAGGAGAGGCCTGGCGGGTGTGTGAGGGTCAGGGGCACAGTTCAACCCTCCATTGCCCAAGACAGTCCCCACCTTGGAGAAATGACCCAGTCTCAGATGTCAACAGTTGGGAAACCCTGAGTGAAAAAAGCTCAGGGCTGCTAGCAAATGAACTTACAGCCTTAGATGCTTGTTTGATTCAGATTTTTTCACACTCACCCACGCGTCTCGTCACACGTGTCTGTCAAACATCTCTTCAGTCCTCATCGCGGGGGACATTGGACACATTCCCTTCTCTCCCAATCACCAGCTTGGTTGGTTGGTGGCGGGCAACAGGGCGGGTCAGACAATAATGATGCAATTGTGTAAATATATCAATTTAGACAATAGAAAATATGTGACTTTGTTTAAAAATATATCATGGTGGCCTGTAATCCCTGCACTTGTGAGGCCGCAGCAGGAGGACTGCAAGTTCAAGGCCAGTCTGAGCTATATAGCAAGATTCTGTAAAAACAAAAATGTATATATGAAAGAGATAAAGTGCTACTTTTATATGGCAGGGAGGGTCCCTATGAGGACATGACATTTGAGCTGAGATCAGAAGGACCCACATGCAGAGAACTGGGAAGGGCATTCCAGGCAGAGGTAACAGCCTATGCAAAGGTCCTGGGGCAGGTGGATCCTTTCTTGGGCAAGCTTGGCAGACAGACACACAGATCTGCCTCCGCTGCCCCATACTTGAGTCTCCAGAGAGAGTCCCGGCCTTCTGGGATCTGGCGGCCAGGTGTCCATCTCACTGCTCACCCAAGCTCACATCCAAGGGTTGCACTGGGTCCATGGGCTGCACCCTGGGCTTCCAGATGGGACCTGCCAGGCTGCAGGAGCCCCTGGGGAGGCAGGCAGCATACTTTAGTCTGGGTCCCACATCTGGACCCATGGGGGGTCTCTGTGGCCTGGTGGCACAGGGTAATGCCTGTACCTCTGTTTGTGCATTGGATGGGGCGCTGGGGCCTCCAGTGGTGCCAATTTTTCCTGGCTTCCTCCCTGAAGAGGCTGTCACATGTCCCTTACTTGAATTTCAGCCTCTCCCTGATCCCCTTGGCTGTCACTGATACTAAGTGAGTGAACTTAGATTTCTGAGGTCAGGCATGGGAATGTATTAGTCTGTTTTCTGTTTCTATAACAAAATACCTAAGGCTGGATACTTTATAAAGTAAAGAGGTTAAGTAACCTAACCACTTCTCACTGGGTCCCACCTCTTAAAAGTTTCACCATCTCAAGCTTTCAGCATGTGAACTTTTGGGGGAAACAGTCACACATAGTGGAGGGGGAGGATCTGCTCCAGTCTAGAATATTCCAGAAAGGCCTCTGGGCCAGTAGGAGCAAGACCAGGCAGGATTGAGGCTTCAAGATGTAGGAAGGGGAGTCCTGCAACTTTGGGAACCTGGGATCGGTCACTTCATGTCTCCAAAGGCCTCCTTTGACTGGGGCTCAGTCCGTTCAGGAGGTCCCTTGTCACGTCCTCGTGAGAGGGTCTGACAGGCTGGTCATCCATGGAAAGAAAGCAGTCCAGCCAGGTGACGTCCTGCATCTGAACCTCGGCTTCCTCCCTTGATATGGGGACCTGTTCTCTCCTGGGGCGGGGGGGGGGGCCCAGGACATTTACCGTCTTCACCAGTGAGCATTGGGTCACAGCTGAGAAGTTTCCAGAAACAGCGCAGGTAAAGATTAGGGGGTAAGTGGTCCCTGTGGCTGGTCCTGAATGGGGACTGAAGCCCAGAGGGACATCGCCCCCTTTCAGGCCACACATGGTAACTGCACAGGACAGACAGGAGGGAGGTGGAGGAGAGATGGCCGGCCTGACCCTGGCGGGGGGGTGGGGGGGTTCCCAGGGATGAGGGGTCCTGGCAGCCTGACCTCACCTGTGCAATGGGCACCATGATGCCAACCCCCACAGGCCAGGTCGGATCATTCGTGAGTACAGGGCGGGGTGCTGACCAGTGTCCATCCCCTGCCCCTTGGGGAAGCAGGTCCCTGAGTGCCAGTAAATGAGTGCCAGGGAGGGGAACCCCACATTTGGATGGTCTTAGGGATGGTTCCCCACGCGAACTGCTGAGGGGTAATGTCCACTGGCTGAGCGCCCAGGCAGGGCACAAGCATCACCGTCACACAGTCTGGTCACACAGAGGGAGCTATGAGTTCGTTTAAGTTCAAAAGGAGCTGTGCACTGGGTTTTGTGTTTTTTTTTTTTCTAGGTATGTAGCAGCTATAAAAAAAAATTTAGATTTTAGTTTTTTTGTGGTACCAGGGCTTGAACTCAGAGCCTACACCTGGAGCCACTCCACCAGCCCTTTTTTTGTGTTGGTTTTTTTTCAAGATAGGGTTTCGTGAACTGTTTGCCCAGGCTGGCTTCAAACCATGATCCTCCTGATCTCTGCCTCCTGAGTAACTGGGATTACAGGTGTGAGCACCCACACCTGGCCATTTTAGCCATTTTAAAGTGCACAACTCCATGGCGTTTAGCACATTCTGTGTGTTCAACCATCACCTCTGTCTGGTTCCAGTACATCTTCACCCCTGCAAAAGGAGACCCCATCCCCTCCTCCAGCCCCTGGCAGCCCCCAGTCTGCTTCTGTCTGTGGATTTGCCTGTTCTGACGTTTCCTATCAGTAGGATCACACACCATGTGGGCACAGTTTTTAGAGTAAAGCGAGTTCAGAAGTTGAATGCTGTTTGTACGTAACACATATGATATATATAATCGGCTATGTCTATTCCTGGATTGGGAAATCTTTGACCAGCTGGGTGCAGTGACTCATGCCTGTAATCCCAGCTACTCAGGAGGTGGAGATGGGGAGGATCCCCATCTGAGGTCAGTCAGGCAAAAAGTATGAGCCCCTATCTGAACAATATCTAAAACAAAAAAGGCTGGGGGCATGGCCTAAGCAAGTGCGAGGCCCTGAGTTCAAACCCTGGTGACACACTTGCCATTATTCACTAAACAATATGGTACCATGCCTATTTGCATGACATTTGCATCTCATTAGGCATTCTGAGTCATCGAGATGATTTGAAGGACATGAGTTCTATGCACACATCACACCACCATAACTGATTTGAGCATCTGAGGATTTGGACTTCCTAGGGAGTCCTGGAACAAATCCATGACCTCATACATAGACATGGAAATATAGACATGCAGATGAGGGGCGGGGTCACTGCCCTTCCTCATAGGTTGTGGATGCAGTTGGGCAAGATGAGAGACAATTGTCTTTTTTAAGTGATGCTGGCTTTGAACTCAGGGCCCCATGTTTGCTGGACAGGCTCTCTACCACTTGAGCCACTCTGATAGCCCTTTTTGTTTTAGTCATTTTTCATGAGTCTTAAGTCTTTCCCTGAGTTGACCTGGACTGTGATCCTGATCCTGCTTATGTCCCCCTTGTAGCTGGGATGGCAGGCGTGTCCTACCACACCCAGCTTTATTGGCTGAGATGGGGTCTCACTGACTTTTTGCCCAGGCTGGCGTGGAACCTCAGTCCTCCCAATCTTCAAGTCCCTTGTAGCTGGGATTCCAGGCTTGAGCTACCGTAGTGCATTGCTTGGAAAATGACCAAAACTCACTTTCCTACCTCATAACTTTATGCCGGATGGGGTTTCCCAGCCTGACACTGTTGACATTTGTGATTGGCAGCTGTCCTGTGTGACCCCAGCAGCTTCCCTGGCTTCCACTCACCAGAGGCTAGTAGCAGCTCATCACTGTGATATCCCAGAATATCTCCAGGTTCTGCCAGTGTCCCCTGGGGAGGCACAGTCATCTCCAGATGACCACCTGCCTTCTACACCTCCAAGCTGCTTTCTCAACACCCAGGTCTTCTGGGGTGACCCCTGGACCACATAGCTCCATGCTTTGACTGCAGGTGCCCACGGGCCTGCAGGGCCCGGCGCTCCTGAAGGTGTGGGGTCACCACGGCCATGGGGAGGAGCAAGGCACCTTGTTCCACAACCAGACCTCGGTGACCGTGGATGGCCGGGGTGTCTCAGTGTTCATCCAGACAGACAAGCCGGTGTATAGGCCCCAGCACCGAGGTGGATGGCTGGCATGGCCCTGGGGACGGGGAACAGGGGACAGCAGGGGCCTGGAGCTGTCACATGCCTGTCCTCTTTTTTTTGTTTTTTATTCTAGTGCTAATCAGTGTCTTCACCGTGTCCCCAGACCTGAGGCCGGTCAGCAAGAAGGTGGGATTAGCTTTGAAAGTTGGGTGTTGTGGGGGGCGGAGTGGCTTGGTGGCAGAGGCTGCTGAGCACATGGACAAAGCTCTGGGGTTCCATTTCCTAGCCCTGCAAAAAGGAAAAAAAAAAAACAAAACAGGAATTTTACAGTGATGCAACACTGCTGCTCTTGTTGCAATGATATTCCTTTCGAGATAGGGTCTCTTGGACCATTTGCCAAGGCTGGCTTCAAACTGCGATCCTCCTGAGTAGCTAGGATTACAGGCGTGAGCTACCAGAGTCTGGCAAAAAAAAGTTTTTTAAACCTAAGTTTTTTGGAGTCAAACCCCATCCCACCATAGGAGACTTTAACTTGGGTATTTGGAGGATGGGAACACAGTGCAGTCTATAACCACAATTGTGCCTGAAGGTAGACCAGGCATTGAGGGCTTGGGAACTTTCTGGAAGGTTTGTTCACTGCTGCCTCTCTGTGTCTGTATTGCAGGTGGAAGCCTATGTCCTGGTGAGTGACCTGCTCCCCTCCTCAGCTCTGATGTGGGGCTCCTGTGAGCCCACCCTCTGCATATCTGCTCTGATTTCTTTTTTGGTGGGATTGGGGTTTGAACTTGCAAAGCAGATATACTACCCCTTGAGCCACACCTCCAGTCCATTTTGCTCTGGTTATTTTGGAGAGAGGGTCTTGTGGACTATTTGCCTAGGCTGGCCTTGAAGCCTCCCAAGTAGCTGGGATTACAGGCGTGAGCCACTGGTGCCTGGCTGTGATCTGAGTTCTGGGCCACCTGTGGACTACTCTCTGTCTGTCCCAGTGTTTCACATGCTGGAGCCGGGCCTCTTCTGCCTGACCCAGGCCTTTCCAGTTCCCAGGCATGCCTGGGGACAGACCGAGGCTGCTCCTTTCAATGTCAGCTTGCACAAAGCTCCCTAAACAAGGAGACAGGCCCAGTGTGGCTGCCTCTGCGCCCAGATCCTCAGCCTCATCCCTTCCCCGTCAGGGGCTTCCTTTAACGACTTAACCTGGGGAGAGAAAGGGCCGAAGATTCTTATGCTGGGGTTCACAGTGTGCTCTGCCCCTGTAGGACCCCCAGGGCTCTCAGATAGTGGAGTGGAGACACTTGAAGACCTTATGCTGTGGTATGTTTAGTTTTTTCTCTTCTTTCTGGTGGTACTGGGGTTTGAACTCAAGGCCTCACACTTTCTAGACAGACGCTCTACCTCTGAGCCACTCTGCCAGACCCCCTTGTTTTTGAGATAGGGTCTCAAGTTTTGCCCTGGCTGGCCTGGATCTCAGTCTTCCTGCTTATCCCTCCTGTATAGCTGGGATGACAGGTGTGTGCCACCACTGAAGGTTGGGGTGGGGTCTTGTGAACTGTTTGCTCAGGCTGGCCTCAAGCCTCTGTCCTCCCAGTCTCCACTCCCAAGTATCTGGGATTACAGGCATGAGCCACTATACCTGGCCGCATTTCTTTTTTCCCTTCCTCTCTTTTCTTCCGCTGTGGTGTGCAGTTCTCAGCTTTTGGGCTGCAGGTGTGATACATCTTCAGAAAAACAGAATGTGCTCTGTGTGTGTGTGGTCCAGTCCCTGGTGTACTCCCACTGCTGCTCTAGCTGGAAGGGAGCAAGGGGGAGGCCTTACCCACTGGGATTCCTCAGGTCCCCAGCCCACCCTCCACTGTGTGCCTCCAGTTCCATTTCTCAGTGCCCAGCTGGGGCTCCTGCTTGTAACTCGGGGCCTTTCTGGACCATCAGAGCCTCATTTGTGGCTTCTGCTCCATCTTCCTCCCAAGGCAGGTGGCTGACCTCACCATCTGGCCTGCGCGAGAGGCTTCATTTTCAGTTAGGAGTTAGACAGCCCTCACCTCAGCCATGGTGTTTTTCTTTCTCCTAGACAACAAGGGCTGTGCGGTTGTGTAGTTGCTTTGGCTAAGAGGGGGAATGTGACATCCCTTTAGGGCAGGAGAGAGGTGGGATGTGAGAGTCTAAGGACGGACATGCACGTGTGGGGCTGTCAGAAATGAGGTGATATTGATCCCAAAGGTGGGACTCATGGGGTTCTCTTGGCGAGCCCACTCCTTCTGTCTCCTGCTGTGGCCCTTGTCCTGTCCACTGCACCAGCCTCCCTCCCTGCCTCTTCCCGTCCATTCTCTTTCTTTTAGCACACCTCAATATGGGGTGAGCTCTTCGCCTAGTGCTGGAAACATTCATGAAACACATGGCATCAGCCTCTGTGAGTGCCAGACTCAGACTGTGCACAGTGCAGCTCATTCCCCGGTTGGGAGTGACAGAGGCAATCCTGGAAGGCTGCCTTATTGCCCAGGGGACAGGCAGAGCATGCCACACTCAGAAGTGACAGGTCCCCAAGAGTTGCCTGCAGTCAGCATGCCTTCCCACCCCAAAGCCCCTTGGAGAAGTGGAGGGGCCTCACAGGCTTCACCCCAAGTCTCACTCCCCACACCATGCTAGATGCCTGGGCTCGCTCTGACACCTGTGCACAGCTCCACGTCTCACCTGCACCTGGGGACACTGGTGATGTTCAGAGGTATTGGACATTGTCAGTTTGGGGCTGGTGCTTCTGATATGTAGCAGGTAGAGGCCAGGGATGCTAGTCACCACCCAGTGCCCGGGACAGCTCCGCCTCAGCAAGCGCACAGCCCCAACGTCAAGTGGCTTGTCTGTTGGTCTCTATTGTTCTGTCTCCTCTCTATTTATCCCTCATTTTCACTATCTGTATCTACTTATCTATCTTTCCTTCCTTTCTGTATGTCTATATCCATCTTTTCTTGTATCTGTCTCTCCCATTTATGTAGCTGTCTATCCATCCATCCATCCATCCATCCATTGGTCTGTGTATGTATGTATGTACGTATCTGTCTTTCTGTCTGTACATTGTCCTATTTGTCTATGCATCTATTTCCTCTATCTATTTATCAATAATATATCAGTCATTTATCTTATCTATCCATCTGTACATCAGTCTGTCTGTCTATCTAATCATCTCTCCTATGTGTCTTTGTAAATATGTATCCATCATCCACCCACCCACTCATCTACCTACCCCCCTCATATCTACCCATGTACCTCCATATCTATGTCAGGGAATCTCCCCCAGGGTGATGTCACCCCAGGGATGCTGGCAATGGCAGTGATCATTCTGCCAGGGTGGAGTCTGGGGACCCCGCAGTGCAGAGGATACCCCACCCCACAGAGCGATGGGTCCCAGATCTGTGAGCCATGGCGAGGTGGGAGTGACTAGGAAGGGGTGCAGAGTAGACAGGCTGGGCCACCGTCTTCCTGGCTCGTCCAACTTGCCATCTGTACCTGACTTTGGCTTTGGCCTTAGCGTGGCTCCTCTGGGAACCTGAGGTGCAGCATCCCAGCCTACAGCACCCTGCACTGTGCAGACCCCCAGATGGCGGGGTGGTCTTCAGCTCCCTGAGGGGCTGCCAGGGCAGGGGGAGGAGCAGGGGCCTTGGTCCCTCTTTGTCACTGGATGCAACAGGGGGCCACACACAGCTGTCTGTGGTGCCTTTCCCTGGACACGCAGGGTGTCTGTTTTCACACAGGTGTCACCAACATGTCCTTTCCCTTGTCCGACCAGCCCGTGTTGGGAGAGTGGTTCATTTCTGTTGAGCTGCAAGGCCACATTTCCAACAAGTCCTTTGAAGTTCAGAAGTATGGTAAGTGGGGGACCTGACCTGAGGGTCCTGGGGCTTCACACCTGAGGGACACCTCAGCCCGATGAGGGGGACACACATCCCTAATGGGTGTGGTGCTAAGGGCTGGTCCACATTGTGGGAAAATACACATAAAATGAGGACAACCTGCAAAGGGGCAGTCATGGTCACTGTCACACTTTGTCTAGCATTTTTGTTCTCTTTTACAGCACTGGGATTTGAACCCATGGCCTCACACTTGCTAGGCAGAGGCTTTACCACTTGAGCCATGCTCCCCCTTTTGCGTTAGTTATTTTTCAAATAGGGTCTCACATTTTTGCCCAGGGCCAGCCTTGGACTACAATCTTCCTCTCTCTGCTTCCTGTGTAGCTAGGATCACAGGTGTGTGCCACCACACCTGGCTTATTGACTGAGACGGGGTCCTGCAAACTTTTTGCCTGGGCTGGCCTCCAACTGTGATTCTCCTGATCTCCACTTCCTGAGTAGCTGGGATTACAGGCATGGACTACCGCACCAGGCCCTACTGTTTACATTCTGAGTGCATGTCTTTGGGTTCCACCCCCAGCACTACAGAATTTTGATAATTAAAAAAAATGTACTAATAATGATTGGAAGTGTCCCCCCCCCCTCAAGGAAAATGGGTTTCCAAGGAAATCAAAGAGAGGGGGCTGGCAATATCACCAGAGAGCTACCCAACCAAAGGGGCTGTGGATTAGAAGAATGGCATCCTGAGTGGTGGCCCTGGTGTGGCTTCGCTCCTGACTCCTTGTGTAGGTCCTTGAGGTCACCTGCATGGAGCTACCCCTGTGTCCTTTCTGCTCTTTTTCTTCAGTGTTGCCCAAATTTGAACTCCTGATCCACCCTCCCCGCTATATCCGAGACCTGGATGTCTGTGAGCCGGCCATGGTGCAGGCCAGGTGAGACAGAGGACCTTGGGGTGCATCCCATGTACTCAGTCCCTCCCCCAGGCTGCCCTCGCCCCCACATGAGTGACCCCCCACTTCAAGTGTCTTCCTCCTCTGCTCCCCACCAGGCGCCCCTCCCACAGGCCATCTGCCATTCCCACAGGTGTCTCCTGCCTCTATGGGCCGGCCTCCCCTCCAGGACTCCCCATGCCCTGCCATGGCCACTGCACCCCCTCTCCAGGGCTAGCCCCAGCCATGGAGGTGTCCCTGTCCCCCAGAGCCTCCCTGGCATCTGTGAGCAGCAGCCCCTTCCCCCCACCGAGGGATCTCTGGGACCAGACAGGGACCAAGCCCACAGCGTCAAGGTCCACTGAAGGACATCCAGGTGCTGTCTCTTTTTGGGGGTGCTGTGAGAGCTCCCCAATTTTACCCGCCCCCCCTGCTGGCGCTGTCACCTGTTCCCCAGCCTGCATCCCCTCCAGTTGTTGGTTCAAATCCAGGGCCACATGGGTTCACTGCCCTTGACGCGTTACCAGCCTGCCACTGTCGGGACCAGAGTTCCTCTGTGACCATCTCTCTTTTTCCACCGGAGGCGAGCCTGGCACAGAGAACCACAGGGGCTCTGACGTCGTCTGTCCAGAGGCAGAGAGCGCTGTCAGGGCACAAGGCAGGACGAGGAAGGGCACGGTATGAGTCACTGTCCCCAGTGGCCACACTGTGAACCTGGCCCCTTCCCTGCCCCATCTGGGGTCTCCTATGAAGGTGAGAGCTTTTGTCCTTTTGTTCCAGGTATACCTTTGGGAAACCAGTGTCTGGGACCTTAACGATCAACATGACCGTGATCGGTGTGGGGTACTACAGCCACGAAGTGGGGCGCCCCGTCCTCAGAGCCATGAAGGTGAGAGCAGGGACCCCATGCTGGGGAGCTGGACCCTGGGTCCTTCCCCACAGCTTCGGTTCCACAAAAACAAATTTTGTTTCAGTTTTGGAAGAAGTTACGTGGTGGGGAACTTTTTCTCATGCTATAATTCCTGCAAGCTGAATGCAGAGACTTTATGAATGTATAAAATGAAAGAATATAAGATGTGTTCTTTGACAGGCAGATACAGATAATATTGATACTTTTGATGAGTTTCCTGCGGAATGTTGTCTATGAAGTTAAAAAAAAAATGACAATTTTCGCCAGATGCAGTGGTGCACTTCTGTAATCCCTGCTATTCTGGATGATTGCAGTTTAAGGCCAGACTGGGCGAAAACTTAGACCCCATGTCAGACCCCATCCCTTGCAGTAAGCCAAGCATGGTGGTTCACATCTGTAATCCCAGCTAACAGGTAGCATCGGATAGGAAGATCTTGGTCTAGGCTGGCTCAGTCAAAAAAACCCTTTTTGAAAAATAACTGAAGCAAAAAGGGCTGGTGGCACGGCTCAAGTGGTAGAGTGCCTGTGTAGCGAGTGTGAGGTCCTCAGTTCAAATCCCAGAGCTGCCAAGAAATAAAGGTGCCTTGTGTTACATGATTTTCCCTAATTTCAGGCTATGGAATATGGGAGCGTGGTTAAGGTTGCTTGGTGGATTCGGTGCATTTTTCACTTAGGATATTAGCAACTTGTGTTTTTTTGTGGTCGTGGAGTTTGAACTCAGAGCCTACATCTTGAGCCACTCCAAAAGCCCTTTTTTTTTGGTGATGGGTTTTTTTCAAGATAGGGTCTCACAAACTATTTGCCGGGGCTGCCTTCAAACCACAATCCTCCTGATGATCTCTGCCTCCTGAGCAGCTGGGATTACAGGTGCGAGCCACCGCGCCTGACAATATCTTCAACTTTCAATGGGTTTATCAGGACGCAAGCCTGTCGTGCTCTGAGGGCGTCTGGTTTATGTATAATAGAACATGCATACATTTAAAGCCACGTGCATATATGTGTGTGCAGGTGTGTATGTGGGGGGGCCAGGTCTCTGTCACCCGCTTGCTTGGCCATGGTGGGGGACACCTCTTCTTCCTCCTCAGGGAGGCTTTGCTCCTTCGAAGGTCTCACCCATGGCGCCCTCTGGGTATGTCACCAAGTGTCCTCTGGTTCTCCAAAGCCACCGGGTGTGCAACCCTGTCTTTCCGTCCTCCAGGTCCTCGGCTCCCAGGGCTTCCACATCTGCATCCGGGATATGATCTCCGAGGACATCCCCGAGCACTTCCGGGGCAGGGTTGCCATCTGGGCCTCAGTGACCAGCGTGGACGGGAGCCGGCAGGTCGCCTTCGATGACTCCACGCCCGTGCAGAGGCAGCTGGTGGACATCAGGTACTCCAGTGACACCAGGAGGCAGTTCAAACCTGGCCTGGTCTACGTGGGGAAGGTAGGGGCAGGGACACTGCTCCGGTGTCCTTCTGCCCCGGCTCCCACCCAAGGGCCACTGTGGCCACCGTCCCATCATGGTGACATGACTAAGAACGGGTCCTCAGGTTACCCCAGCATCATTTGGCCTCTTGGAGCCCAGAGGACGCAGAGCTGGGTTCCATACTTTGCTGCGTATGGTGACAGCTGCTGCAGCAGAGTGAGGGGTGCAGGACATTGTGGGCAACCCGAAAGAATTGTCTACAGCCATGTGTCCCTTATTCGTGGGAATATATTGTAAGAAATATGTCCTGGGGGTGGGGGCAGGGGGGAGAAATGAACCAAGCCTTGTATGCACATATGAATAATAAAAGAAAAATGAAAAAAAAATAATTATTAATTATAGTAAAAGAAAAAAAAAAAAAGAAATATGTCCTTAGGTGTTTGAGGAATTTTTTTTGGGGGGGTGGGAATTCAGGGTTTCACGCTTGCAAAGCAAGTGCTCTAATGCTTGAGCCACACCTCCAGTCCTTTTGGCTCTGGTTATTGTAGAGATGGGGTGTCAATTTTTTGCATAGGCCAGCCTGGAACCGGGCTCCTCCTATTTCACACTTCCTGCCAGAGCTGGGGTGATAGGTGTGAACCACCATGCTCAGCCTTTTCCATTGAGATGGGGTCTTGCAAACTTTTTTGCTTGGCCTGACCTCAAACCATGATCCTCCCAATCTCAGCCTCCCTGCATAGCTGGGATTACAGGCATGAGCTACTGTACCCAACCAATATTATTATTTTATTTTAACAGTGCTGGGGATGGACCCCTGTGCCTCATGCAAGGCAAATGCTCTACCGTTGACTATTCCCAGCCCTGGTAGTTTGATTGCTATAGCTTTACGCTTTTTGAAATCAGAACCTATAGGTTTTTTTTTTTTTTAATTTGGGTTTGAACTCAGTGTGTACACCTTGAGCCACTCCACCAGCCTTTTTTTGTGATTTTTTTTTTTAACAAGATAGGGTTTCACAAACTATTGGCCCAGGCTGGCTTTGAACTGAGATCCTCCTGATCTCTGCTTCCTGAGTAGCTGGGATTACAGGCGTGAGCCACCACACCCGGCAGGACCTTTATCTTTGTGTTTCTCATGATTGTCTTGGCTATTTAGGGCCCCTCCCCATTCCCTGCAGACTTCAGGGTCATTTTCAATCCTGCAAAGAAGCCAGGGGTGGGGGTGCTGCCACCTTAACCATGCTGAGTCTTTTGTCACTTGTTCCAGGTGGAGCTGTCCTACCTAGACGGCAGCCCAGCCAATGGGGTGACCGTCCAGGTTAAGGCAGAGCTGACACCCAAGGACAACGTCTACACCAGTGGATCTGTGTCCCAGGGTGGCCTCGTGCAGTTCGAAATCCCGTCTATCCCCACGTTAGCCCAGCACGTGTGGTTGGAAGGGAGTGAGTGCCCTGGTTCCTTGTCACTTGGCCGTCAGGTAGGGACTTGGTGCTGCCCTGAGGGAGATCACACCACTGCGGTGGAAGTGCTAGACAGTGGGACAGATATCCCAGCCATCCAGGGCAGGCGGGAGGCCAAGGAGAAGGGAAGGTGACTCACACAATGTCACAGGGCAAGGCCAGGCTGCTTCCAGGACGGTGGAATAGCATGTGCAGGCCTGTTTGCTGCCATCACTGTGTCCTGTAAATTCTCAGTCCGGCTGAGCCATTTCAGAGAGATGGGGGAGGGAGCCAGCGGGGATGCCCGCACTTCACAAGTGTGCTCGGTTGGAATCTGATTTATTCATTTATTTATTTTCTGAGACAGGATCTTTATGTAGTCCAGGCTGGTCTCAAACTTGAACTTGTAATCCTCCTGCCTCAGCCTGAGTGCTGGGATTACAGGCATGCATCACCATAACCATCTGGGATCTGATTTTGGGGACCTTATGGTGCAGAATCAATAGTAATAAGACCAAAACTGCCAGGTGTGGTGGCTCACACTTGTAATCCCAGCTACTTGGGAGGCAGGGACCAGGAGGATTGTGACTTGAGGCCAGTTCAGGCAAAAAGTTAGTGAGACTTCGTCTCAACCAATAAGCTGAGTGTAGGGGCACTTGCCTGTCATCCCAGCAACACAGGAGGCATAAATAGGATTGAGGTCTGAGGCTGGCCCTGGGCAAAAACAGGACCCTATCTGAAAAATCATCTAAAGCAAAAAGGACTGAGGACTTGGCTCAAGTGGTAGAGGACTTGGCTAACAAATGCAAGGTCCTGAGTTCAAATCCCATACCACCAAAAGAGAGAGAGGGGAAAAAGAGGGAGGGAGAGGACCCCAGGCCTGGGAGGCTGGCTCTCAGGGAATTGGAGCAGGAGAGGGTCTCGCTGCAGGGTGGATCAGATAGATGCATCCCAGAGATCCCCTTCCTCCTAGGCTGGGCACCCTGACCTTGACCTAGCATCCTCTGTTCCGCAGGCCAAGGTGACAGCACTGGATGGGAAACCTGTCGGGGCGCAGTACCTGCCCAGTTACCTGTCCCTCAGCAGCTGGGCCTCCCCCAGCCAGTGCTTCCTGCAGCTGCAGCCACCCTCCCATCCCCTGCAGGTAAGGCCTTGGGGTGCGGCTCCAGGTAGCCACCCTGGGGAGCCTCCAGGGGACATGAGGCAGAGACTGGTGTGGCCATCGTCCCTCTAGGAGGGTGGCACTCTGATGAATGAATGCACTGTCATTCACTTGAGGTGGAGGTTTAGGTCATAGCCAGGGCTCACTTCCATGGATGGACGCGCCTGTGCCTCTCAGCTGCCACTGCTAGGGTCTCCATCCTGTGCAAAGACCCTGGGGCCTTCCACACCCAGACACTTTCAGACACACTGTGTGCAAAGACAGGATGAACTCAGGCCTGTGTCTTACACTAGCTCTTCCTGGGTCATTTATTTTATAATTCCGATTAAGGAAGGTGTGTGAGTGTGTGTGTTTATATGCAAATAATGAATAGACATCAATTTCTTTATTTGGCAGTGCTGGGGATGGAACCCAGAACTTTGTGCATGCTAGGCAGTGCCCTGTCACCTGAGCCACACCCCTAGTCCTTTTTGTTTTAGTTATTTGTAGATATTTTTGCCTGGACTGTGATCCTCCCATTTATGCCTCCCCTGTTGCCGGAATTACAGGTGTGCACCGCCATGCCCAGCTTTATTGGTTGAGACTGGGTGGGGGAATCTCAGTAACTTTTTGCCAGAGTTGGCCTCCTGAGTAGCTGGGATTAAGATGTGAGCCATGCCACGCACCAGCCCTTGGTGTTTTAAGACAAAGTCTCTCTATGTAGCCCTTAAATTCATTATTCTCCTGCCTCTCCCTCCTAACTGCTGGGATTACAGCTGTGAACCACTAGGCACAGCTTAGACTTAACTTTTTAAAAATTTTATTCATTTTATCAGTACTAGGGTTTGAACTCAGGGCCTCATGCTTGCTAGGCAGGAGCTCTACCACTTGAGCCACTCCACCAGCTCTTTTTGGGGTTGGGTTTTTTCAAGATGGGGTCTTGCGAACTATTTTGCCCAGGCTGGCCTCAGACTATGATCCTCCTGATCTCTGCCTCCTAAGTAGCTAAGATTACAGGCGTGAGCCCCCAGCGCCTGGCCCAGGTTGAGTTCTGTGTGATGTCTCGAGCACGTCACCCCATTTACAGACCCGGCAGCAGCCCCTGGTGTTGGGCACTCCGTTCATGGCTAGCGTTCCTCCCTCAGCCGTTCCCCACCTCCCTCTTGCCCCAGTGGCCAGAGGGGTGGGCTGTGACATCAGTGCCAGGCAGGGTCCCTGTTGCTCCATGCCTCCCACAGGCCGGGGAGGACGTGGATTTTTCTGTGAAGTGCACGTGTCCCTGCAATTTCACCATGTACTACGAGGTGGCCGCACGGGGCAACATCGTGCTGTCAGGCCAGCAGTCCGCCCGCATCACCCAGCAGCGAAGCCAGTGGACGGCCCCTGTTCTGGACAGGTCGATTCACTTAAAACACCTTTCCAAGACGGGTGAGCCAGCCAGCAGGGACTCCTGAATCATGGAGATGGTGACGGTGCCCCAGCACGAGGATCAAGGCAAGATCCAGCCAGGGAGGAGAAGGGGGCAGCCCCCTTCATGTCTGTGGAATTGGAAGCTTTGTTAATTATCTCATGTTACACAGTTTTTTGGTGGTACTGGGATTTGAACTCAGAACCTTGTACTTGGTACAAGTACCAAGTGTTCCACCACTTAAGCCACATCTCCAGCCCTCTGCCTCACGTACCTGTGAGCCCAGGCTGGGGACAGGAGGGCAGGCAGTGACCCACTGTGGAATAGAGAGGTTCCAGCCGCTGGCTGTTGTCTCCAGGGGAAGGATGCAGGCCAGCCACAGGCCGGCTTCCGTGCTGCCCACACCCAGCTGGGCCCTCTCCATGCCCAGACCGTCCCCCTGTTTCTGTGTCCTCCCCCACACGCACCTCAGGATACTCACCTCCTACCCGCAGGCGTCTCCAACCCCCTTGTCTTTCAGTCCTCCTGCCCAAAGCAGGGTCCCCAACCTCAGCACTATGGACATTTGGGGTCAGATCATTCTCGGGGGGCCCTGTGCTCTGCAGAATGCTGAACAGTGTCCCTGGCTGCCACCCACCAGGTGACAGAAGTACCAAATCTCCCACATTAGGAAAACCTGAGAAGTATCCAGCCATTGTCAGTGTCCTTAGGGGACAAAGTCACTGCTGAGCGAGAATCACAAGTGGATGGATAGATAGACAATAGACAGATGGACAAATAGACAGAATGCTATGCAGGAGAGATAGATACACAGATAGATGATAGCTAGCTACATGAGATAGGTAGACAGACAATGCATATGATGTGATACGTACCGATGGAGGGAGGAAGGGATGGATGCATGGGTGGGCGGGTATGTGGATGGATGGTGGACGGGTGGATGGATGGGTGGGTGGATGGATGGGTGGATGGATGAATGGATGGGTGGATGGATGGGTGGATGGGTGGGTGGATGGATGGATGGGTGGGTGGGTGGATGGATGGGTGGATGGGTGGATGGATGGATGGGTGGATGGGTGGATGGGTGGGTGGATGGATGGATGGGTGGATGGGTGGATGGGTGGTGGACGGGTGGATGGATGGGTGGATGGGTGGATGGATGGATGGATGGGTGGATGGATGGATGGGTGGATGGATGGATGGGTGGATGGGTGGATGGATGGTGGACGGGTGGGTGGATGGATGGATGGTGGACGGGTGGATGGATGGATGGGTGGATGGATGGATGGATGGATGATGGGTGGATGGATGGATGGATGGATGGGTGGATGGGTGGATGGATGGATGGATGGATGGGTGGATGGGTGGATGGATGGATGGGTGGATGGGTGGATGGGTGGGTGGATGGATGGATGGGTGGATGGGTGGATGGGTGGTGGACGGGTGGATGGATGGGTGGATGGGTGGATGGGTGGATGGATGGATGGATGGGTGGATGGATGGATGGATGGATGATGGGTGGATGGATGGATGGATGGATGGATGGGTGGATGGGTGGATGGATGGATGGATGGATGGGTGGATGGGTGGATGGATGGATGGATAGATGGGTGGATGGGTGGATGGGTGGGTGGATGGATGGATGGATGGATGGATGGATTGATGGTGGATGGATGGATGGATGAGGGGTGGATGGGCGGGTGGATGGATGGTTGAATGGGTGGATGGATAATGGATGGATGAGAGATGGGTGAATAGTTGATAAATGGAAGCATAGATAGACTGACAGACAGAGAAAGGTCTTCATGCTAAGGCAGGATTTGTCACCCTCAGCACTTGTTATTTGGGGACAGGGCATCCTGTGTGTCTGTTGGGCTGTGTCTCTGGCTTCTGCCCACAGGATGCAGTAGCACCCATCAGCACTGATGACCTCAAATTCCTGCTGACATAGCCAGTGTCCCCTGGGGTGCAGAGTCCTCTTGGCTGAGAACTGCTGGCCTGAGCTGTGCTTAGGGCACAATGCGCCCCCCTTCTCTGGATCCTGTCTTCCCTCCTGGGTGAAGGGACAGGGGCAGGAAGTCTTCACAGAGTCCTTAGGCTCTGTGTGTTTTAATCTCCACCCCATGGTAACTCAAGGGGCGTCTGTCTTCCAGAGCACCTGAGTGGCCTCCTGACACCCCTTATAAACCACATGCTTTGAGGGTCCTCTCCCCATCAGGGAGGGAGTGTGAGCTTGGTTACAGTCAGCAAGCGCTGGCTGCTCACGTCTGCAGGTGGTCCTGGGTCCAGGACGGACGGATGGCTATCCTGGGGGCTGGGACGGGCTTGCCCGAGCGAGCATGTCCAGGAGGTTTGGTGCTGGCGAGGGGCAGGGGTTGCCCCTCCCCCATAGAGAGGAGAAAGTAGACAATTACAGATGACATCCAGGCCTCTCTGTAGGGTCCCCAGGTCACTCCAGAGCTGAGCCAGTGCACAGTCAGTGGTGAGGGGACAAAGCATGGGAGAGGCACCCACCCCCTGAATGCCAAACATCACAGCTGGGAGCTCTTTTTTTCTTTGTGTGGTGCTGTGACTGTGCCCAGGGTTCCCACGCTGTGTGCCACTGAACCATCCCCAGCCAAAGCAAAGATGGAGTGACCAAGGATGCGATGGGAGGCTGGGAACGAACTTACTCCCTCTCCCCACCTTGCCTCGTCTCAGGGCCCCCTCCAGCCCCAGCGGCCAAGGCCACCGTGTGTGTCACCTCTCTCCTCTAGCATGGTCCCCTTTGGCCGCCTGCTGGCTTTCTATGTCAGGGAGAATGGAGAAGGAGTGGCGGACAGTCTGCGGTTCTCAGTCAAGGCTTTCCTGGAAACCCAGGTAGAGGGTTAGGCACCAAACCAAGGACATGGGCAAGCGCCATTGGTGCTCCCTCCAGGGTGGCGGCCCAGTGCTGGGGTGGGCTGGGGATGGCCGTGTCCCCAGGTACACAGTATCACAGGTACGACTTGTGTAAAGGCTGCTTACCATGTGCCACGTGGTGACATTGTAGTCACTGACAGGTCATATGTACCATACAATCCTGTGACATTGTAATGGAGCTTAAGAATTCTGTCACCTGTGACACTGTGGTTGTCCTAATGTCATAGCAATGCCTTAGGCACATGTTTGTGGGGACACTGTTGTCACCCAACCTACTGTGCTGCCAGTCATATAAGAGAGCAGTCACAACGATGGGTGACATGTCACACTTGATAACGCCGGTAAGTGACAGTTACAGAATTATGTGTTTACTGTATAAGACTTGACATTCTTTTTTTGTTTTTTTCTCTTTTTTTGCAGTACTGGGGTTTGAACTCAGGGCCTACACCTTGAGCCACTCCACCAGCCCTTTTTTTTTTGTGATGGGTTTTTTGAGATAGGGTCTTGAGATATATTTTCTGAGGTTGGCCTCAAACTGTGATCCTCCAGATCTCTGCCTCCTGGATAGCTAGGATTACAGGCGTGAGCTCCTGGTGCCGGCTCCTGGGCGTCTCTTGCTGATAGCTTCTCTTGTGCTTAATTTGACTTTGTGTTTATTCAGCATGGCCCTCGTTGTAATAGCCCGGGTGTGCAGGAGAGCACGCCATCTAGGTTTGTGCACACACACAAAGTCCAAGGGAAAAAATCTCCTGATGAGCTTTTGAGCCTGTATCCCGTTGCTAGGCAACCCATACTATAATGGGAACCCAAGTCGTATCTTCACTGAAGTGGCTGGCAAAGTCCTCCCAAGGGAGTGCGTGTGTCACACGCAGGGAGCACGGTCTGCTGTTCTCCACCCTCTCTGGGCTCCAGATCTGCGACATGACACCATGTCCCCAGCAGCACACTCAGCCTCCTGTCCCCTCTCCTGGGAGTTTTTGAAACAAGCTGCAAGGTGCTTGCTTGCAAGTCAGCACCTGTCTCCTGGCTTCCCCCAACCCCTCCCTTTTCCCTTCTGTGTCCCTTTCACATGACCCTCTGCCCATCTCAGGTGGGGCCAGGTCCACCTGGCTGCAAGACCAGGACCCCGCAAGGTGGCAAGGACTCACTGTCTGTGGTGGGTGCTGGCTGTGGATGGGGCCCGTTCCCAGTTTCCTTGCTGTGCTTGGGCCCAGGTCTCTGTGACATATTCAGCGAATGAGACCCATCCCGGAGAGGTCGTGGACCTTCGGGTCAGAGCTGCGAGGGGCAGCTGCGTGTGTGTCACCATGGTGGATGAGAGCATCTACCTGCTCAGGTCTGGGTTTCGCCTGACTCCCACTCAGGTGAGACTGGGATCCTTCTACCTATGCCTCCTGCATAATTGGGACAGCAGGTATGCCCCACCATGCCGGCTTTTTACTTGAGATGGGGTCGTGTTAACTTTTGTCTGAGTTGGCCTTGAATCTCTATCCTCCTGATCCCTGCCTCCTGAGTATCTGGGATTACAGGTGTGAATCACTGTTCCCAGCTCCAGGTGCTCCTCTTAAAATGTATTAATATTATAAATGCCTAGCTTCTAAGGTGGTCAAAATGTGACATGCAGATGGTTCCTGACTTATGATGAGTCAACTTATGGCCTTTCAATTTTATGGAAAGTGAGATGTGTTCAGTGCAAGCTGTACTTGGAATTGTGAATTTGGATCTTTCCCTGGCATAGCACTATGTGGCCAGATTCTCTGCCATGATGCTGGTGGCAGCAGTGATTGCAGCTCCCAGGCAGCCCCGCTGTCACAGGAGGAAAGATCTGACACTCTGTGAGGCTGCAAAGCTGGGATAGTGGGTTAGGAGGGAGGGCGTCAGTGGATTCTGATTTTATGTTTTCAGCCTGTGATGAGTTTATTGGCATGCAGCCCCATTGTAAATCAAGGAGCAGCTATATAGGAAAGGAAACCAGGACAGGACCACACTAGACCGGGGAGAGATGGTTTGGCCTGAATTGACCCAGGTGCCAGTAGCTCACACCTGTAATCCCAGCTACTTGGGAGGCTGAGATCAGGAGGATCACAGTTCAAGGCCAGCCTAGGCAAATAGTTCTAAAGACTCCACCTCCAGAATAAACAGAGCAAAATGGACTGGAGGTGTGGCTCAAGTGGTAGAGCACCTGCTTTGCAAGTCCTGAGCACCAAAAAAAACAAAAGAAAGAAAGGAAAACCTCAGCTGACCAGCCCCTGTCCCCTTTCCCTCCAGGTTTTCCGGGAACTGGAAGACCACGATGTTTCTGATGCCTTTGGGGTGTCCAGGGAGGATGGACCCTTCTGGGGGGCTGGGCTGACAGCCCGACGACGCCGGCGATCCTCCATCTTCCCGGGGCCCTGGGGCGTCACCAAGGACTCTGGCTTTGCCTTCAGTGTAAGGAGAGGTGGTCTCAGGGCCTCCCACCCATTCTGAGCCCCTGTTGCCTGGAAACGAGGGTCTCCGGGCTCTGGAGCTGGGTGAGAGTAGAAGCTTCCAAATGTTCTTACCGCATAACTTGTCTTTGTTTCTCACCAGTGAAAGTTCATGACCAGATCCCCACCCGCCCCCAGACACGAGGACAGAGTGTCAAGCAGTCACACAGTGCTCAACAACAGGGACGCTCTGACCAGTGTGTTGCTAGGCCACCTCATGCGTGTACTTACAGATGTCCAGCTCGGTGTCCCTGTGTGTAGTCTACTGTGCCCAGGGCTTCAATCAACAAACGACATGGCATTGAACTAAGCACAAGAAGGAATGGTACCCTTAAGAAAGGGGGACAAAAGAGATGGAGAAGCCAGGCATGGCAGTACATGCCTGTAATCCCAGCTTCTTGGGAGGCAGAGATGGGAGGATTTGTTGAAGTTTGAGGCCAGCCTGGGTAAAAAGTTAGCAAGACCCCATCTCAAATCAGTTAGTAAGCCAGGCATGGTGCTGTGCTCCTGTGATCCCAGCTACATGGGAGGCGTAGGTAGGAGGATCTCAGTCCAAGGCCAGCCCTGGGGAAACGTGAGACCCTATCTGAAAAATAAGTAAAGCAAAAAGGGCTGGCCGAGTGGCTCAAGTGGTGGAGCTCCTGCCTAGCAAGTGCGAGGCCCTGGGTTCAAATCCCCCATCCCCTGCCCAGGTCCTGGCAGCTTCGATCTGCTTCCTGTCTCTGTGGATTTGCCCTTACTGGACATTTCCTGTCAGTGGATCTCACACCGTGTGGCCAGCATGTTCTTGCCTCTGCTTGATGTCACTTGGTTTCACGACCCCTTCAGTCAGTGCCACCAAGTCCACAGCAGAGGGCTGGACCCCCACCCCCACCCACCACCCCACAGTCACCCAGCAGCACTGTCAGGCCTGAAGCAACGAGGGCTTTCTTCATTCCCACTGGTGACCAGGGCCATCACCGTCCACCTCCCCCCATTGGTTGAGATGTTCTCTGTTGCCTAGGAAACGGGACTGCTGGTGATGACGGACAGGGTGAGCCTGAACCATGGACTGGACGGCAGCCTGTACACCCAAGAGGTTGTCCCTGCCTTCCAGCCCCACACAGGGACCCTGGTGGCTGCGGCGCCTTCCAGACCACCCCCCAGGTATGTCCTGACCTCCATGGTGACACGGTTGGGGGCTTGTCGTAGTCCATCCTGGCTGCTGTGACACAGTACCATAGACTGGGTGCGTGTACACACAGAGAGTAAATTTACTGCTCGTTCACAGTTCTGGGGTGCAAGTAGTCAAGACCAAGGTGCTGCGGACTCACCTTCTGCTTCACAGATGGCACCTTCTTGCTGTGTTCTCACATTTCAGAATGGATGAGGGAGCCTTCTTGGGTCTCTATTTAGAAGGGTGCTGTAATAAAAAGCCTGAGGCAGGTTCACTTTAAAGAAAAGAGGTTTGAGCCAGGCATTGGTGGCTACTTGGGAGGTTGAGATATGGAGGATTGAGGTTCGAGACCAGACTGAGCAAATAGTTCCAAAGACCCCCATCTCCAAAATAACCAGAGCAAAATGGACTGGAGGAGTGGCTCACGCAGTAGAGAGCCTGCTTTGCAAGCACAAAGCCCTGAGTTCAAACCCCAGTCCCAGAGAGAGAGCTTTCTTGCCCTGCCTGACTCTGTGCTGGGGACCTTGGTCTTCTCAGCCTTTCCTTCCTGGGCGCACATTTGACAGGCCAGTGACAGGGCCTGCAGGGTCCTGGCTTCCAGAGTCCCCATCAGGGCACTGGGGAGCCAGGCTGTCCACTGTCGTTGGGGCCCACATGGAAGCAGTCGAGGATGTGGAGGCCACCCCGGGCCTCGCCCACCATGTGCAGGGCACCCAGGGCAAGGTGTGGAGCAGATTCAGTGGCAGCTTCCTGAAATCCAAAGCCAGGAAGGCAGTGAGAGATCCCCGCGTGGAGCGGCCTCAGAGATGCCTGGAGAGCCAGGCCAGCCCTGGTGCCACCGGGCCATGGAGTTTCTTACCATGCGTGTGTGGTTAAAATGATCTTCAAACACGATGGAGGGTGTGAGATTCAAGTCTCTCCCCCGCCCCTAGACTTACGATGAATTATGGTGAATAATGAGATAATCTCCTCCCTCCCTCCCCTCCCCTTCCATTTCTGTGCATATATAAATTAAAAAGAACCACTAACAGAAGAATACTTTAAAATTATTAATAGTTTATGAGACTCCCGCATCCCCAAAATAACCAGAGCACAATGGACTGGAGGTGTGACTCACCAGTAGAGCACCTGCTTTGCAAGCACAAAGCCCTGAGTTCAAATCCAAGTCCCACCCCCCAAAATTATTATTCTGTACCTTTGTAAGTTCACAGTAAGTCTTGGAGACCATTCCGCATCAGTATACACACTTGCCTCGTTCTTTTTCACTGATGTATAATACTCCATCTGTGGATATGCTACCATTTTATTACTCAGTCCCCCGCTAATGGATCCTTTGACAAGTCCCTATACTGCGGCCATCTCTTTGCCTGTGGGTATTTCCAGAGCCTTTCCTGTAAGAGCTATCACAGGCAGGAAGGATGTGAGCATTGTTAATTTTCAGAAGTTTTATGTGGGCTGCTTTTGATTTTTTCAAGTAAGGGCCAGTCCCTCAGGGAGGTGAGCTGCAAGGTATGTGAAGTGAAAACAGAATGAAAGGAAAGAGGAAGGGGGCTGGCAGAGTGGCTCGAGTGGTAGAGTGCCTGCTTAGCAAGTGTGAGGCCCAGAGTTCAAATCCCAGTACTGCCCAAAAACAGGAACGAGGAAGGGATAGGAGAGGGACATGGAAAGTTCAGGAAATACTCAGGGAGGGAAATGGACAAAGGGAAGGACACAAGGTGGTCCCTGCCAACCTTCTGACCTTCCCCATCTGGGAGATGAGCCACCTCTGTTTATTTAAGGTGGACCCTGCCAAGCCTTTGATGGCCTGCCTCTACTATTCCCAACTGAGTGAAATGTTTACCTTGCAAGATAAAAGAATTAATATGTTTAGGCCAGGCATGGTGGCTCACACCTGTAATCCCAGCTATGAGGGAGGGAGAGGTGCGAGAATCTTGGTCCAAGGCCAGCTGGGCAAAAGCACGAGACCCTATCTGATAAATAGCTAAAGCAAATAAAGACTGGTGGGGTGGCTCAAGTAGTAGAGTGCCTGCCTAACAAAGGCGAGGCCCTGAGTTCAAATCCCTGTACCCCCCAAAATATTAATATGCTATGTCCTAATCAATTAGAATGTTACCCTTCCAGTAAAAAAAATTATCATATCTAATCAAATGGAATGTGAAGCCTTCCAGTAAGAGAGTTAACATATTCTGTCCTAACAAAGTGACATTTTTTTGTTTTATGGTTTTTGGTGGCACTGGGGTTTGAACTCAGGGCCTCACGCTTGCCAGGCTGGCGCTCTACCACTGGAGCCACTCCACCAGCTCACGTGAAACGTTAACTTGCCAGGTAATAAATTTGTCGCACCCATGACACTTGAACCATTCACTTTCTTTAATTTTCATAGGGCACAGAAGAGAAAAAGGACTTTGCTCCCCGAAACCTGGCTTTGGCGGTGCCTCACCATCAGGTGTGCTGACATTCTTTCTCTGGCTTGTCTTTGCGGCTCCCGTCAGTCACTCACGCAAGTCCAGGGCATCCCCGGCCACCAGCCTCCAAGTGAGACACCACACATCTTTCTCTGCCACCAAGACTCAAGGCCGTGAACTCGGCCTTGGACGCCTACCCGCGCAGAATCGAGTTGAGGTCTCTGAGCCCCTGGGGTGACTCGCTCTGTTTGCACAGTGAGCTCAGCAGAACCGTCACTTGACCCACGCCCGCCCTGCTCCTCGGGGGACACACTGCCTCTTCGGCCCGTTTCCTTTCTAGATAGTTTCTTTTTTTCCCATTTTAGCTCCCTTGGAGCCAAATCTCCACCAGATATACAATTAGCTTTTTTTTGTTCTTCCACTGCTCCTTGCCCTGGGGACCTCATAGAAGGTGGCAGTGCCTGGCCCTGGCAAACCAGTGTGGCATGAAAATTCTGACCCCGGCTCTGGGGTGCAGCAGCAGGTGATCCAAATGCTAGGCCAGGTCTATTTTTGAGGTGCCAGGTGCTGTGTCACACGGTCAGCAGAGCCAGGGGTCCCTCAGGCCGCCCACTTGTGTGTGCGTGTGGTCAGAACAGCCCCCAATGGCGGCGTTGGTTCTGGAAGTCCAGTCGTGCGACGGGCTGTCTGTCCATCCTCATTCAGGTTTCCACTTGGGCTGGGAGTGCTGCTCAGTGGTTAGCGCCTGCCCAGCGTGTGTGACGCCCTGGGTTCCATCCTGAGCTCTGAAAAACAATTCCACTTTCTGGGTGCCAGGTGATGTTTTGGGGGTCAACAATGGCAAGAATGAGTGTCCCCTGCCCTTGTGAAATTTGCAGGTCAGCCACAGGTGTCCACAGGCACATCCCCCAATATAGGCGGGAAGAATGGGCGCGCTAGCAAGAAATGGTCAGCAGGGGGCGCTGGCGAGTGTCCACCTGCCGGAAGGGACCACAGGGTTGGGAGACCCATAGAAGGCTTGAGCCCTAGCCATTTGGGATTTGGGACACGGTGTGTCCCCTCCCCTCTGTTAGCCAGAGCAAGGAAGGATCAGACCAGGCAGGGTGAGCAGGGACGAGGCTCCCAAAAGGGTGGCTGTGTTTCACGGAATTGTGGACAGGTAACAAAATCAACCATCTTGATCATTTGCAAGTGTCCAGTAAAGGAGCATTATAGACATTCATGTTGTCATGCAACTGTCCCCTCCGTCCATCTGCAGGACTCTGCACTTTGCAAAAATGAAACTCTGTTCCCAATTAAACACTCAGTCTCCCTCTGCCCCTCCCAGCCCCTGGCACCCACCATGCTGCTTTCTGTCTCTAGGAAAATTTATGGGGACTTAGGGACCTGATTGCATGCAGTTATGGTGTTTGTCCCTTTGTGACTGGCTTTGTACAGTCACTGCCCCCCTCAACCTTATCTATGGTTGCAGTTACCCGTGGCTAACCCTGGTCCAAAATATTAAATGGAGAGCAGGGTGTGGTGGTGCATGACTGTAATCCCAACACTGGGAAGTCTGAGGCAGGAGCACTGCAAGTTGAAAGCCAACCTGAACTACAAGAGACTGTCTCAAAAAATAGTTAAGTGCAAAATCCCAGAAGTAAACAATTTTTGTATAAGTTTTATATTGCATTTAGTCTTTCGAGTAGCATGTGAAATCCCTCTCCATCCTTCTCGGTCCTGTCCAGGATTTGAATCGTCCAATGTGTCTGTGTTGTATATGCTACCTGCCCGTTACTCATGCAGTAGCCATCTCAGTAATCAGAGCCACTGTCATGGCATTATAGTGTGTGTTCAAGTGACCTTTTTATTAATGGCCCAAAGAGCAAGAGGAGTGACGATGGCAACTTGAATGGGTCAGAGGAGCCATAATGTGCCTTGGTGATGTGAAAAAATATCTCTTTTTTTTGTGACAGCACAGATTTGAACTCAGGGCCTCATGCTTACTAGGCAGGTGCTTTTACTGTTCGAGCCACTCTGCCAGCCCCAAAATGATGTCTTACTGCAATAAGGTATTTTGAGAGAGAGAGAGGAGGGGACTTATTTCAGTACATTGTGGAAAGAATAACAGTGTTTCATTGTTATTTTGTTCTTATTGTTTTTAATCTCTTACTGTGCCTGACTTACAATTTAAACTTTTTGGGCATATAAAATAGAGGAAGAAGCACGGTAGAGATACAGGGTCCAGGCACGAGCGTTAGTACTGTCAGCCATGAACAAAAGGGACAGAATCTGCAGCGAATATTAAATAAGGTGGCTTTAGCAGAAACATAGGAACAAGGTGACACACTGACAGGAGGACAATCCGCACTAGCAGAGGCTTGGAGGAACCCAATCCTACATTTCTCCTGGGAACTGGGGCTAATGAGTATGCTTTGTTTTGTTTTGTTTTTGCTAATCCAGAGTTTACAGTGACTTCATAGAACGTAACTTGTGAAATAATGACAATTCACTGTATTATTTTTAGATATTTTTCTTTCATTATTATTATTACTTTTTTTTTTGGTTGGCCTGGGGTTTGAACTCAGGACTTGGTGCTTGCAAAGCAGATGCTCTACCACTTGAACTCCACCTCCAGTCCATTTTGTTCTGGTTATTTTGGAGATAGGGTCTTGAGCACTGTTTGCCTGGTCTGGCCTCGAACTGCGATCCTCCTGATCTCTGCCTCCCAAGTAGCTGGGATTACAGGTGTGAGCCATGGGTGCCCAGCCTATTATTATTTTTTCGACACAGCTCTCACTATGTTGCCTGGGCCAGCTTCAAACTCCTGGGCTGCAGCACTGCTCCTGCCTCAGTCTCCCCGTAGCTGGGACCACAGGTGTGCACCCCCACTGTATATTAGGCATCTTGCTGAATTCGCCCCGTCTCCTTAGAACACCCTAAGTGAGCAGTCCCATCAGTTCAGTGGCTCTGTCCCTGGAGCTGGGCAGAATGTGCACCACCAACGTCCTCACTCAGAGCCCGCATTGGGTGGGTCCTGCCTTCATTTACCTCCGGAGATGTCATGTCTTCTGTGACAGTGAGAGACGGCTTTCTCCTGTCACACATGCTCCCATAGTGCCTAAAATGCTCATTCCTGGGCTCCCGGCCACAGAGAAGGACCCACGTGTGTCCCCTCTCTTCTCTCCGCAGTGACCCGTCTGGGGAGGAGACCCTCAGCGTGCAGGTGCCTGACTCCATCACCAGCTGGGTGGGTGAGGCCATGGGTCTGTCTCCCTCTCGGGGCCTGGGCATTGCCAGGCCCTCTCTGCTGAGGTCCTTCAAGCCCTTCTTCATGGACTTTACCCTGCCCCCTCTCGTCATCCGTGGACAGCAGGTCAAGATCCCGCTCAGTACATACAACTACATGGACAGCTGTGCCGAGGTACTGACCCCCCTGCCCCCCAAATACACGCCTTTCCTGTTTGCTGGAGGCCCTGGCATCTTTATTATCGGAGACAAGGCAGGAGTGAGAGGTGTCTGAGTCCATTTGGCATTACTGTAACAAAATTCTACAGGCTGGGTAACTTTATAGAGTAAAGAGGTTTGCATATTCATTTTTTAAAATTAATTTGGTGGTAAGGATGGGACCCAGGGTCTCCCACAGATACAATACAAGCTCTACCACTCAGCTATACACCCAGCCCTGCAAGGTTTATTTTGCAGGTTTTCTCTTTTTTGGGTAGCAGCACTTGGACTTGAACTCAGGGCTTGGGCTTGCAAAGCAGATGCTCTACTGCTTGAGCCACACTTCCAGCCCTGGCTTATGGTTCTTGAGGCCAAAGGTTGAAGGGCTGTGTCTGGCGGTGGCCTTCTTCTTGCTTGCAGTGTTCTGAGGTGGTTCAGGACACCACATGACAAGAGACCAGGAGCACATGTGTGTCTAAGTCCTTTGTTCTCGCTCCCTTTTCCTCTAATACCACCATGGTATGGGGGGCTCCACCCTGATCTAGTTCTAAACACCACAGTCAGATTGAGTTTCTGCCCTTGCGGGACCTCACGGTGAGGAAAAAATGTCATCCCATGAATCCTCGAGGGACATCCAAACCATAGCAGATGAGGCCAGCCTGGGGGTGGGGGATCTGGGAGGGTCACAGTGTCTTTGTTATCAAGCAAGCAGGGACCAGGTGGGGACACCCTCTGATTCACAGAGGCATCTGATTCCACCTGGTGGGGGGTTGTGTGGGAGGATCGGGGGCGATGATTTAACGAGCCCACCCTCTGGCTTCCTGCCTTTCAGAGGCCTGGAGTCCAGTATCACATGCAATGGTCTGGAACAGAGGGTAAATATTTCACCTCTGCCCAGCCATATGGTTTCTGTCACAGCAATGCAATCCCACCATTACAGCTAAAGAGTGCCACAGGAGACCTGTACCTGAATGGATCTGGCTGTGTGCCAATAAAACTTTATTCTACGCTCGGAAATCTGTTACATAGGATTTTCATGTGGAACAAAATATCACCCTTTTTCTTTTCTTTTCTCTTCTTTTCCTTTTTCTTTTTTCTTCCCTCCTTTCTCTCTTTCCTATATGTATCATGTATCAATCATATCTCTCTCTCTCTCTCTCTCTCTCTCTCTCTCTCTCTCTCTCTCTCTCTCTCTCTCTCTCCCTCTCTCATCTATATTGCTCTCCTGGGCTCAAATGATCCTCTAACCTCAGCCTCCCATGTCGCTGGACTACAGGTATGCACAACCATGCCCAGCTAAAAATACCATTCTTCTTTTGATTTTTTTCCCTCTGACCCGTTTCACAAGTGTAAGAACCACTCTTAGCCTGTGGGTCCTCCCTATAGAAACAGGTGGTCCGGTGAGGTCTGTGAGGTCGTAGTTTGGGCATGCTGTCCAGCCTGTTGGTGTGGCAGTTTTAGCAAGGTGTCAGGCAGGGGGGTGAGGATGGGGAGGACAGAAGGGTCACAGCTCCTCTGGGAAGAAATCGGGGAAACTGCTGTATTAGTGTCACAGTTCAGGAGGCCAGAAGTCAAACGTCAAGGTGTGGGCAGGCTGGATCCCTCCTGGGACCATGAGGGAGAATCCATCCCAGGCGACTGGTGGCTCCTGCCATCCCTGCCATCCCTTGGGTTGTGGCCACATCACTCCAGTCCCAGCCTCCATCTTCTCAGGGCCTCCTCCTTCTCTGCATGTTTCTCTGTGCCTGTCTCTTCTTCTTGTAGGGACACCAGTCATATTGGATTGGAGTCCACCCTCATGACTTTGTCATAGCTTGATTACATTGGCAAAGGCCTTATTTGCAAATGAGGTCACATTCACAGGCCCCTGGCATTGGGACGTCAGCACATCTTTTGGGGGTGTAGAGATGTCCCCAGTGTCCACAGTTCTGTCTATGACATTGCCGTGAGGAGGTGGGCTTGGGCTGACCTCGAAGACAGGGACGACTTCAGACCCTGGTGATGGGGGGGGGGTGGCCAGAGAGGTGGCAGGAGCTGTGGAGACCAACAGCAAGTGAGAGTGTGTTGGAGGCCTGGTGGTGTGGGGCCAGCAGGGCTGTGGCAGGGGACAGGCTAGGCCATCATCTTCCTTTGCTTGTCTGAGCCTCAGGAGCCATCTTGTCAGCTGGTGGATGGAGGAAGAGGGAAGAGGGATGGAGTCCTCCCCACTGTGGATGGGGTCAGCCCACAAAGGAGAGACCAGGTGGACTCTGGGGACATCTCTGACACGGCCAGTACTGATGGGAACTGTAGCCCACACCCCCAGGACATTGTGGAAACCAATGTCTCAAACTTCTAAATCCTGAAAAATGGGGCTTCTGGCCAAGGAGTGGCTGGAATTTGTGACCCAGAGGGCAGAGCAGCTGCTGAGGTGGAAATGGGGTCCTTGAGCCAGCACTGTGGTCCCCTGCCATCCTCTTTTCTGTCCCCCCACCCCCAGACATCCCTTAGGTTTTTTATTTTTTGTTGGCAGCACTGGGGTTTGAACTCAGGGCCTCACACTTGCTAGGCAGGCGCTCTACCCCCTGAGCCACACGGCCACCCTGTTGCACATTGGTTATTTTTGAGATAGGGTGTCGTTTTTTGGGCAAGGCCAGCTGGGACCCACTTATGCCTCTGGCACAGCTGGAGTGACAGTTGTGAGCCACTGTGCCTGGCTCCTTCAAGCTTTCTGCTGGTATACTGACTCATTTTGCCTCAGTTTCCCCATCTGTATATGACAGATGAGCGCTAAGCTTCCCGTGCTCACCCCTGCAGGCTGTTCTAGGGTGGGAGGATGAGAGAAGACACAAGGGACACTGGGGACCCTGGAAGGGGATGGCTACACATTGTCATGATTTCCAAGCCTGGCCCTGAGTGGAGGGCAGCTGTGTTCTGAGTCACGTGACCTCCAGTTGACATGAAATCCTTTGTGACTCTTCCCATGACAAAGTCTATGATCCCACTGGGTAATTACAGCTGCTCGGGGACACATGACCCATGTCGCACAGGCATGTCTGTGCTAGGAAAGGACTTTTTACCTTTGTCTTCCGCTGCCACCGAACAGGTGTGACACCAAGATGAACCTTTGACTCCCGGAGTCTATTTTACTCTATAACGGTGACACGTGCCATGTTTACTCACATACAGGCTTTTTGTCTTCTGGATCTTTACTTAAAAGATCATTTCAAGTTAAAAAAAATGGTCTGTCACTGCAGATCCCAGAATACAAATGAAGTACCCAGAAGCCACCAGAGACAAATTCCTGGGTGGAAAATGTTGGTGGTTCTAATTCATTTGGTCACTCAAAAGCTGCATCCTGCTGGGATGCGGCTGGCCAGAGGAGGTGACAGAGGGGCACAAGAAACCCAGAGCAGGTCCCCAGGCGGGGTGGGAGCTTGCTCTGACAGTAATGGAAAAGGGGCCTCCAGGGGACAGTCAGGTTCTGCAGAGCGCTGGTGGGCTGGCTGTCCACAGTGGGTGGCAGGGTGGGGCGGTGGGCTGCAGGGCTCTGGGAGGCTGCCAGGACTCCAGCCCTCTCATTTGCCACACTCTGCAGGTGCACCTGAAGGTCTCAGTCCCCAAGGGCGTCCAATTCGTGGGGCATCCCAGCCAACGCCACCTGACCAAGAAGCTGTGCGTGCCCCGTGGGGAGACTGATCCCACCTGGCTCGTCCTGTCCCTCGGTGACCTGGGGCTTGCCAACATCACAGGTGAGGGTGCCTGCCTTCAAGTCAGCAGGGGCCTGTGGGACAGAGGGGACAGCCCACAGGGAGGGGTGCAGGCCCTGTGGTGGACCCGGGCGTCTCCCTGGAGGAGCATCCAGAGCACACGCGTGAGCACACAGAGACGTGCACACGCATGTGCACGCACGCCCAGGAGGATGGTGGGGGACCTGCTCTCCGTCAAATCTCTCAGCCAAAGCCCTCCCCTACGGTGACACAAGCTACTGCCGGGACAGGAGGCCCAGCAAACAGGCGGAGGCGGATGGCACCGACCAGAGGGTCCCCATGGGGACGGACCACGTCAGGCGCAGCGTGATGGTCGAGGGAAGCCCACGTCCTCGCCTGCGGTGCTCCGCCCCGGCCTCGAGGAGGCCACTCTGAGCCCAGTGTCCCCTCCGTCACCTCTGTTCCCTCTGTCTCAGCCTGAAGGAGCACCGCGCTCGTACACCTACAACGCGTTCTTCTGTCCCAACGGAGTCCCCTGTGCCTGCCCGCCTGCCCTGGGGACAGAGGGCACAGCCATTAGGAGGTGAGAGGTCCCCAGTGACACCACGTGAGCTAGAGTGAGGGCCGGGCATAGTCACACACACAAGTGCATACAGCAGGCGACAAGCCCTGGCTCCCTTTTTGTGCTGCAGTCTACGTGTGTTGCTGTCTGCACCTTGGAATGCTACTCAGTAACAAAAAGGGACAAATTACTGATAAAACAATGTGGATGAATCTGGGAGGAAGGAAATCTTTGAAAAATCCAGAAGGAATCTTTAGATGACACAAATGATTCTACCTATGGGCCAAGCATGGTGACTCATGCCTGTAATCCCAGCTGCTCTGGAGGCAGAGATCTGGAGGATCAAGGATCGAGGCCAGCCTGGGCAAACAGTTCTGAAAACCTCATGTCTACAAAAGAACCAGGCTTCCGGCTACTCGGGAGGTGCAAGTAGCAGGATCACCATCCAAGGCGCTGGTCCTGTGACCGTATCTGAAAAATAACCGAGCAAGCAGTAGAGTGCCTGCCGCCGGGTCTCGCACTTGCTAGGTGGCACTCTACCAGTTGAGCCTCTCCACCAGCCTTCCTTAGAGAGTACTGGGATTACAGGCGTGCACTACCTCTCCCGGCTAACTGACTTGGGTCTGTGTCCAGTGTCTCGCCGTCTCTGTCGGGTTTGTGCCCCATAGGTTTGGCTGGCGTCGGTGACATGGCTGAACAGTGCGTGTCCTCTGGGCCTCCTGAGCTGTGCGCAGAGCCATGGTGGGGGCTGCCGCCCGTGTCCTGTGCTCACCTGCTGTCACAGGTGGGACCCTTGGGGCTCACTCCAGCCCCCCCTCTCGTGTCCTGTGCTCCATCCAGAGAGAGTCCACGCCTCCACCCCCAGCAAGTACGAGTTCCAGTACATACCGCAGCCTCAGGACCTCACCCGTTTTGACGTGGCCGGGCGAGCACACGACAATGACTGGGTGACCTTGTCCTCCGGGCCCCAGGACTCAGCGGGCATGCTGGAGATGGTCCTAAGAGGCCACCAGAACACCAGGTCATGGATCTCCACCAGCAAGGTGGGCGAGCCTGTGGTCGGCGCCCACACACCCAAGATCCTCTCCTGGCACGAGTTCAGAACCTTCTGGATCAGCTGGCACCGCGGGCTCATTCAGGTGCCTTGGGACGGGCAGGGGCAGGCACAGAAACCACACGACACTCTGGGATTTCCTGTTTCCCATTCTGTGTCAGGATCTATCAGGGGTCAGGAGTGGCGAGGGGTGGTAGTGGGTGGTCCAGGAGAAAGGAAGAGTGCGTGTGAGAAGGTGGAAGGGGACTGGACCATGGAAATGGGATATTTAGAAATGAATAGCTAACGTAGCGTCCTAGAAGAGGGACATAGACAAAGGGGTTTTGAAGTATGAATAGGAGCTTACCTGGTAAAACAGGGTGCAGAGATATTTCAGGTATAGGGGAGAGTGTGATAAAAGCCTAGAAGTTCCTGATAACTTTGCAACTTGCAGATATTAATTTAATAGGAAGAGCTCAGGTATCTTGAGGCCTTGACCGTGGCCTTGGAGCTGAGGCCACTGTTGTCCAAGCCCCACCGCACATTTTCTGCCAGCATGCGACACCTTTAATCTCTTTCTCTAGGTTGGCCAGGGTCCAGAGCCATCTAATGCATCTGTCATCGTGGCCTGGACCCTCCCGGAGCCACCGGAGGTCCAGTCCGTCGGCCTCTCCACTGGCTGGGGCTCCATGGGCGAGTTCCGCGTCTGGAGGAAGCCGGGGGTGGATGAGAGCTATGGCGAGGCCTTCACCCTGGGCGTCCCGCACGGCGCCATCCCCGGGTCTGAGCGGGCGGCTGCCTCCATCGTAGGTACGAATGTCAGCCCCGTGGCCAGGCTTGGGAAGAGGAAGAAGAAGGCCGGAGCCGTGACCCGCTCCAGGCTCATGGCTTCTCCTGGGGCCCGAGCGGCTTCTGGTGCCTTCTCCGTGTCCAGCCGTGTGCTGGTTGGTGGCTGTGACTGGATTCGAGGCTGTGGGAGTTTATGATTTCTGAGGCATACGAGCAAATTTGGGGTGACCATCGGGGTGAGTGAACCTCATGGAGGGATGTGGTGAGGAAAGAAGAGGAAGTGAGGGCCGAGACCCACGTACCAGTGCCTTCATCTTAAGTGAGATGGAAGGGCACAGAGGAAGCTGGGAAACCAGAGGAGGTGATGAGACTGTAACTGACTGCAGGATGAGGCTGCAGGAGCAACAGCAGCCTCCGTGGGGGCATGAGAAGGCTGAGGAAGGAAGGAAGGTGTGTTCAGAAGAGAGAGTAATCCTGGGTAGAGGAGGACTGTTGGCAGAGTTGGGGCAGGGAAGGCAAGGAGAGGAAGGCAGAAGAGCAAAGGACGACAGAAGAGTAGAAATTACAAAAGAGAGAAAGAGAGCACCCGTGGCTCACGCCTATAATGCCAGCTACTTGGAGGATGAGATCAGGAGGATCATGGTTCGAGGCCAGCCTAGGCAAATAGTTCATGAGACCCCCATCTCCAAAGGAACCAGAAAAATGGACTGGAGGTGTGGCTTAAGCAGTAGAGCTCCTGCTTTGTGAGCACAAAGCCCTGAGTTCAAACCCCAGTCCTACAAAAAAAGAAAAAGAAAAACAAAACCACATTCTGTACTTAGAACGGAACCAGAGTGACTAGGTCAGCATATAGACTTTTTGTGGATGCAGCTAAAGACCCAACCCTTCTTCTCCCCCGGGCCAGGAGACGTCATGGGGCCGACTCTGAGCCACCTCAACAGCTTCCTGCGGCTGCCCTTTGGCTGCAGGGAGCAAAACATGATTCACTTTGCGCCCAATGTCTTCGTCTTCAAGTACCTACAGAAGACGCGGCAGCTGAGCCCCGAGCTGGCGAGGGAAACCGAGGACTTCCTGCCTCAAGGTATGGGAGGGCACCCTGGGGCGGGGGAAGGAGGGAGCCAGCCTCAGCTTCCAGTAGGGAGGACCTGATGGGGGTGGCCCCAATCTTGTCACTGCCTGCAGGAACCTGGCTTAGGACCTCTGAATGCTAGCACACAGCCAGAGGGGGAATCCGCCTATTTTTTGTTGTTTTTGATGGGACTGGGGTTTGAACTCAGGACTTTGCACTTGCAAAGTAGGCACCCAGGCCTCCAGTCCATTTTACTTTGGTTATTTTTTTCCAGGCCGGGGAGGTCTTCCAGACTATTTTCGTGGGCTGGCCTCAAACTGTGATTCCCCTTGTTCTCAGCCTCCCGCATAGCTAGGATTATAGGTGTGAGCAACCATGCCCAGCTAGCGTTCTTGTTGTCAGCTCTAAGGTGGCCCTCTGCGTACCGTGCGTACTGGTAAGCACTGGCACCCTTGCTGCCTTGAACACATGTCCTGCAGCCACATGGCCGCACGCCCTGAGCTGGACGCGGGGAGCCACTGCCGTGTGCAAGGACCATGCACGGGTTTTCCAGGTCAGGACTTTGAGCAGGTGCTGGTTGTGCGCTCGGTGAAAATTTCCACAGTTGAGGGGGGAAATTGTGTCTCAGTTCACTATCATTTTCATACACATTTATAAATCACGGGGTACAAAACACAGACATGTGAGTTTCTAGTTTTAAAAAAGTGAGACAGCAGGGCTGGAGGTGTGGCTCAAGCAGTAGAGCGTCTGCCTTGCAAGCTCAGAGCTCTGAGTTTGAGTCCCCGGTACTGTGTAGCCAGGTGCTGGTGGCTCACGCCTGTAATCCCAGCTACTCGAGAGACAGAGATCAGGAGGATCACAGTTTGAGGCCAGCTTGGGCAAATAGTTTGCAAGACCCCATCTCCAAAATGACCAGAGCAAATGGACTGGAGATGTTGCTCAAGAGGTAGAGCGCCTGCTTTGCAAGCGTGAAGCCCTGAGTTCAAACCCCAGCCCCACCAAAAAATATATATATATATAAAAAATAAAGTTGGCAGTGAACACCTTCAGAAATAAGTGACACAGCCCTGGCATCTTCCGCCACCATGAGTCATGTCCTCAGGATAGGGGACAGCTCTGTCCGTAGAGGGCAGGGACACTGGCTGTCTCCTGTCTGCGCTGCACCTGGTGGCCCCTAGGGAGGGACTGGGGAAGCTGCCCGTGGACCGAACGCCTCCTGGAGGCCGACCGTGGGCCCAGGAATGCCAAGTGCACTCGGGGGGTCCAGGCTGTGGGGGGCACTTGTGTGCACACTGGCCACGTAGGTGGACCGATCCAGGTCAGGACTTCACCGGGACAGACAGACACTGTGTCCTCCAGACAACTGTGACCCAATGAACCCCAAATCAACCCCTTGTCCTCTACCCAGATGCTCCTGGGAGGGCCCCGGGGCCACCAAACATAGGGCCACAACCTGGGTGGCTTCAAAGAGTAGCAGTGTGTCCCTCACAGCCCAGATGGCCGGCGTCCAGAGGTGTGGACAGGGCTGCTTCCTCCTGTCCCAGGCGCTCCTGGTGGCTCCACACGTCCCTTGGTTTGTGATTTGTCACTCTGTTCTCTGCCTCCATTGTCGATGGCCATTTCCCCTGTTTCTGGTTCCTTTTTTTCCACTTAGGAGGACACTTGTCATTGTCCCAAATTCCATAGTGGTCTTTGGAGACTGTCCTCACCTCTGCAAAGATCCTGATTCTCCATTAAGGGCCATTTTGGCAATCTGAATGGACGTGAATTTGAAGGGACACTGTCCATCAATGCAGAGCCCTCCTTCCTCTTGAACCATCTCTGCGAAGAAGCTCTGTCCTTCTAGTCACTCAAGTGGCCAGCATCAGTGTCTTCCTCCTCAGCTTTCCAAAATCCACCCACCGCATAGCTCCCTCCGGCCCCTCTCCCACCAGCACCTCCATGGCTCCCAGCTGCCCACACAGCCGAGTCCACCTCCCAGCCCAGCCAGCTTCCCTCCCTTGTTCCCCTTCCTGACCACTCCAGCCCTTTCTGTCCTCTGTGCCCCTGAAGTGTGGCTCCAGCCAGTGGAGTGGTCCCCAGCCCTGGGGACAGAGGATGCTGCCTCAAGATGGCAAGTTTATCCCCGCCTCAGCACACTGGTGGTCACCAGGGACTGTGCCAGGAAATAAGACATAAATTAAGTGAAGCTTTCAGCCGTCCAGATGTGGTAGGGGGACCAGATGTGGTGGGGGTTTCACGGACCGTTGTGTAGTGTGGGGCAGTTTCAAGGACCCCAGGTATGGTGTGACATCTTTGGGAGGCTGGCCTGGCACACGCCATACAGCAGAACTCCTCTGCCCGCCCCGCAGGCTACCAGCGACAGCTGACCTACAGGCACCAGGACGGTTCCTGCAGTGCGTTTGGGGAGCGGGATGCATCCGGGAGCATGTGGTGAGTCCCCAACTCCCTGGAAGGGCTATGCAGTGGTCCCACAGCCACCCTGGTCTCCCCTGCAGCACAGCGCAGCCAGGAGACACAATGGGTGACAGAGGACATGGCCAGGATATAGATAGCTGTGGACCCACCTCTGGGGGTCCTTGAGGGACAGATGGGGGCCAAGGGGGGGACAAGCAGGTGACTGCTACTCTTTCTGCTATTGGTGTTACCATGGGGACCACAGCTGAGCTGCGACTTCCTGGCCCCTGAGGCCCAGATGGAGGTGACCTGGAGCAGGAAGAGATGGCAGGGAGAACAGGACAGGGCCACACACCAGCTGGAGGCTGCAGTGAGGGGTGTGCTGCAGGGGTCTGGAAATGGGGGTCCTGTTTCCCTGGTAAGGGGCTCTCCCTGGCTGTTGGGGGTGGGGCAACCCATGCAGGGGGTGACCAGTAGGGGGCAGGGCACAACTGAGTCTTGTGCCCTGGGATCCTGGGGCCACACAATTCTTGGCTCCCCTGAGCCCATGGGTCACCCTAACTCCTATGCCCGACCCCAGGACATATGACCCCGCATCCTTCATCCAACAGTGTCCACTGCCCAGCCGTGGTGCTGGTGGCAGGGAGAGCAGGGAGGTGCCTGACTGGCCCCACCCTGCAGTGAACCCCGACTTGGTGACCGGTCCAGTGCCCCAAGATCTGGCCATGCTGACACCCGTCCCATTCATGCCTAGAGGCAGAGCTCCCTGCCCTCGCCTGGCAGGGCTGCGCAGCAGCTGGGTGAGCCCCGTGGTCCCCCAGGGACCTCAGCTGGCCAGGACCGAAGCTGTGTGCCCTCCCCTGGGTACGTCCCCTGTGTGTCCTCCAAACACACAGCGTGAAAACAAAACCAAATTCCAGGGCTGGGATGCAGCTCAGTGGTAGCGTGCTGCCTAGCACGCACAGGGCCCTGGGTTCAGCTCCCAGCACCAAAACCACAAAAACAAAAAGTCATCCAGTTCCTTGTGTACATAGAAGCGTGATACCCAGGCGCGTTTGTCTCCCCTCTTGCTGTCCTGTTGGCTTCTGAGCACGGAGACCCTAGGACAAGGGTCCAGTAAGCCCAGGGTGAGGGAAAACCTGGGCTCTGCCTCTTGTAAGCTGTGTCATGCTCAACCTCTCTGAGCCTGTTTGCTGACCGCACGTCCCTCTGACACCCAGATCCAGGAGGCAATGGAGCAAGATCTGGCCGTGCCCAGTGAGTGCTGGGGACAGTGCAAGGAGCAACCCTCAGAGGCTCCCCTAAATACTTGTCTGAGGTACCAAATCCACCCTGGAAGCCTTGCAACTCAAGACCTGTGGAGTCGATGCACATTCATTCATTTCTTTGTTCAATGATGACTGCTGACTGTTTTAGTCTGTTTCGTGTTGCTACGACAAAATACCTGGGGCTGAGTGCTTTATAAAGAAGAGATTGGCTTAGCTCACAGCACTGGAGGTCCAAGAGCAGAGTGCCAACATCGGCCTCTGGCAAGGACCTCCTGCTAAATTATAATATGGCAAATTGTTTCATAGGGCGAGAGAGAGAGAGAGAGAGAGAGAGGTTGAGAATGAGAATGACATCACAAGGTAATAGAGGAAGCATGAATGCTGGGGGCATAGCTCAAGTGGTTGTGTGCTTGTCTAGCAAGAGAGAGAGCCCAGACAGCTGAACTCACTTTACAACAAGCTGCTGTTAGAGTAACCAACCCAATCCTTTGAGATGTAACCCACCCCTGAGAGATCAGCATTAATCCCTTCCCTGAGTGGCGTCTTCAGTGATCTAACCACCTCACACTAGGCTCTGCCTCTTAAAGGTTCTGCCATCCCTCATCATGGCCACCCTGAGGACCACACTCCCAGCACATAAACCTCCGTAGGACACACCACATCTAAACCACAGCAAGTACTGCACATCAGGCTCAAGTCTCAGTCTTGGAGGGCACCGTCCCTGCCTCCAGGTGCCCGGTGAAGGAGGAGTGAGGGCGGCCCCTACGAGAGGTAACGGTTAGCTCCTGCTGCGTAACAAGTCACCCCCAAATGTAGCCACTTAAAATGACAAGCGTTTATAATCTCTCTGTTCCCGTGGGTCAGGAATTCAGACACAGCGTCGGGGGATGTTTGGGGCTGAGGATCTTTCTGGGGCTTCAGTCAAGTCATTGGTATCTGAAGGCTCAGCCAGGGCTGGAAGGTTCCTTCACTTCCGGGTTGGTGGCCTGCATGGCTGTCAGCAGGAGGCCTTGGTTTCTGCTATGTGGACTTTTCCATGGAGCTACTTGAGTGTCCTCCCAACATGGCAGCCAGCTTCCTGTCAGAGTGAGCCACCATGCAAGAAAAGGAAGTGCCACAAGACCTTTTGGATGTCCCTTCTGTAATTTAGAAGTGAGTAAGTCCAGCTCAGGTGCAAAAGCAAGGAAGTTAGGCTCCACTTTTGGAAAGGAGGAACAATATGGCATTTGTGGACATATTTTAAAATGAATAAAACAGGGTAAGGGACAGCGAGGGTTGGGGTTGGGGGCCAGTCAAGTAGAGCCACATGCAAATCCAAGGAAGCAAGAGTCCCAGGCAGAGGGAGCCAGCAGTGCAAAGGCCCTGGGCGTCATGAGTGGCCCACAGAGGGGAGGTTGCTGCGGCTGGAGTTGTGCAGGCCAGAAGGAGAGTGACCTGACAGAAGGGAGGAGAGGACACAGGGCCAGATTGAGCAAGGTGAGGAATTTGGAGTGGGTTCTGGGCAGAATAGGACGTCCATGAAAGGACAGAAAGAGCATTTGGTGTCACATGTCTCACAGTGAGTTGTGTGTGTTTAACTGATACTTTTATTTTTAGATAAGTTTACGTTTACAAAAAATTAAGCTTCTTTCTTGCCCCCCACTCTCTTCTTCCATGGTATGGGTGGGCCACTGTGTGAGTCAGCTTTCGGTTACTGTCACAAAATACCTGAGATCACCAGCTTAAAAAGACAAAAGGTCTTTTAGGATCACAGTTTTGCAGTCCATAGTCAGTTGGCCTCCTTCATTTGGGGCTGCGGGGAGGCACCACATCATGGTGGGAGCACATGGCACAGGAAGCAAAAAAGAAGAGGTAGAGACCTGATGTCCTCTTCAAGGCCACGCGCCCAGTCACCTAACTTCCTCTCCCTAGGCCCCGCCTCTTCAAGGCTCCACCACCTGTCAGTAGCGCCACAGACTGGAGACTTAGCCTTTAACACGAGACTGTTCAGATTCAAACCACAGCAACCACAATGTTTGTTCATATTTGTATTTTAAAAATAGAAAAGTAGGGGGGAAACAAATTGTAAAAAATAGAAAAAATAAGGTGAACAGGATGGTAGTCCCGTCATTCTTTGTGAACATGTGGCCAGGTGCCGTATTTGCTGGATTTCCTGCCAGACACAGAATGTGAGTTTCCCTGGGATGCTGCACACATGACAGGTGGCACAGCAGGGGCTGGCCCGGGAGATGGGAGCCATAGATGGTTGTGCAGTATTTGGAGGGAGTGTGGCCAGGATGAACTAACCCCCATAAACAGAGCCTATGGCAACTTTGATGCTGCCTTTGGGTGACTTCCTCTGCCAACAGTTTTATTTCTGGTCCCTCTTGGCTCCCTGGTTTCTGTCCAGTGATTCTCTCTCTCCCTTGGTCACTCATTCATCCCATGACACCCCTGCCAGCTGGATGGGGAGGATGTGGGGAGAAGGGACAGGCAGCAGGACAAAGGTAGGGTGGTGGTGAGGGCAGTGGAGAGCTGCAGGGGTCCAGAGTGGACACTCCACCCTGCAGCGGGGTGTCAGGAGGCCTCCTTTGGGGAGAGAAGCCTGTGCCAAGCATTGAAGGCAAATGGGTGATGCATCAAAGGTCCCAGTGGGACAGAAAGTAACTGGAGTTCGTGAGTCCATGGGATGTTTTCAGCTGCAAGCAACTGAAAATCATTTGTTAGGATCAGTTCACAGGGCTGGGGAGGTGCCATGGACCCCCCTGGATTCCCTCAGCACAGCAGATATTTCCTTCATGGTGGCGAAATAGCTGCAGCTGCTCCACACATCACCTCGCATGCACATTCCAATGCATTTCCATGTCTGAGAATTTGGCAGGTTGTGGGACTGGGCTAGTTCACAGAAAATCCTTGAATGCTGGGCCAGGGGCAGACCTGGGTGCTCCGGGACAGAGAGGGCTGAGTTCCATCCCCAGGTCCCTCTGGGTGCGGGCACTGTGCCCTCGTCACTTGTGAGTGCTCACGATGACTTTGTGCAGGTGGACTGGAGACCCTCCCATCTCACACATGAGGAAAGAGTCTGCAGATAGTGCAGGGGCTTGGCTGCGGTCTCCCATCCCGCACGTGGAGGGGGCAGCCCTCTCCCCAACACACACCTCTCCTCTTCTTTCAGGCTCACAGCCTTTGTCCTGAAGTCCCTCTCCCAGGCTCGAAGCTTCATCTTCATCGACCCGAAGGAGCTGGTGGCTGCCAAGGGTTGGATCATCCAGCAGCAATGGGCAGATGGCTCCTTCCCGGCAGTGGGAGGATCCTGAACAAGGACATCCAGGTGGGTGGCCTCTCAGGTCACCTCCAGAAGTCTCAGCCCTGCCTGGCTCCTGCTCCTGCTCCTTGGAGCAGGGGGAGGAGGGGAGGAGCTAGTGTTGAGTGAGGGGCGGGGCTGTGGGGTGGGCGGGGCCAACATTGGGTGTTGGGTGGGGCCATAGGGGGATGGAGCAGGGCCTGGGCAGTGGGACTGAGATGCCATGAGAGGGAGGGGCGAGAGCTGAGGGAAGGGCGGGGCTTAGGCTGGAAGGGGAGCAGAGCAAGGGGAGAAGGCAGGGCCAGTGATGGGCGGAGCCTGGGCAGCTTGACCAGAGATGCCCTGCGGGGGAGAGGCCAGAGCTGGGGAAGGGCGGGAGCTACAGCTGGAGGCGGGGCCAGTGATGTGCAGTGGGCGTGGTCATTGTGAGGGTGGGGCCTGGGGAGGTGGAGCCTGTGAAAGGTAGTGGGTGGGGCCATGGTGGGGGCGTGGCTTGGAGGGAGGTGGGCTGTCTTTGACCCGGGGTGAGGCCAGTGAGCCCTCTTGCAGGGTGGGATCCATGGCACAATTCCGCTGACGGCTTACGTGGTGACTGCTCTCCTGGAGACTGGCATGGTGTCAGAGGTGAGCACAGCGGGGGAGATCCAGGGCCTGAGGTGGGACTGGAGGGGCAAAAGGGAGGCTCCCTCCCTTATGGCAGGATTTTTTTCTTCCTGGCCACCCTCCTGGTCACGAATGAGGCTGTTTCATCTTTACCACTGGATGTCCACCTACCTTCTCATAAACTGAACAGAGGAGAGATGGAGTCTCCTGGCAGCCATGGGGACAGAATGGGGAGCAATTAGTCATGGGTGGGGGAAATATTAGCTTTCCATCACTATAATGAAATGCCTGAGGTGGTGTTCTCATAAAGAGGAAAGGTCTGTTGTGGCTGAACGTTTTGGAGGCTCCAGTCCATGACTGCTTTCCTCTGTGGCTTTGGGCCTGTGAAGAGGGTGAAACCTCATGGCAGGAAGCAAAGGGGAAGGGGAAGAGGCCCCTGTTCCCATAACCCCTTTGAGGGCACACCCCTGATGTATGAAAAAGCTGAGACCTAAGTAATGGGAAGGAGGCAGGGCTGGAGGAATATGAGGGGAAATGTTTCCAGTGGAAGGAATGCACGTGCAAAGGCCCTGAGGCAGGCCACACAGCACACTTCAGGAAGAGAAAGGCAGCTATGGAGGCTGGAAAGGAGTTGTGAGAGGGTGCACAGGAGGAGAGGAGGTGAGACAACAAGGCAGTTACAGCGGGCTGTGTGTGGGGCTCAGAGAAGCTGCAATTTAATCTAAATGTAGGCAGGAATTGTGCTGAGTGAGAGGAGCTTTTGCTCACCCCATGCATGGTGGGCTCGTCTGTCCCACCCTGCTTGAGTTTCTCAGTCTTCCTCCGAGGAGTCAGTGGGATCGGCTGCCTCTGTCCCTTTCCAGAGACACAGTTCTATCCTGTCTGTTGATTGCTGACGGCATGCCAGTGCCATGCCACACACCTGGACACCTGTTGTCTCTCAGTATTTGTGGTAGACTGGTTCCAGGATCAAATATCAAAATTGAACTCAGAGCCTTGCACTTGCTACGCTTTAAAAAAATTTTTTCTTTTTTTTTTTTTTTTTTTTTTTTTTAAAGTCTTGCTAACTTTGCCTGGGCTGGCCTCAAACTCCTCATGATCCTCATGAGTAGCTGAGATTGCAGGCAGGCATGAGACACTATGCCTGGCCATCATTTCTTAAAGTTGAGCTACCTTGTGTTTCTTTCAGTACTGGAGATCAAACCCTGGGTCTTGCACTTGCTAGGCAAGCCCCCTACCACTGAGCTCCACCCCCAGCCCTGGGCTTTGGATATTTCATTTTCTCCACCTCCCTCCCAGCCTCCAAAGACACCTACCTCATTTCCCCCAAAGAGTCTTTTTTGTTTTTTGTTTATTTGTTTTGAGATCTCACTATGCTGCCCAGGCTGGTCTTGAACTCCTGGCCTCAGCCTCCTGAGTAGCTGGGACTACAGGCATGTGTCACCATGCCTCCCACTTCCCCCAGGAATCTTTGTCTGCTTTCCTTAGGTTCCTCCAATCTATTTTTCCCATGAGCTGAGGGACAGTGTGGATTTCTCAGCTTGGCATGGTCCTCACAGCATTCATGACACCCTTACTGGCCCATGTGACTTGGGGCCAAGCCTGTGTCACTACCCCTGCTCTATAAAGATGGAACCCTCTGGGAAGCATTCTTTCCGTGATCATAGCAGTTCTTAAGGTGATGTTATGTTAACTCTGCAGTTCTACAGTGACCATCAGGACATCTCTGCTCATTTGTTAAATCTGTTCAACACCCACTTACTCATTTCCCCCTCTTGATTGTTGTTGGACAGGCTCTCTGAACCAAGCACATCATTAGATGACAACCCTATCCCTGTCTGATGGCAGGTTGCATTCTAGGGCATATGACCAGAATCACTAGCCGCACTTCATTTGGAAAAAGGGACATTGAATTACAAGAAAGGCAATGGACTGAAGGCAGTGGGGAGCCATAGAGGGTTACAGAGTGAGGGGCTGTGAGCCCTCTCAGATTTTCCCCAGGCATTCACTGTCAGTGGTGGGTGGGATGGGGGCAAAGCAGTTTCCCAGGGCTCCCCTTTTTACCCCACCTTGCAGGAGGGCAGGGCTGCCATTACCAAAGCAAGGCACTTCCTGGAGTCCAATGGGCCACTGGCCACAGACCCCTACAGCTGTGCCCTGACTGCATACACACTGGCCCTGCTCCACAGCCCAGCCGCCCCCGCTGGACTGCACAGGCTCCACAGCCTCGCCATCACTCAGAGTAGGTGTCCCTGCCCCCCAGCCCCAGCTCTGTTTCTCCCCAGTCCCCAGCAGCTGCCTCAGGCCCCAGGTTCCGTCTGTTTCTTTGCCTACGATGTCACCTCAGACTTTATTCCCCATTCAGAGTAAAAGGAAGTAGAGAGCAAAATTCCACACACATGCACCTAAACCACAGCATCTCATCAGGACCAAGCGCCCGGCTCAGGGGTGACAGCGGGAGGTTGGGGACACAGCTGGCTTCTCCCCAGGTTTGAGGGTCCAGCCAGGAGGAAGGCTATTGACCACTGACATCTGCCAGCGTCACAGGAAAGACTGGGTTGCCAGTGTGTGCAGATATAAGATGGGAGCCTGAGACACTTCTGTCCCCACTGTCTGTCCCCTGGCACCTTCCTCCCACTGGGATTCAGTCTCTACATATCTCTTCTTGACGCTGGATGCATAGATGCTTCAGTGGGATGCCAGGCTAGCATGGGGAGTGTGACTGCAGCCCCTGACGCATCTTGTCCTTGCAGATGGGGTCACCCACTGGAGCCTGACAGGTTCCCGGGGCGTGGACAAGGATGCCTTCCCGAACTTCAGCAATGGGGTCTCTCAGTCAGGTACTGGTTGCCCCCTGGTGGCTGCCTTCATAGCACTGAGTCCTGGGTGACAACATTGAAGGTCCCCAGCTGACCTCTTCCTTTGTGGTAATCTCAGCTGAAGTAGAAATGACAGCGTACGCCCTGCTGACCTACACACTCCTGGGTGATGTGGCCGCTGCCCTGCCTGTGGTGAAGTGGCTGTCCCAGCATTGGAACACCCTCGGGGGCTTCTTCTTTACCCAGGTGAGCAGGCCGGGGATAGAGGGAGGGAATCAGGTCCAGCCGGTCAGTCATCCTGGCCCTTTTTTATCTGCAGTCTGTGAGGGCACAGAGCCCGAGAGAGAGAGAGAGAGAGAGAGAGAGAGAGAGAGAGAAAGACAGAGGGAGGGGGGTCAAGAGACAGGTACTCCTGGACCAGACCTTACACAGGAGCACAGCCCCTACCTCCATCCCAGACCTTACACAGGAGCCCAGCCCCTACCTCCATCCCAGACCTTACACAGGAGCCCAGCCCCTACCTCCATTGAGACATCTTCTAGATGTCCTGGGACCCCAGCTGTGTGGCTGTCCACATCTGCTTCTGTCCCTACTCCAGCTCTACAGACACCCCATGTCCTCAGGCTCCTCTGGACAGGGGCTGGCCAGCCAAGTAGCTCCTGGGGCTGATGGCAGCCTCTCCCTCTGTGTCTGTAGGACACCTGTGTAGCTCTGCAGGCCTTGGCAGAATATGCCATCTTGTCCTACGCTGGTGGCATCAACCTCACTGTGTCCCTGGCATCCACCAACCTGGACTACCAGAAGACCTTTGAACTGCTCAGAGACAACCAGAAGGTCCTGCACATGGCTGTGGTGTGTGTCCCCAGGGTTGGGGGAAAGTGTGCATGCCAACAGAGGGGGTGGCAGGGCCTCACAAGGGGGTTTTCTCTCTCCAGATCCCCAGCCTCCCCACGGGGCTGTTTGTGAGTGCCAAAGGGGACGGCCGCTGTCTGATACAGGTGAGCTATGCCCACCAATGCCATCGGGAACCGCAGACACTCCTGGAGGGAAAGGTGTGGGCTCCAAGCTCAGCCTCAGGTTAGGCTGTGTGACATGGATGGACAGAGTCCAGGGCAGGCTGTCAACCCACCACACTTGCCCATCCTGCCCAGGGCAAGTATCCATGATGTGGGATCTTGAATCGCCCTTAGGAAAATCCATTTGACCCTTAATCCAGTGGGTGCTGACCTAAGCAGACCCCATCCCCTCCTGTGGGCTTTGCCCAGTGCCTTACAATGGGCAGTCTACCTGGCCAGCCTGGAGTCCACCCAGCCTTAGATTAATATTATTTTCTAGGATTTAGCCCCAATATGGCTGAGGCAGGTGGGTCTCAGGAGTTCTGGTTGTCAGTCAGAGGGCATATTTTCCTCAATGAGCCCTGCTAGCCTCAGTTTCCCCAGCCCTCAGAAGCCCTGAGCACACAGTGTATCCAAAGGAGAACCCAGGACCCAGATGTGGGTTGAGCCCAGCTCTGCACCCCGGAATGGAAAATGGAGCTGACAGTTGTGTCTATACTTGCTTCGGTGGTTTGAGGCTAAATGGGATAGTGGAAGTCTTTGGAGTTGACACCAATGTCATTATCATAAAATTCTGCCCTTTCTCTTTCCCCATCACTCATTGGGTGGGGCTGGGGGGCCCCTACGCTTCAGTTCTCCAACATCCCCCCAGATTGATGTCACCTACAATGTGCCTGACCCAGTGGCCAAGCCAGCCTTCCAGTTGTTTGTGAGCCTTCAGGAACTTGGAGCCAAGGGGCACCAGTCTCCTATGCCTGCCTCCTCAGCTGAGGGTCCCCGAGAAGGGGACAGATGCCCAGCTGATGACGATGACCCAGCTGCAGACCAGCATCACCAGGAATACAAGGTGATGCTGGAGGTGTGCACTAGGTAAGGCCACCCTTCCTGGTGGCAGGCACCTTGGGCCTGGGCTGTGCAGGAGGGATGCGTGGGGAGAAGGATGGATTCTGAGACCTGGCCAGGAAGATGTTCAGTCAGTAATTATTTTTCCTGTGGTACTGGGGTTTGAACTCAGGTCCTACACCTTGAGCCACCTTACCAGCCTCTCTGTGTGTGTGTGTGTGTGTGTGTGTGTGTGTGTGTGTGTGTGTGTGTGTGATGGATTTTTTCAAGAGAGGGTCTTGCAAACTGTTTGCCCAAGTTGGCTTTGAACCATGATCCTCCTGATCTCTGCTCCTGAGTAGCTAGGATATATGTGTGAGCCACTGGCACCCAGCCAGTGATGGTTTTTGAGATGAATGAAAGAGAAAGAAATACTTTGATCTCAGGAATGGTCAAGGCAGACGGGCAGGGTAGGGACACCCATGTGTGGCCTGCAATCTAGTCCCTCCCTGATACCCCAACTCCAGGCTTACTAGGTAAGCCTAAGACCCAGTCATAGTGGGTCCATCCTAAGAGGATGCTGTTTGCCACGGCAATGGAGATGCTTGTTGCCACAGTGAAGATCTGGGAGGTCAAAGATGGATGGGTGAATGGTTGCCATGTTACCCATCAGAGCTGCCCAAGCACCTGCCTTGACATGACTTTCAGCCCACAAGTGTCCAGGCTTCCTGTCTTAGGAAGTTCTAGAGAATATTAGTCCAGCCTAGCTCAAATCCCCAAACAGTGGATCCTAGGTCAAGCAGGTCCCATGATGCTCCAGCCATGTTTTTCTGCTCCACAGTGTGACTTGGGATGTCAGGGAAGTAGCCACTATTGAATCAGGCAGGAGATGAGGAGGCAGCTGATGGGTCCCACATCCTAGGCTGGGGGTGCTCTGGTTCCTATCTTACATGTGTTATTAAGAACCGCCTGTGTGCCATCCAGATATAGGGCTGGCCTCACCCTCACGCCAGGGCCAGCAACACCACATCCCTCTGGTCCACAGTCTGCATGTTCCCTTCTGAATGCTATGCTCTCCTTCCTTGCACCCAGCAGGAAGTGCTGGCACAGAGCAAGGCCCTGAGAGCCCAGCTCCTGGAACCCCTTGTCACAGAAGGAGAAACTGAGGGCTGGTGCAATTTACCTGGTGTCTCCTGCTGGGGAGGCAGCTGTCACACACCTGGGCGTCTGCTGCCCCATGGAACCTCATCCTGAGTAGGATGTGCCACCAGCTGCTTCCTGTGCTGGTGGCACAGCATGGGGTGTGGAACAACACAGCTCCTCCACTGAGAGATGTGGGTGAGGTTGTGTGGCCTTGTAACTATAAAAGTGACTGACAAGCTGAGCAGATCAAAGATATTTGTACAGATGGTCCTGCTAGCCAGGCCTAAGGCAGACTTCCCCAGGATGTAGCCACAGGGATTTCAGGAGACAAAGGGAGGTGTGACTTCCTCTTTGAGGCTTGAATTCAGGTGCCTCTCTCATTTGTCACAGGTGACTGCACACAGGGTCCTCCAACATGGCCATCCTTGAGGTGCCCCTGTCGGGCTTTGGGGCCAGCATGGAGAGCCTGGAGCAGGTGAGCCAGAGCTGGTAGAAGGGCCAGGTGGGGTCTCACAGTGAATGGGCAAGGGCTTAGGCACCTGGGCTCAGGGTGCCTGGTAGCGCCACCCTTTGTAAACTGTTGATAGCTTTGAGGGTTTGTTTTAGTCTTTTGTTTATTTGTGTTGTTGTTTTTTCTGTCTTTCCCCCACTTTCTGGGCAAAGGTGGTTGTGGGAAGGTAGACAGATCTCTGGTGGGGCCACCTGTGATGCTAGTACTTTCCGTGGACTGGAGTGCCAAGGGGTTGGTTCTGGGAGACCAGTTGTTCCCCTCGCAAGCTGGAATAGACCAGTGTCACATCCCTGTTTTGTAAGGGAGGCACACGAGGTTGTAGGACAGTAGCTCTTGCCTGAGGCTACACTGGAGCCCAGGGTGGGGGTGGGGGAAGAGGAATAAGAAGCAAGGACTCCAAGCCAGTGTGTGTGGGGGTGTGTGTGACATGGGGATGGGAGGTGGGGAGATGAGAAGAGGACCAGGGAAAGGGGAAGGATCACTCAGAGGCCTTGGGGTGGAAGTAGGGTTTTGTGCCCAAAACTGAAAAGTCCCACACTGAGGTGGCAGGGTGAATGGTGCAGGTAAGGTAGGATTGATGGCAGGGCTCAGGTGAGTCCCTCCTGTCTCCCAGAGAGCCCTGGGTGGGCCAGGGGCTGGACTGGGGAAGGCACAGGAGAGGCAGAGGGTGCTATGGGTGGGGTACTCAGCCATGAGCCCCTCTCCTGAGAGCTGGGAGGCTGGCGGAGCCTGGGGACACTGAATGACCATGGCAGGCCGCCTCATGTCTCAGGGCTGCAGCTTCCTCCCCACCACCTCCGGCCTCCCCCTCACCACTGTGGGCTCGGGATCAGGGAGGAAGTGAGCAGTGGGGGTAGAGGGCCATAAACCTTACTTCAGGCTTCCTCACAGCTGCTCCTAGACAAGGACATCGAGATGAAGAGGTATGAGGTGGCCGGACGCAAGGTCCTCTTCTACTTTGATGAGGTACTGCCTGCTGGGCTGGGTGGAGGCTTCCCTGCTATACCCCACGTTGGGAAGGGCACAGTGGTACGGGCTGGTGTGGCTTCCTGCAGCTGTGTCATACTGTGACACAGACCCTGGGAGAATAAATTCCAGGCAGAGATAGCCTGGTGATGGCTCTGCAGCCAGTGTGGGTCAATCTTGGCGGAAAAGAGGGAAGGAGATACAGTAGAATATTACTCACCTGTAAAAAGGGATGAAGTCCTGTTTCATGCTACAAGGTGTCTAAACCTCGAGTACAAGATGCTGAGTGACACTAGCTAGACACAAAAGGCCACATAATGTGTGACCCCATTGATAGGAAATGTCCAGAACAGGCAAATCCAGAGAACGGAAGTAGATGAGTAGCTGCCAGGGGCTGGAGGGAGGGTGAAGAATAGATGGGAACAGGTCTTCTCTGGGGTGACAGCAGTGTTGTAAATAACTGTGAACTTGTAAATGTCACACACACACACACACACACACACACACACACACACAAAATCGAGGGAGTGGGATTGAAAGACGAGCAACTCCGAGCTGCTTTTGTCCCCAGGTGGGATGCAAGGACGCACAGAGTAAAAATGGGTTCAGGTTTCTGGATTGCATGCCTCTCGGGTACCCCGACATCAGCCAGTGCTGGGCCCACGCCTGGGACACCACAGAGCCGAGTGGTCCTCGCTAAGCCCGGGCCTGTCCTGTGTCCCCCGCAGATCCCCAGCCAGTGTCTGACGTGCGTGAAGTTCCAGGCGCTCCGCGAGTACGTGGTGGGCAGGACGTCCGCGCTGCCCATCACTGTGTCCGACTACTATGAGCCTGGTAGGCCCGCGCCCGCCAGCACCCCCAGCCCAGACCCTCCCCCGGCCACCCCTTTCACTGTCACTCTTGGTCCCCGCAGCCTTCCAGGCCACGCGCTTCTACGTCAGCGCCCGCAGCCCGCTCGCCCGCGAGCTGTGCGTGGGGCCCGCGTGCAACGAGGTGGAGCGCGCCCAGGCCCAGGGTCCCGGTGAGTCTGCGGGGCCACTGTCGCCCCCCACCCCATACCGCCTCCTCCCCGACCACTCCGCGGGCTCCGGAAAGCCCGTCCCCCTGAAATCAGATAAGGGACTTCTCCAGGCACAGGAGGGCAGCATAGACCAGCCCGGAGTGCGCGCCGCAGTGCTGGCCTGCGCGACGCCTCGGCAGGGGGCGGGGTGGGCGGGGCTGAGCGGAGTGGGCGGAGCTTAACGTTGCGGGGCCGTCTTGGGGAGTGGGCGGGGCTGAGCGTGTTGGGGCGGAGTGGGCGTGGCTGAGCAGGGGTGGGCGGAGAGTGGGAGGCCGACTGATAAGAACAGTCGCTTCGGTGAGGGCGGGGCCAGGAGGGGCGTGGCTACTGGCGGCGTGCCCGAACGCGGAAGGGGCGGGGCTGAGCGAGTGGAAGTTACGGGGCTTGAGGGGCGTGTCCATGTCGAGGGGCGGGGCAAATGTAGGCGGTGAGCGCGGAAGGGGCGGGGCTGAGCGGGATTGGGGCCCCGCCCTAGTCCCCGCCCTCGCTCTGGACGTGGAGATTTGAGCCCGGAAGAGTGACCACAGGGAAAGGCCGAGCGAGGCTGAGTCCCTTAGGGCACCTGCTTTAAAATTTCCAAATGTCGTGGGATGCGCTTGCATTGCTCTTAATGAAGACGATTTAAAAACGCTTTCGTAAGGGCTGGTCAAATACCTGGGCGAAACTGCAGTGTGTGGGGTCTGGGGACCTCGCATCCACCGTCGCGCCCGTGCCCGTCCCATGGGGGGAGGGTCCGGCCCCCAGGGACTTGTGTCCCCCACACCCGAGGCCCGGTGGGGGCAGGTAAGGTGTGGAGGGGGTCCACGGTGCCCCACCGGCGCTGCCTCGTCGCCCCCTCCCAGGCGGGTCCCCCGGAGACCCAGGCCCCGCGGTGTCCCCTGAGGAGGGGGCTGCGGCGCCCGCGGGGCCCCCGGGCGCGGCTCCGACGGCGCGGTCTACGCCAGCGCCTGTCGCCTGCGCGCGCCTGGAGCCCGCGCCCCCCGGCCGCTGCGCCCTCGGTGAGGACCGCACCCACCTGGACCCAGGGCCCCTCCGTGCGCACGGACCACGTCCTGTCGCTGTGTTCTGTGTTCTGCAATGCTGGGGACGCGGGCTCTACCACTGAGTTGCGCCCCCGCCATTTCCCTCCCTTCTCCAGCGCCGACCGCAGCCTCTCCGTCTTTGCCCCCTCTGCTCCTCGTCCCCACTTCCCCGTTCTGGTCACTCCTGCCTGCCCTGCTCGTGTCCCATCCCTGGACCTCCCCTCCCCCACACCTCCTCACTGCCTGTCTCCCGGACTCAGTCCCCGGCCCCCTCTTTCTGTTCCCCCTCTTCTCCCCCTGCGCCTCTCACCTCGTCTGTCGCCATCTGCTTGGCTTTTGAGCCCGGGTGCAATCAAAAGTCCCTTTAGCTGGCTGTGCTCCCCATCTCGGTTCATTTTGCGGTTTTGTGCCACCACGTGTCCCCACGTGTCCCCCTCCCTTGTCTGGTTGCTTATCCTGGGCTGGCTGTGTTCCTCCTTTTCCCCGTTCCCCACCCCGCCTGCAGTCTAGGTCTTGATCCCCCGTGCCTCCCCGACTGAGTCCTCCTTACTTCCAGAGCAGCGGCCACCAGCCTCGGCATCCTACGCCTATGACGGTGACCCAGCCCCCTCCATTCCCGCCCCGCACCGCAGGGCATGAAGCTGAGCCCAGCTGGCCTTGAACCCCTAGACTTGGACCCGGAGCCTGGCGGGGAAGCAGAGGACGAGTGAGAGCTGGGCCCACCCCCAACATCCCTCCACCTGCCCTTACCCCAGGCCGGCACAGGAGTGACTCAGGTGAAGGGGTCACTGGCAAGTTTCTGGGGACAGTGGGGAATCCATGCTCCCTCCCCATTCCCTCTGCATCGTCCTGTGTGCAAGTAGGGCTGCACTGTCCCAAGGCGGAGAAGGTGTTGCCAAGCCTTGGGAGCCCTGGTGGGGGGGGGAGGCCAGGCAGACTTCCTGGAGGGGGCAATGGCAGGAGAATCAACTGAAAAGTGTAAGTTAAAAGTGGGTTGTGTCAGCTCAGTTACGTGACCGACCCGGACACTGGCCGTGCCTCCCTCAGCCGGGTCTCTTTGGAGCTCACCCACCTCTCTCAGGGACAAAGGCGGCCTTTCCGCTCCACCCAGTAGACCCAATAGCAAGGACCCCTGCCCAGCAGCACCCAGGAAAATCCCTGAGGTTCTCAGGTGCGGGACAGCAGGCACCAGGCTAGTCCAGGGGCACCGCGTGTCATTGTTCGTAGAGGCATAAACGCTGGCGCGGGTGCCCCCTTTTCCAGGCTTTTGGAGTTCATTGAATTTTTCTGGTTTTAGAGTTTCATTTTAACGTAGCTATTGCCTTTGGGAGTCTCAGTTAAGTGCGTAGCTTGGGATGGGTGCAAAGCCCTGAGCGCCATCCTGGCTGGGGGGCTGGAGGGGGAGAAGAGGAGAGGAGGGGAAAGGAGGGGAAGGAGAAGGGAGGGAGGGAGGGGAAAGGGGACTTAGAAAAAGAAGGCTGGTTGGCAGTGCTGTACCCACTTGACCTAAAATGTACAAATTTTGAAGCCATTTGTCTCGCTTTCTGCTAACAGACAGTTTTAAACTGTCCCACAACGTCCCCCCACCGCCCCCGGTGTCCTTCAGCTATCTGTGGTTCCTTCAGAGAATTTGGGGGTTTGGGGTTTTTTGATCTTTTCAAGGGGAGGGGATTTTTTTTTTCTTTTCTTTTTGAACTTAGGGCCAGAGAGAGGTGCTTGTCAGGTCCCCTCCATCCTTCTTGGGGTGGTGACATGTTGCCAGCAAGACAAGCCAGGAAATGGACATTTCATCCACCCATTTTACTGACGTGGTACCCTCCCTTCATCTTCCTCCTGTTTTACGAGTTTTACACGCCCATTTCTGTATTTTTTGGCGTAAGGTTTTTCTTCACATCTGTAAATTTGTGCCATGACAACCATGGTCAACAATACAGAGCAAGAGTTTCTCTCTGTCCTTTTATTTACTTTCGTGATGCTGGGGATGGAACCCTTGCACACTAGGCAGGGGCTCTACACACTGAGCTGCACCCCCAGCCCTTTTTCGTTTTATTTTGAGATAGAGTTTCACTCTGCAGCAAAGGCTGGCCTAGAACTTTCCATCCCCCTGCCTCAGCCTCCCAAGTTGCTGGGATTACAGGCAGGAATCACTGCGCCCAGCCTCTGTTCTGCTCTTTCATAACTCCACACATCTTGCTCTTGTCACCTGTGTGTGACTAAGTGCTGGCAACCACTAGACCCCCCCCCCACATTTTGTCATTTCAAGAATGCGTGGTCAGCCCAGCGCCAGTGGCTCATGGCTGTAATCTTAGCTACTCAGGAGGCAGATTTAAGGAGGATCGTGGTTCGAAGCCAGCCCAGGCAAATAGTTCACGAGACCCTATCTCGAACACACCCTTCACAAAAAAGGGCTGGTGGAGGGGCTGAAGTGTGAGGCCCTGAGTTCAAACGCCAGCACTGCCTAAATACATAAATAAATGGGAGGCAAGCCAGACATGGCAGTGCTCACCTGTAGTCCCAGCTACTCAGGAGACCGAGGCGGGACCATCGCTTGAGCCCAGAGTTGGAGCCCAGCCTGGGCAACAAAGTGAGATACTGAGACCCCCATCTCAAAAAGGGAAACGAGGACAGACGTGACAGGCCCCAGCCTTGTGGACGTGGGTGGGGTGCAGGCCTCTTGAGGGCAACGGCCTGGCAGGCCCCCAGGTGGCTCTTTCCCTGTGTCCTGCTCAGTCACAGCGGCTTCTCCTAACCGCGGTGACCGCAGAGCCGGAAGACATGACCCAGCTGTCTCCAGTCCCTGTCACCAGACAGGGTGACCTTTGCGTCTAAATATTTATCTGATGAACAAATGACAGAGACCTGCCCCACCCTAGGATGGGCCATCAGGAGCCTGAGGGTGGACACCGCAGTCAACAAGCCCAGGAGGAGGACAGCTGGAGTGGCTGGAGGTCCCTTGAGTCCCCATCCCCACTTTGCCAGCTGCACAGACCTCCAGGTGTCCCTTCCCTGTCCCAGCCACAGCAGACTTTCTCCCTGGAGAATCCCCAGGGGAGACCTGTGGCCACCAAAGACCTCTTTCTGAGGGGGGACACACATCTGACCAAATTAGGGAAACGACGACATCACGCATACCACCCCGGTAACTTTGGAAGTCACCAGGCCATCTCTCTTAGAAGCGCACAGCCCTGGCTTCCTTTTGGGGCCTCACTGAATCCCTGGACTGGGACTCCATGTTGTCCCAGGACTGTCATAATCGCCGTGCCCTCTGTCCTGACCAGCACCCCACCCATCTTATGTGGCTCCCTCCTGTGGCCCTCAGTGTCACCAGGTCCCTTTTCCACCCTTCTCAGAGGTGTGTTCATTGTGGCCAACCGTTAATGACTGTGACTGCCACCCCAGGCAGCAGCGAGTCAGCGGAAAGGCCGAGGCCTGAGGCTGCGGCGACCTGTGGGGCCTGCATGTCCCCTCTCCAGCCTCACCCAGACCCCTGCCAGCTCATGGGGGCTGTAGAGGACCGTGGGAAAATAAAAGCTGGTGTCCACAGAGCAATGCGCTCTTCAGCCTCCTCTCCTTCAGCAGAGGGAAACTGAGGCGGCCCCTTCCCGCCCAGGCCGAGCCCCCACTCTTCAGACACACAGTGGGCGATGGCCCCCGACCTGGGCTGGAGGCTCCACTCCCACCGCAAAATCATGGGCCTCCTAGCCTCCACTCCTCCTCCTTTAGCCCAGCCTCTCGGAGCAGAGCTTCATACGTGGTGTCAGACACTCACAGCCCCAAACAGTCAGAGAGCCACGTGCAGTTGCAGAAATAACATGCCGGGTGCAGTGGCTCACGCCTGTAATCCCAGCTACTCAGGAGGCAGTGATCAGGAGGATCGGGGTTCAAAGCCACCCCCGGCAAATAGTTCATGAGACCCTATCTTGAAAAACCCGTCACAAAAAATAGGGCTGGTGGAGTGGCTCAAGGTGAAGGCCCTGAGTTCAAGCCCCAGCACCGCAAAAAAAGTCTCAGGCCCTGAGTTCAAACCCCAGTGTGTGTGTGTGTGTGTGTGTGTGTGTGTGTGTGTGTGTGTGTGTCCCAGGCACCTGACCCATCCCCAGCATCCTGGCCTCTCACCTGTCCCCTCCTTCCTTGCTGCCCAAAGCTGGGCTGATCAGAAAGGCCAGTGGGAGTCCCTGCCTTGGGGGGGGGGGGCTTCCTGCCACGTTCCTGCCTCGATGGCTCCTGACCTGTGGCTTGCAGAGTGGGGGACAGTGGAAGCACGTGTGCGTCCCCCTGGCACGCACAGGTGTGGCCCCCGCTAGCTCAGCGCCAGCCGCACGGGGCTGGGGTGGGGCTTCCGGCTGCACGGGTGCCACCGCGCCACTGCCCCAAAGTGGAGATGGAGCTCAGCCCCTGGGCTGGGGACAGAAGGGGCCCTCGGTAGCCAGGGCACTGTGGTGGGGTTTAAGACAACACCGAGTTTGGAGGAGCAGGGTGGGAGCACCCCACTTCTGATTGCTCAGGATGCACCCCAAAGCCGGAGCCTGGGCTTCTGGAGACGAGGACGGCCGCCCAGGCCCAGAGGCACCAGGGGCCCCAGCACGGTGTACGGGTGGAGGCAGGGGAGGCTGAGCCTCTTCCCCAGCAGGGAAGCATTGGCCTGGCCTCGTCCCCTCACCCCAGACACAAGGGACCTCCCTTCACCGCCCCATCCCGGGGGACAGCCAGGCTGGACCGTCTCAGCGTCTTTGGCTGACGTAACAAAGATCCAGCGTGCAGGCGCCTTCCAGAACAGAACTTTATGGTCGCCACGCTCCGCAAGGCTGAGGTCTGAGACGAAGGCGCGAGCGGGGCTGGGGCCTTCCAGAGGCCCCGAGGGAGCTGTGTCCCTGGCTTCCGTTGGCTCCTGCCGTCCCTTGGCTTGTGGCCACATCACTTCAGTCTCTGCCTCCGTCTTCACAGGGCCATGTCCCTGACCCTGCGTCTGCTCGTCCTCATCTAAGGACACCAGCCGCTGGCTCTAGGGCCCTTCTATTCCGGTGAGACCTCATCTTAACCCATGACGGTGGCCAAATAAGGTCACCTTCCGGGGTCCTGGGAAGGAGCGAGTTTTGGGGGAGACCCTGCGGAAGCCAGTGCAACCCCTGCCCCCTGCGGCCACCCCTGCAAGGCGCTGTCAGAGAAGTGAAGACTGCGTGCGTGTCCCCGGGCTGCCGGCCTCCCCAGAGGCCTTGGAGGCCGTGGTGCCCACCGGTGACTGGCGCAAGAGTGCTGTCCGCACCTTGTCCCTGAACTCGGCCGACACGTAGAAGTACACAAAAGGGTCTACGCAGCTGTTGAGGGTGCTGAGCGCCAGGCTGAGGACATAGATGGCGTAGAGGTCACCCCAGGCCTCCGGCCTTGGGTCCGAGTAATGCAGCACCAGTATCACATTGCTGGGCACAAAGAACACGGTGGCCGAGGCCAGCACCAGGGCGGTCAGCCTCTGCGCGTGGCCGTAGCGCTGGCCACCGGCCGCCAGCGAGCACAGGGTGACCCCATAACACAGGGCCATGGCCAGCAGCGGCAGGAAGCAGCCGAGCCCGGCCAGGCAGAGGAAGACCGGCCGCCAGTAGGACACCTGGGTGTCGTGGGGCAGGGCGTCATGGCAGAGCGTGTTCTCTGAGCCTGCCAGCCGGAAGCTCTGTCGCTTCAAGGTCAAGGGCAAGGCCAAGGTGACGGCCATAAGCCAGGCTGTGACACACAGCCCGGCGGTCAGACGCCGGCCGCGCAGTGCCCGCGCCCGCAGCGGGTGCACCAGCGCCAGGTAGCGGTCCACGCTGATGGCGGCCAGCAGCAGCTGCGAGCCGTACATGTGGCCGTACAGGGCGGCGGTGGCCGCGCGGCAGGCCGCGTCCCCGAAAGGCCAGTGCCGGTCCCGCAGGTGGTAGGCGAGGCGCGGGGGCACGACGAGGGCCAGCAGCAGGTCGGCGGCCGCCAGGTTCATGAGCAGCACCGTGGAGGGCAGCCGCGACACCCGCGTGGCCAGCACCCACAGCGCCAGCCCGTTGGCCGGCAGCCCCACGGCCACCACCAGCCCGTAGATGGCGGGCACCAGCCTCGCGGACACCCAGTCCTGCAGCAGCACCCGGGAGCTGCCCGGGATGTCCAGTGTGTCGCTGTCATTGGCACAGAACTTGCCTGGGAAGCCACGCGGCTGGATAGGGGACTTCACCTCCTTGGTCTCGGCCAAGGGCGCCAGCGTGCTTTCTGGGGACAAGAGGTGCCATCTGTCAACCGCAGTGGCCGCTTGCCCTGCCCTGGCTGGAAGGACAGGAGCGGTGGCGAGGGGGAACTTCAGAGACCCCCGCCCCCAGCTGGCCTTTGGTTCTGAGGGCACCCAAAGAGCCGCTCCCCAGTTCCCAGGGCCACCTGGGGTGCCAGCACAGACCTAGGTAAGGACACTGAAGGACACAGCCCCGCGCCTGGGGATCGGGCCTTGGGAAGAGGTGGAACCCCGCCAAACGCCTCCCCCGTGCTCCCGTCTTGTGCTCTTTGTCCCCTCCTCCACCTCTGATGTCCTCTGCCGAGGCCAGGGTCACTTACCTCCTCCCGGGCTCTCCCCCTCATCGTAGATGCTGGGGGTCTGGGTGCTGCCTGCTAGACTGAGCCCCAGGACCAGGGACCACAGCGGCAGCCCCTGCATGCTGCTGGGGTCAGGCTGAGGTGGCTGTGGGCTGTGGCCGTGTGTTTCCTGCCTTGTCACCCCCCGCCCCCAGCTTCCTGAGCCTGGACGCTGGGCGGAGGAACAGACGGTGGGCCCACGCTGAGATAAGCCAGGGGCGCAGCCCCCACAAACACGCCGGGGCCCACCGTGCACCCCCGAGCCCGTGGGAGGTCCGGCTGCCCTGTCCCCCGGTCACAGAGGCCTGTCAAGGTGGCTCCCAGGGGACTGGGCCCGGCCAGGACGTGGAGGGGGGTCCTGGGGTACAGATCCCATCCCAGCCTCAGTCCAGCCCCGAATGCATCCTGTGGGACAAGTGGCTTCTTCCTGTTGACCAGTCACGTCCGCAGCTCCTGGGTTTATGACAGCCCAGTCCGCCATGTCACCACCCCAAGCACACACACTGCAGCCACCCCCAGCTCCCTGCCGCTGGTGTGAGGACCAGAGCCCTGCTTCTGTGCTCTGTCACAGATCAAGAGCACATGAGTGGCTTCCTGTCCCCAGAGCGCCCCCAGGTCCTCTGAGAGGGGGTGTCTGCCTCCCCACAGCTGCTCCCGCACTGTCCCCTGGACAAAAGCAATGAGGGACAGAAACAGGCGACACCTTGTGAGTGTGTCTCTGGGGTCTGCAGAGAATAGCTGATGGGGTCTCGGGCCCTGACACCGGCCACCTGCTGCCCTTGTAGGGTCTGGGGGACCCTGGCTGTGCCCCCTGGGAGATTCTAGTCCCTAGTTCTCAAAGAAGCTCTGTTCTGAGCCAGGCACCGGTGGCTCACGCCTGAAGTCCCAGCTACTCAGGAGGATCGCGGTTCAAAGCCAGCCAGACAAATAGTCTGAGACCCCATCTTAAGAAACCCTTCACAATAAAGGGCTGGTGGAGTGGCTCAAGGTGTGGGCTCTGAGTTCAAGCCCCAGTACCGCAAAAGAAACAAGAACAAAGAAAGCTCCGCTCTTTCCTGACCTACCCTCTGCCTGGGACCCCGGAGCAACTGTAGGTGAATGCCAAGGGCAACGGCCAGGCCAGAGGCCCCCAGTCACATCCCAGCCACCTGGGGAGCATCACAGGCACCACTGAGCAGGGACCCAATTGTGCAGAGCTGAGCGTGGTGGTGCCTGCCTGTAATCCCAGCACTCAGGAGCTGAGGCAGGAGCGTCACAAGTCCCAGTTCAACCAGGCTACACATCGTGACCCTGTCTCAAAAAAAAAAACTAAGGCACAGTGATGTCCGTCCCTGCACAGAGGCCTCAACCTGCTGTGCTCTAGGGTCCCCATACTGGGGCTCTCAGCCCCAGCTTGGTCAGGGCTGGGCCCCAGGGGACCCGGGGTGGTCTGGAAGCAAGAGGTCCCAGCCGGGGGGTGGCTGGGGTCAGGGAAGGTGAAGGACTGCAAGGACGGGGGAGGGGTCCAACGTGGCCACTTCCTGCCTGCCTGAGTCCTAATCGCACACTTGAGGGCACAGGGACCAGGAAGGAAGTGACTGACAGAGTCCTGATGGAGTCACCCCCAGCACTGGGAGGGGAAACCGAGGCCCAGAGAGGCCTGGCTGGGCCCCTCACTGCCACCTCTTGGCCACACGGGATGGAGAGCGCAGCCTCTGCACGGGAACCAGGGGGTGTGGGGGACCCCGCCGGGGTGGGGGCGCTGGAAATGACCTCGATCTGTGACACGCGCTTCCACACCAGGGCTCCGGGGCCAGGGGTTGGAGGCAGAGGCAACCGCGGAGAGAGATGTCTGCGGCGATGTTCACGGCAGCACCGGGCTCGGCCAGCGCCAGCCACAGCCTCTCCGGCGGACAGACAGACAAAAGGAATGCAGTGCGCCACTGGTTTATTTTTTTCTTTTTGGTGGCACTGGGGTTCAAACTTAGGACCTTGTGGCTTGCTAGGCAGGTGCTCTACCACGAGAGCCTCGTCCCCAGCCCTTCTTGCTTTGGTTATGTTTCAAATAGGGTCTCACATTCTCCCCCGGCTGGCCAGAACCTCAGTCCTCCTCCGCCGGGGTGACAGGCATGAGCCACTGCACCCAGCTGCTTAGCTGTTGGTTGAGATGGGGTCTTGCACACTTTTCCCCCGATCTCAGCCTCCCAAGTAGCTGGGATTACAGGCGTAAGCCACCAGGCCCCACGTGACTGCTTTTAGGGAGCGTGTACTTTTCGTTCTGTTGGGTTTTCTGTACTGTTACTTTCTCTAAAACTCATTAAGAAAGACAGCCTCAAAAAGGAACGGAACTTTGGCCCTTCTTGAGTCACGGACAGACAGACACTCTATAGGGTTTCCCTTATCTGAGGTCCCTGGGGCCAGGCGGAGATAGAAAGCAGGAAGGTGGGAGCCGAGGCTGGGGGGGTCAGGGAGGACGCAAGCGGGGACATTTGAAGGCGCAGCGTGTCACAAGAGGGAGGCGCGTGGCCTGCGCACTTGCGTGGTTAAGGCGATAGGCTTCGTGGTGTGTGCGTTTTACCACGCGCTGCTTTTTTCAATTTCTTTTTCCCACACTGAGCAGCCCACGCTGGCCTGGGCCTCCTGCCTCTGCCTGCAAGTGGCTGTCAGCCACACACTGCCTGCACAGCTCTGTGGGGTCAGCAGGCGTCCCTCTCCAGATTCCCGCTGTCACCTCGTCACAGACCCTGTCCGCTGGAGGGTGGGGCATCCTTGGGGTGTGTCCACTGGGTCCAGAATCCAAGGGCCGCCCAGGGACCCTTGCTGGGGCTGGGCGCCCCCCTGCGGCTGAGTAAAGTCAGGTGGGGGCTCTGGGGAGCAGGCAGAAGGGACAGACACCAGCTTGGCTCTCGTCTCCGGGACACAGACGCTAGAGGTCGCAGTGCACCTGGGAGGCAGCACTGCTGGAGTGGGGACAGCTGGGGGAGGGGACACGTGTCTGGAGATGTGGAGGCCCCAGGGAGCTGCACAGAGGTGTGGGGCGGGGAGGAGGGCGGCCCACGGGCAGGATGGGGACACAGTGACTTGAGGACCAGGAAGGGAGAGCAGCCGGGGCGTGGCGTTTTCGTGGGTAGGTGGGGGTCTGGGAGCAGCAGGACAGAGCCCGGGTGGGGACACTCGGAGCCAAGTCTCACTCGGGAAGGCGCTGGGGAAGCCCGTTCTAGAAGCCGCTGGCAGGATGGAGGCTGGGGCGGGGGGCGCGGGGACACTCACGCCAGGGCTGGCTTGGTGGTGACCGGGCTGTCTCGGGAAATGAGTGTCCAGAGCCAGAGCCTCCGTCAGTATTTCGTTTTCACCTTTAATGTGCAAATAAATAGAAAAGGGACACTGCACTCCGCACAGCCGCGGGCGACGCGGGACGAGGGTCTGGGGGGAGACGCTCCCCAGAGCATGCGGGAGGGGACGGCCGGGGTGCGGGCGGGGGTCCTGGTGACAAATCCCCTCCGAGAAGCAAGGATGCGTCCCGGGAGAGGCCCGGCTCTGCCGCCCACGCCGCGGGTGGACCCGGGAGGCCACGCCTGGTGGCCCTGGCGGCTCCAGGTGACAGTGGCGGGGGCCGGGCGGGGACTCAGGGTGGGAGGGGTGTGGCGGGGCCCCAGGCAGCTCAAGGGGACAGCGGCGGCAAGGCGGGGGCCGGCGGGCCGGGCCGAGGCAGCGCGCGGACGCGGCTGCGGGGCCGTCCCCGCCGCGTGGGGCGCGAGGGAGGAAGCGCGCGTGCGCACACGGGCGCCTCCGCAACGGCCCCGGGGCCCGCGGGGCCCTCAGGCGACACGGGCCCCTCCCGCGTGCAGCCGCGAGTCCCCTGCCCGGGAGGCGGGCCGGCGCGGGGCTGGGGTTTGGCACAGGGCCGGGGCGGCGGCGGCCCCGGGACTCAGGGCGAGGCGGGGCGGCGGCTGTACTGCACGCGGTAGCGGGTGACCGGCAGGCCGTGCACGTGCGCCGTCTCGCAGAGCGTCTTGCAGGGCACCATGTCCTCGTCCTCCTCGCCCATCAGCCAGTCCTGCACCAGGCCGGCCGCCTCCACCGTCACGTTGTCCTCCAGCCAGCGGCCGTGCCATTCCTCGAAGTGCTGGTGGTGGCGGAGCAGCACCAACGGCTGCACCTGCGGGGCGGGGGCGGGGCAGGAGAGCGTCAGGGGGCGGGGCGGAGGCGGGACGTTAAAGGGAAGGGCGTGGCGTAGGAGGCGGGGCCTGGGGCGGGCACAGGAGGCGGGGCGCCGGGGAAGGGGCGGGGCGGGTTGGGGCGCACCTGCTTGGCGCGGCCGAGCGTGCCGCGGCGGTACATGTAGTCCTCCGAGTTCACGATGAACACCATCTTGTGCGTGCTGAGGCGGAAGCGGCAGGCCACGTCGCACGCGCTCTCCACGCCCATGAGCCGCTTCCAGGAGCTCTTGGCCTCGCCGCGCAGGGTGCGCACCTGCTCGCACTGCCAGCGCCGGAACTTCTTCAGGTTCCTGTACCGGAGGAGGGGCGGGCTGGGAAACCCCGGGGCGGAGCAGAAACGCCCCGTGACTCCCGCCCCGCCCCCCCGTGCTCCGCTCGGCGGCCAGGCCGTGGGGGGCCCGGCGCTCACCTCTGCAGGAACACGGGTTTCAGCAGGAAGCCCTCGGTGGGCGAGCTGGACGCGCCCTCCGTCCCCACGTACTGCTCCACGTAGCGAGCGAGGTGCTGGGGACAGGAGAGACAGCCTGTGAGCCCCGTGTCACATTGTGGACCTGTCATCCTGGGCCCCAAGATCAGGGGTTCACTGGGGTCCTGGTCCCCAAAGCGTAAGGAGGCCGGTGGTTACTGGGGGCCTTGATCTGCCAGGGGGACTGCAGCTCTAGTGAGGGACGTGGTCACCGAGACACCATGGTGGGCACGAATTGGGGAACACCGTTTCATGCTTCCTGGGGGGAGGGTCCTGGGTGAATCATGGCTTTCTGTGCTCCTCACTAACGCAGGGTCCTGGAGGGACATCAGGGCAGAAATCACGGGCACAAAGGAGGCAAAGAGGCCACATACACACTGGGGGTAGGTGACAGCTGGGGCTTCCCTGGCCACCCAGGTGCAGTGGTGCATGGCCTAGAGCAGCAAGTGACCTGAAGTCAGAGAATCCTCCTGTTTGAGCTTCCTAAAAGCTTCTGGAAGAAGGGGCAGGGTGTGCAGGCCCCAGGGTCCCTGGCCTTTGACACCGTTTCCTGCATAGAGGGCTCTGTGGCCTGACAGCCCTGAGGTGGGGAGGGAGGTAGCCTTGGCGGAGCTCCCCTGGGATGGGCAGCAGGGGTGTTCGGTTCTTGAAGGAGGTTGGGGCTGCTGGCCTGCACCCCAGCAGCAAGCCAGACAGCTGCCTTTCAGGTTCTGTAAACAGAAACCTCGAGCCAGTGAGGCACTCTGTGTCCCAGACCCCAGCAGCTTCGGTTAGGGCTGCAAAGGCAACAGTGCTCCTGGTGCTTATAGTCTGGGGCGGCTTGGTGTGGGAGAGAGACCCTTGTTGCCAGTCTGTCAGGACTTGGGGGCTCTCAGCACAGAGATTCGGGTGCTATAATCTGGCCTGTGGCAGGCGAGCTGGACGGGGTGGGTAAGTGCCGCAGGGCAAAGCCTCCTGGAAAATAAGCGCAGGCCTGGTGCTGCACATGTGCTGTACTTGGAAAGAGTATCATCACAGACAGACTCGAGTTAGGATGAGGTTGCTGTGGAGCGGGGTGAGACCTAAATCCAGCGCGTGGTGTCCTCACAGGACAACAGGGACACAGAGATGCAGAGAGAGGAGACAGCCATGTGAGCACAGGCAGAAACTGAAGAGATGGAACCCCAGAGGCTGAAGCCAGGAAGGACGTGTGTGCCTCTGGAGGGTGTGCAGCTCTGCCACAGTCTTGACTTTGAACATGTGGCCAGCAGAAGTGAGTGAGGATAAGCTCCTGTCCTTTGAAGGCCCCTGGTTTGTGGCCCCTCACTGTGATGGCCCAGGAGATGCAGGCGCTCACCCTAGGCAAGAGGAACGCACAGGAGCATCTGCTATGCTGCGGGTGGCCCAGAGGTAGACAGACTGAGGGGAAGAGCCGGGGTCAGGCAAGGCGCACAGCCGTCTCCTTGGGTGCCTCAGTCCCAGCATAACGTGTGACGTGGAGCTTGGGCAGGCTCCTCTGCCCTGTGTCTGCAGATGACTGCAGCAGGGCTGGTCCTTGGCACCGTGGAGAGTAGCACAGCAGACACCTGAGCCGGGGTGGGGCAGGAGCAACCCGCCCTGGTGGCTCCTGAGGGCACTGGCCCACAGAGTACAGTTGGTCTGCTGGGTATGGAACTTGCAGGGCCTCACCTGCACCTCCACAGGGTCCTCCGTCTGGGCCTCCTCGGTGTCCAGGAGCTCAATGGTCATGATCACCTGCCCTTTGCGCTGCAGGAACATTACCTGGGGTAGGAGACAAACAGCCTGAAGTCACATGACAGCCGAGGCCAGTGCAGGACAAGGCTATGGAGCACCCACCACCTGTGTCCTGGCAGAACTGGGGATCTCACTGTGGTACAGGAGGCCTTCCTGTGGCAGGACCAGTGTCAGCCCTCTCCTGCCGTAGCCCCTCGGGTTGCTAGTGTGCGTGCGGCTGGTCAGTCTCTCACCTTGAAGCAGTTTTCATCCGCCATGCACCGCTCCGCTTTCCACTGGTAGCTGGTCTCCCTGGCAGCACGGACACAGCGGGAGGACAGGTTTCCTCCAGCAGCACCCCGCTTCTTCTCGCTCAGGTAGAGCTCCACCACCTTCAGGCAGACGTCGTCACTCACGAGGTGGTGCAGCTGGGGAGGGAGAGCAGGTGCTGCTGCCCCACCTCCTCTAGGAGGAAGTCAGCAAGGCCGGAAACAGGTGAGGACTCAAGTCCTGATGTGGGGGTGCGGGCGTGAAGACCAGGCAGGCCAAAGCAAAGTCAGACCAGACCAGGCAGACCAGCAGACCAGACCAGGCAGACCAGGCCAGACCAGACAAAACCAAGACCAGGCCAAACTTGGACCAGACCAGAGCACGCCAAACGAGACCAAACCTAGACCAGACTAGAGCAGGCCAAAGTCAGGGCAGAACAGACCAGATCAGACCAAAACAAGCCCCAATAGCCCAGATCAGACCAAACCAGACTGGAGAGCATACCTCTCTGTCATTAATGGGGCCAGGGCAGGCTGGAGAGTAAGAGGATGTGGAAGAAGTCCAAATGGCCACACAGCAGTGACAAGATTAAGATCACATGAGCCACCAGGACAAAGCAACGAGAGCCCCAATGCAAACTAGTGACTCCCCAGTGACGTAGGAAGTGGAAAAACTACAGGACACGGGCCCAGCCTCGCCTGCTCCTGGGGGCTAACACTGGGGAACTGGAAGCTACCAGCCTGTCTCCACCCCATGCTAGAGAAAGTGGCAGCAATGAGTACGGATGGTCACAGAGATTCCCCACACAGGTATTCACAGCCCAGGCAGGCTCCACCCATGCCTATCCTTTGATCCCAGGAATCTGGGGCTAGGCAAGGGGATGAGGGAGCACAAGGGCTGAGACACAGAGGCCTCTCGGCATGATGTCGGGGACACAGCCATTCACACAGCTCCGTTTATACTTGGCTCAGAACCCCAGTGCAGAAATCAGGGAAGGCTGGGGGGACACAGGGCGGGAGGTTCTGTGTGTGAAAGCCCATCCAGCCGCACGCTTTGGATCTGAGCACTTTTCCAACTGTGTGTTGTACTTCAGTAAGAGCTCAGTGGTGAACGCTGGCCTAACATGTGAAAGGCTCTGGGTTCCATCCCCACTGCCACAAAAAAAGAAAAAAAACCTGGAAAGAATCTGTGTCCTCTTGCTGACATTTACTTAGCTGGGCTTTTCCTGTGATAAAACCCATGCCGCTGAGCACCACTGACGCCCCCAGGGGATGAGCAAGCCACGGAAGTTTATACGTTTTGTCACTACACCTACAAGAAACAGGGACTCAACGTGAGGCTTGCACTCTGCTCACCATCCCCACAAGGCAGCAACCACCCAAATGTCTGCAGGAGAGGAACAGATAAAGAAAGCAATGGAGCCTATCTGCAGAAGGAAATATTGGCCATGAAAAGGAAGGATATAATGGTGGATAATGTGGATGAGTCTTGAAAACATGACGCTGAGTGACAGAGGCAGACAAAAAAGGCCACGGGCTATGTGACCCCATCAGTAGGACACATCCAGAGATAGGATCGTGGACCCGTGGCTGGCAGGGGCTGGAGGAAGGGTATGAGTGAGTGCTGGAACTGGATGGAGGGTGGCTGCGGGACCCTTGCAGACACAATGCACTGTCTTGGGAGGGGACCAGGTCTGAACGGGAAGTTCACTTTTGTTTCATATACACTTGGTCCGCACACCACAAAGGCAACTTTGCACGGTATTTTAAATAATCCTGTGCCCAAAACAGTTTCTTGCTGTGGAATTTTCTACCTGTGACTCAAGAAGTTTTGGATTTTGGAGCACTGGGGACTTGGGATTTTGAGTTAGGGATGCTCAGCTTGTGTTAGATGTAATGGAACCGTGCACTTCAAAAAGGTTCGCGTGTATCATTTGAATTTCATCTCAACTGAAAACAAAAGGAAAGGGGAGGGCGTGCGGGCGCTCACCTGCCGAGCGATGTTCTGCACCAGCTTGTCCATGGTGAAGCCGATGTAGGCGTGGATGGTGAACATCTCGCGCAGGGTGTCCTCGTACTGCGTGGGGTCGATGCTCCCCTCCAGCAGGCTCCGCACCATGTCCAGAAAGGCGGGATAATACTCCTCCAGCTCCACCTCACCTGCGGGGACAGGACACGGCGTGTTTTCACTCACGCTCCCTGCCAAGAAGAAAAGGCAGCCTATCTGTGCAGTGACGTATTAGCCAACCAGAAAAAGGCACGGCGCGCTGACACCTACAGTGCCCTGCCCAGGGAAACCAGCATGAGCCGGTGGCTGTCCCTCACGCGCACTCGCCACCGCCCAGAGGCACCGGAGCCGCCCCGCCCGCCCCGCTAGGAGGAAGGCGCGGCGCGGGCGCGGGCTCACTGGGCTGCTTGAGGCGCAGCTCCATGGCGGGGTCCCCGCCCTTCTCGCGGCGGCCGGCGCACAGCAGCTGCTCGCGCTCCTTCTCGGCGCGGTACTCCAGCAGCTGCTTCTGCGCCTGCCGGTAGATCTTGAGCAGGCGCGAGCACAGCGTCTGGTGCAGCCGCAGGAAGAAGTACCAGTTGTTGTTGGCGAAGAACAGGCTGTACACGTCGTCCAGCGCCCGCGGCGGCCGTGCGCCCGCGTCCCCGCCGGGCCCCGCGTCCTCGGCGCCCCCGCCGGCCCCGCCGCCGCCCCCGAGCCCGCCGGCTTCCTGCGCTCGGCCGGCTCCGCCCCCGGCCCCGCGGGCCCGTCCCGCTCCCGCTCCCGCTCCCCGCCGGCTCATCGGGGCCGGGCGCCGGCGCCGGCTGCGGCTGCGGCTGCGGCTGCGGCTGCTGCGAGAAGAAGAGGCTGGGCAGGAAGCGGTGCAGCAGCTGCTGGATGGTGCCCTGGTCCTCCTTCTGGATGGCCGGCTGCCGCTTCACGTAGTAGCTGACCAGCGCCGCCGCGTCCTCCAGGATCTGCCGGTCCTCGTACACGAAGATGAGGTGCGGCTCGCTGGACGGCGCGCTGCGGCCCTCCGAGTGCTGCTCCTGGTGCTGGGGACAGGCCGGCGTCAACGGACAGATGGGTCCCCTTCCCACCCCGGGGTCCAGGCCCGAGCTGGGCGAGCCCAGGATGGGTTCCAGGGCACAGGGATCCGCCACGGGCTGAGCCCAGCCAGACACGGGCCAGCGCAGCGCCTGTGCCCTGCGAAGGGGCTCTTGCAAGGCCACCGCCAATGCCCACAGCAGTGCCCAGAGGCTGGGGAAGGTGCCAGCCTGGGTCCCCAATTTCAGAGGACGCCAGGCTGAAATGGGGTTGGGAAGGCTTGGAGTGGACCCCAGGCCTCTCCTTCACACAGACAGATGCCCAGCTACACCTGGGCCCATGAGCAGACATCTGAAACCCTGCCCCTCAGCCCTCCACCTGTGTGTCACCCACCTCCCTCCAGAGCAGGATAGGAGAGTACTTTATGGAGCTCCTGGCACAAACCGGACCTGCACACAGTCAGGGGCAGGGGTGCCCCTGCCGCAGGGACAGACCCAAGGCACTTGGTGGTCATGTCAGCTGGTCTCCCAGGCCACATAATCAACCTCCACTGTGCCCGCACCATGGACACCCTGGTGAGGGGTGTCCTGGGCCTCAGGCCCCACCTAAGAGCAAGCCTGAGCAGGCCAGGTGGCCCTGGGATGGATCTTCCTTGTCCCTGAGTGGCCTCCAGTCACAGCTCCCGGCAAAGATAGAGCTGCCCTGCAGCGCCCCCTGCAGGCCAAGAGGCCTTTGCTTTGTACTGTGAGATGAGGTGACCCACCTGCTCATGGTGCCATCACAAGCACAGCACATTAATTGGAGTGCAGACCCCTGCCCAGGGGGGCTCCTGAAAATGAGGCAGTGCCCTCCACCACACCCTCCCTGGCCACTCTCCCAGAGCTCTGGCTGCTGGTCCCAACAACTAGCTGCCACCACAGCTAGCAGCTGTCATCTCCCTGCCAAACATCCCATCTGAGACCACTGCAAGCAGGTAACTCTGTACACAGGTTTATAAAAAGCCCCCAGCCTTGCAACCTGAGGGCCGGCTCTGCCTGGTTCTGTCACTCAGTCCTGCAAGCTTCAGTGGCTGTCAGCCAAGGGACAAAGGACAGCAGGAGAAAGCAAAGCACAGAGAGAGACTCATCCCACCACCTGAAGCCCTGATCTGTACGTGGCCACCTGTGGTGCGTGTTTCCCCACTGGTACAAGCAGGACCTCAGCTATGCAGGTGGAGGTTTGCACAAGGTCGGATAAGACCATGTTTCCTGAGAGTTCCAGCAACGCCAGCCGTGGACCCGATCCCCTCCGGTGAGAACTACCCCGCAAGGCCTCTCACCTCATCATAGACGCTCTCAATCTCGTTGAGCAAGCTCTTGGAGCGCAGAGCCTTGGTGTCGTTCTGCTTGAAGTTCACGGCCTGGTGGTCCAGGGACTTGAGGTAGGCCTTCTCATACTGCTCGCGCCAGATCTTGTTGAAGCCCTGCTGGGCCTCCCGCCACTCCTCCTCCTTGGCCTTCAGCCTGCGGGGCAAGAAGGGTTCAGCATGGGGGAAAGCCCAGGGTTCCCTCCCTGAAGCCACGCGGCAGGAGACAGGCCTGTCTGCTTCCCGCACAGGGATGGCCGATATTCAGGCCAGATGGTGGCCTGGTCTGTGCGGCAGGCACTGTGCTGAATGAAAAACCCAACACAAAAAAGTATTGGTGGAGTAGCTCAAGGTGGAAGCCCTGAGTTCACACCACAATACTCCAAAAAAAGAGGAGGGTCAGGAGTACCAGGCCAACCTGGGCTACAGGGAGACCCTGTCTCAGGAAAAGGGAGGGGAGGGTGCAGTGGCCCTATCCAGCCACTGGGCACATTCCACGTAGCCGGCCCACCATCCAGCGCCTTGCTCCACTGTGAGCCCTGGAGGGTTGCGACCTACCTGCCTTGCTCTGCTGTTACCCTGGCACCTGCCTGAGAGCGGCCACTCGATCACCCGGTCATCCCATCTGTTTTACAGTAGTGGCAGTCAGCCCTGCAGCTTTGAGCAACCACAGACGGAAATACTTGAAGGGAAGCCTGTGACCTCCTGCCCATGCACGGCCTTCGTCCTTTGCATGTCTCCCTGCACAACGCAGCCTAACAGCCGTGTTCTTGGCGTTCACCTAAGCCACCTAGGGCTGACCTAGCGTCTGTGGTGGATGCAGGGATTTGGGGATCCTTGTGGGTCCTGAGCTGATCCTCTCGAATGCAAGGGACAACTGTGCTTACAGAGTGGCGCGTCCTAGGACACAGCCATCTTTCAGTGCGCCCCACTCGGGAGCAGGAGACGTGGCTAACTGGTGACCCAGGGACCTGGCCGGTGCCGCTCCGAGGTGGGTGGGGTTGTGCAGACCGCAGACACCTTTTCAGGACGACGGGGACGGCGGTGACGGGGTTCTTCTTGAGGCTCTCGATGATCTCAGGGGCCTTGTCCCCATAGATGCGGTGGATGGCACGCCGCTGGATCACCTCGGACGTGCCGCCCAGGGAGTCATCCAGCCGGAACTTCTCCTGCTCCTCGGGTGCCATCCGCGACAGCTTCTTCTGCACGCTCTCCAGAACCCGGATGGTGGCCAGGTTGGTCTCCAGGACTACGTCTAACTATGGAGAGGAAGCAGAGGTGTCAGCTGTCAGGACACCTGAGGGTGGGAAGTGGCAACCCTAATGAGAGCCAGGCTGAGCACATGGTTGTAGGGTGGAGGCCCCACGGCCATGGCACTGTTGGCCCTACTGTGGGTACCAGCGCAGCAAGGGACCCATCTGAGGACAGGGTGGTGGCTCTGGGAGGCACAAGCACCTCGAATCGCTCGTCCTCACAGCGGTGCAGCTGCTCCTCATAGGGCGTCTTCTTGGAGCTGACGAAGGTGGAGTCTTCCGACCAGGAGGGGAAGGACACCCAGGTGTCGTTCAGCACCTGCGGAGAGGAGTAGCCCAAGCTGTTAACTATACCATTTGTGCAGAGAGACAAAGAGGTGCAATGTCATTCTGACTTCGTCATACAGACAATGACATTACTCTGAGTTACTTTCCAGAGAAAACAGGATTTTTACCATGTGAACCATCACAGTATTTTAAGGGGCAGCAGCTTCTGTGTACAGGGCCTGCTGAGTGTTTCAGGTCTTTTGTCTTGAATATTCACCTCTTTGCCCTGAGAAAGCAGCCATGGGCTGTGTGCCATTAAAACTTTATTTATAAACACAGGCAGCGGGCCAGATTTGCCTTGTAGTACTTTGCTGAACCTTGGACAACTGCACTGAGGTCCGTGACCCTGGAGGGAGCCAGACCCCAGCAGCAACAAATCTCAGTCCAAGTGCTTAGGGACAGCCAAGCCCAACCACTGGTGTGGACTCTGCATTCTCCCCTCTGCTCAGGTGGGTGCTGGGGCTAGGTCCTTGCACCACTTGTCACCCAAAAGTCTGCCAACCAAGCACTTGGTCTCATACGAAACATGACAGCCATGAATGCCTGCTGGGGAGGCCTGGGGGTGCCCCATAGTGGCTGACCTGGCCATGTACAAGGAGGAAGGGGGCCCTACCTCCTTGCAGATGGCTGTCCTCCCACTGCACTTGGGCTGCTGGTAGGTTTTGGGGAGTGCCCGGTAGCTGGACCCGATGCGCTTGCAAGATGCATAGTCGATCTCTCGACTTATTCCGTCCCCAGACCGGTCGCTCATGGGTGGTGCAAATGACAGTTCTTTCACTCCCAGGAACGACTTGAACTGTGCAAAGAGTTCTGGAAATTTCCTTCAAAAATAAAAAGAAACTGTAAATTGGCATCCCTGGAACCTTCTGGGAAGGATCTAGAAACCTGACAGTGGCCTTGTGAGGAAGACAGTCAGAATATGACATCAGGGAGGGACCAAGTGTGAGGTGTTCCATGGTCTCTGCGTGGTGCCTGTGTGCAAGCAAATCTGCCCCATCTTTGGTCACCAACCAGGCCTTTCCTGGAGCTGCACAGCCTGCCACTCCCAGGAGGGCCTGGACACATGCTGGGAAAGAGGACTGTGGTCTCCAGCTTCTTACTTTCCTTCTGTGCCCTGCCTGCTGGGATTCCAGGTGGGTACCCATGCCTGGCCTTCCTTTCTTCTTTAATCCCCACACAAACCAGGAGAGGAAGGCCATGTGACAAATGTGGAAACTGAGGCTCCCTTTGCTGGGAGGAAGCAGTCCCGAATCAGGCCTAAGGCTTGTCACACACCCCATGTGCCACACACCAGCCATGCATGGCCGCCTCTTGCACACCCCTTGTGCACTGCAGCAGTCTCTCCAACAGCAGCATCCGTTCCCCAGCCAGGGCTGGGGCCCCAAGAATGCAGGATTCTGACAGAGGAGCCTCTGGGTGAGCATGCAACATACAACCTACAAAAAGCCAGTGATGGGGTGACATTCTACGACTCATGCCTGTAATCATAGCTACTGGGGAAGTAGAAATCAGGTGGATCATGGTTTGAGGAGCCTAGGCAAAAAGTTACTGAGACCCCCTTCTCAGTATAGTGGTGTAGTGGGCCTGTCATGCCAGCTATGTGGGAGATGTAAGTAATAGGATCGTGGTCCAATCCTGTCTGTGCAAAAAAATATGAGCCCCTACCTGAAAGTGCAAAAAGAGCTGGAGATGTGGTTCTAGTGGTAGACCGTCTGCCTAGCTCAAATCCCAGCACCACAAAAAAGAAAAGAAAAGAAACAGTGCTGCTTGCTCGGAGCTCCTCAGAGGGGAACAGCAGCTCTTCAGGCCCAGGAGGTCTGGGGTGAAGAGATCACCTGGAGTGGATCAGTTGGGACGCCCTTCGCTCCACCTGTTTCCAGGACCTGAGATTCACAGCCTGGGGAGGAACTAGGGACAAACGTCCACTGTCAGCACCCCTTGCTACTTACAGGTAAGGGAATAGGCGCTGCAGGTGAGGACGGAGAGTCACCCATGAAAGCACTTTTAATGAGCCCCCAGGGGCCTAAGAGCCTAACAGGAAGCCACGAGAATGCACACCCTGCACAGTTTCTCTTTTGAGACGGGGTCTCGCAGTGCCACCCTGAACTCCTGGGCTCAGGTGGTCGTGCTGTCACCGCGCCCGGGATACGACTGCATTTAAGCCTTCAGGGACACGGTCCCACCTGAACACGTATACTGTTCTTCCGTGCGCGCCCTTTCCCTAACAGATACTAGGTGACATGGGTCAGCGCCCTGCCTAGAGACACCTTTCTTGTGGGTGAGATGCTATTTTAAGCGCCGAGCTGCAGAGCCCACTTGGAGCAGAGAGCGCCCAGCCCTCCCACAAGTAGAGAACCGCGACCTGGGGACGCCCCACCGCCAGCCCGCGCATGCGCAGCACATACGTGGAGTGGTGCGCGTGCGCACGCGCAGCCCCGCCCGTCCGCGGGGGCCACGCGGCCACGCAGCACCGGCGGGCTCTGGGGAGCATGGCGGAGGGGGCTTCTCTCCCGGCAGCCCTGCCCCAAGCTGCCTCGATAGGTAGGGTGGCTTAAAGGGCTTATGGGGCGAGTCTCAGGGAATTATGCTGAATTAAGGGAACAAAAAGCCCATTCTGGCCCCGGTTCCATTTCTGTAACTTTGAGTCCGTGTGGCACACCTGTGGTCCCAGCTGCGTGGGAGGTGGGGGGAGGGACGGGGCCAGCCTCGGAAAGGCAGGTGAATAGGGACGCGGGGAGGTGGCACGGGCCGGGACCTGCTCTGCTGGACCCGAGCTCCTCTGTTCACCCCAGGGCGGGGCGGCACCCAAACTCCGGGGAGCCGGGAGCCGGGGGTTGGGGGGAGAAGCTGCTCGGGTCACCGCGGGGCAGCGGGAGGGCCGGGACCTCACATACGAGTTCCTCACTCCAGGTAGTTTCCCTCGCCTTCGCATGCCTGACTGGGGCGGGCCCCTCTGCACGCACGCACGCACACCCACACACACACACGCAAGCACGTACACACGCGCACCCACACACACGCAAGCACGTACACGCGCGCACGCACACCCACACACACCCACCCACACGCACACCCACACACACGCAAGCACGTACGCACGCACGCACACCCACACTCACGCACACACGCACGCACACCCACACACACGCAAGCACGCACGCACAAAGGTGCTGGCGGGAACTGAGTGTCAACGACCTGCTGATGGAGGCATGGGGCACAGAGCACCCCGCCTTTCACCTACAGTAACAGCAATAACGATTTCGATTCGCACCCAAAGCCCCGCAGAGCTAAGCCAGGCGGTTGTCTGCTGCTCACCCGAGGAACGGGCTGACGAGCTGCAGGAGCTCGGAGCCCGACACCAGCTCCTGGTTGAAGAGCGCGATGCAGCGCAGGAAGTTCTCGTACACCTCCTGGCTCTTCAGCACCCTGCGGACCTGCGGAGACAGTCGGTCAGGGCCGCAGGCAAGTCCCACCACTCCACCCCCAGCCCTGCCGCTTCACACATGGCCAGCTGTGTGCACCTGTCACCAAGGCAACCAGCTCTGGTCTGTGGGGGACAGTACTTAGAGTGGGCCTTGACTGCCACCTGGTCACTCTGCCTGCTGGCCCCGGGTAGGATCCAAGACCACTGTGACTTACAAAAAGCCACATGGGCCAGATGCTGGTGGCTCACATCTGTAATCCTAGCTACTTGGGAGCTGAGATCGGGAGGAATTCGGTTTCAGGCCAGTTCTTGAGCATAGTTCTTGAGAACCCCCCCCATCTCAAAATAACCAAAGCAAAATGGACTGGAGGTGTCGCTCAAGCAGTAGAGTTGCCTGCTCTACAAGTGTGAAACCCTGAGTTCAAACCCCAGTTCCACCAAAAAAAAAAAAATGTCAGACAGGTGTGGGGTGGGGCAGGGATGAGTGCGCCCTTGAACTTCTCTGGACCCTGCGTTCTCTGGCTTTCCCACCTGCTCTGCTATCTCCTGCCCACCACCCTACACCCTCTGCGGTGACAGCAGGCTAGCCCAGCCCTGGTCCCACATCTTTCCCACAATCCCCAAACCACGTCTCCCTCCCCAAGCCAGGTGGACATGGCAGCCAGATGCCCTCACCTTGTCAAAGAAGGAAAACTCCTGCAGCGTCCCATACTTCCCCACAGCTGCGATGGACAGGTCTTTGGTACCACGGAGTTTCATTTTCTTCTGTGGAGAGAAAGCCGTGTGGCTAAGGCTCAGTGCACCCTCCCCCCAGGTGGCCTCTGTCCATCCTGGTCACAGTCCTGACCACACTAACTCGGAGCTTTCCTGACCAAGCCACTGTGAGGTGCTCAGCAAGAGGTTGGAGCCTCTCCATCACCAGGGACCCTGGAGATGACACCTGCAGGGGAGGGCAGCCCCCACCTTGGTGACCTAGGGAGGGGTGAAGGCCGCAATCACCCTCCTGCCAGACCTGGGACTGGCCCACTCCAGTCACTACCACTTGTGGCTTTTGACTACAAAGTCAGAATGACAAGGGGGCTGTCATCCTGGATACCAGTGATAGATACCTCGCCTGCTGCAGGCAACACAGCAGCAAGAAGGGGACAGGAAGGAGGCTGCATAGGGACAACCCTGGAGAAGCCAGGGTCAGTATGGGGGAAGACTTTTATATCTGAGCTGGACTCAGATCTGAACTTGGCCACATGCCGGTGGCATGAGACATTACTGTCCGGTTAAAACCATCTACAAGTACGCAAAGAACAATGGGGACATTGTTCAGAGAATGTGACCCACTGGCCAAATGTGGGATGGTTTGGATGTCGAGATGAACAATGACAGTAATGAATTCTAAGCTAGTCTCCACTGACGTACGTAAATTACAACAGACTGTCAACCCATAAACGCAAGGGGAAGGGTGGACTCAGAAAGCCACCATCACTCCGCCTTGCTCCTCACAGGTGATGACCAGCCCAGATGACTGCACGTGACAGCCCCACTGTGCTAGAGCCGCGACTGAGTGCCACCCCATTTCTTCCAGCCCGGGGAGTGGGCAACGCTCCTGCTGCTCCTCACACAGTGCTGTGAGACAGGGAATGGGGACGGCCACTGAGAGGTAGCCGACTTCTCAAGGTCCTACTGACGGTCAGCTTCAAGGCAGGCCTGCAGCCTGGGCTGTGCCTGACACTCCCGTCACTCACAGAGAGGACAAGCACGGTTACCTTGGCAGGAGCAGACACGGGGCGGAGGAGCGAAGGCCGGGAGCGCTTCTTGCTGTGGTCCAGGCTCTTGTCCTGCTCGCTCTTCTGCACGCTGCTCATCTCACACGGCCCGTTGCCTGTGAACTGAGGACACGTGGAGGCGGTGAGCGCTGGAGAAAGGTGGCCTTGCCCATCCATGCTGGCTCTCCGTGTGTCTGTGCACACGCACTTGCTTTCAGCTCAGCCCACAGCCCCTGTGGGTGTCACGTGCCCCCGGGCAGGGTGTCTGTGGGAGGTAACGCCAGCTCACGAGATGCTCACGTCTTCTGGGACAGAGACCCATGCTCCCACCTCAGCCTCTCACTCCTCAGATGTGCACAGACCAACCTGTGCAACGTACATGGCAGGCCGTGAGTTCTGGGACATGGGGCCCTGTTCCAGATCATCAGATGAACACTCAGCAAAGCCAGGACGAACCAGGGTTCTGATGGGGGAAAAGCGGGCGATGCAGAGGCGCAGGAGGGAGATACCTGAGTTGCATCCGCCTGTGTAGTGATCACCTGGTGGACCACCAACAGGGCTTGCGTCTCCTGCACATACGAACGCTACAGAAACTCCAAGAACCCAAAGGGCAGCCCCAGCTCAATGGCCCTGTTACTTTCTTCTAGAGGAGGAGCATTTAACTGCACATGGGGAGGAAATTTCTGGAAAGATGTACAAGACTTTCTCTTTAAGGAGCGTGACTGGGACCTGGGTTGGGAGGGACATCCGCTCTTCACACACTCAACACTTCTGCTTTGACAATAACGACTCACAACTGAGCCACAGACAAGACTTGTTTCTTAAAGAATCAAACTTCTAGCCAGGAGCGGTGCCCGTCTGCACTCCCAGCACTAGGAACACTGGGGCAGGACTGTGAGATTCAGACCAGCCTGGGCTACTGAGTGAGACCCTGCCTCAAAAAAAAACCAAATTAAATTACTAACAATTCAAAGATTGAAAGCTGTTCCAAGAATCACAAGTGGATCCGAGAAATGACTCCCACTGAAATTTCTTCTCACAGATCCCTGAGCAGTAGTTCTGGAAAGAGGCAGGTGACGATCATGACCTGTGCTGAATGGCGTGAGGACCTGAAACGGAGACCCACTGCCTCCCAGCCTCTGGAAAGGAGAAGACTCAGACTCGCGTGGTTCTCACTTGTAGTTAAATGTACTGATGTGCTAGTGCTTGAGCCATCTGGACCCCAAAGACCACCCGGGTCAGGGCTGGCAAATGAACCACACAGGGCCTGCTTTTGTCCAGAAAGTTTTATTGGCACATGGCTACGCCATTCATGTTGTAAATAAAACTTTTATTGGCATGTGCCACGCCCATCCACTTTATAAATAAAGCTTTACTGGCACATGGCCACACCCATTCATTTACAAATAAAGCTTTACTGGCACACAACCATGTCCATGCACTGACACTTCACCCCTGCTGTTATGAGGACAAAAGCTGTGCCTTTTTCACCAAGATCAACTGACCTGTGAAACAGAAGATATTTAACACGTGCCTTTATGGCGAAAGCTTGACTCCTGGTCTAACAGTCAAGTTTAATTAGGACAATGTCACATTTCACCACTGGTTTCTTTTTCATACCGTCTTAATAGATGTGCAGACTGTAACATAAAGACTGTGAAGGTGTGCCATTCCAGATGGTGTAGTCGGGTGATTTTGCTCAGCTGGGTGCACGCCTGTGATCCCAGCACTGGGGAGGCTGAGGTAGGATCGAGAGTTCCAGGCTAGCCTTCGCTACATAACCAGACCCTGTCTCAAAACCCCAAAAGCAACAAAGAGAAGTTTGCTGAATTGATAAGGGCTGCCATGGCAGGCCCTCTTCAGAAGGTGATGCTTGTTTTCCTTGGCCCAGCTTTGTGGGGAGCAGCGTTATAAATGCTGAGTTGTGTCCACCAGGGGGCGCACAGCCACAGGCAGGAAGTCACGTCTGCACTCCAGCCTCCTGAGGCTGCCTTCACCGCCAGAGGAAAGCTCCCGAAATAAGGCTAAGGCGGTGCCACAACCTCCAGGAGTTATGCTCACAGGTGCAGACTGGTTTTAAACAGGAGGCTTCGTGATTTAGTTTCTTGTTCTCCTGTGGTACAGGGGATGGAAGCCAGGGCCTGGTGCATGTTTGGTGAGCTCTGCCACTGAGGCCCTCCCAGTCCCAACACCATTTTACCAAACACTGCAGCTCATGGCCTCTACAGTCAGGGCAGGCAGGCTCTCCAATGCTGCACCCAGACCCAAGTGGGGCGTTTGCAACCCAGGCTCATCCTGGCCGGGCGCCTCCCTAATAAACCTTCTAACCACTCTGGCGGGGAGACGCCCTTATTGCCACATCGTAAACAGAAGTGACAGCATCAAGGAGGTGAAAAGGCAAGCCAGGTGTGCATCTGTGAGCTGAACCTAGAGTGGCTGTGCAGCACTGAGGAGAGGAATACAGGAGCCCAGAGGGCCCAAGCCCCAGCCTCCATCACCAGGGCAGCCAAAGTGGCTTTCTCCAAAGCCACGAGGGCCAGAGTGTCCTTGCCCCTGGTGGCCATCCTGTCCACTGTGCATCGTTGGTGCTGGCTCCTGGAAGGCCAGTGGGGAAGACTGTGCATCCATCATTTAGGGGCAGGGTATTTGGGAGAAAGGCAGCCAAACCTGAGGTCACACCCAAGAGGGTGAGACCCATAGACATGCCACTGTGTGACTAGGGACTGACAACATCCGGTGTGATGCAGGGGGCAGGGATATAAGACACTCTGCTCTGCACATCCATGTGGCCCAGCCAAAGTTAGGGGGTTAGGAAGGTGTTTTCTGAGCAGGAAGAGGTGGCGAGATGTCAAAGCAGGGACATGGGCAAGCAAGCTTGCAGGAGGAAGCTGGGAGCAAGGGAGGGGCCCCAGGAGGTGGCTTGGACAAGGGGTACCCCCACTTCCGGATGCTCCCTGGCAGCACAAGGAGGCACCACCCTGGGAGTGTGGAGTGCACAAGGCGCGGGCCCACTGGGCAGGAGGAACAGTCGCTGCCGTGCAAGACAAGGAGGTGCAGTGAGCTGGGCCCCACCAGAAGCTGGAAGCCCGAAGACCGCAGGCGGGGGTGGGGGTGCAGGCTGCTCAGCAGGTGAGCACCCGACCAGCTCTCACTTGGAGTTGGGAAGGGTTTCCCTCCATGTTTAGGGACAGTGCTGCATGTCCTAGGGATGATGACACTCAGGGACGAGCCCTGACCCACTGGCCTGGAAAGGGCAGAAGTGACTCTGGGCAATGCCAAGGGAAGGAATGATGGGGAAAGTGGGGGAGAAAATACCCTGGAAATCTGCCAGGCTCAAGCCAGCATCATGACAACATCCAAAGCCAAGCGCCTCTCCTCCCAGAGCGGGGCACACGCTACACACTCACCACACCACAGAGCCACCCCTCTGTCCCACTGCATCTCCATTTGGAGGCAGGACTAAGGCAAGGCCATGGTGGCATGCTCACACCCATGCTGTCCTTAGGGCAGAAAAGGAAGAAGGAAAGAGGGAACAACACTGGACAAGGTTGACTCCTCTGCTGAGAGACCCAGGCCTGCAAGGCGAAGCTGGCACCTGGAGCACCGTGGGAGAAAGGATCACAAGTCGCAGCTGATGCAGTCAGAGGTAAAAGAACAAGAGCTTCCCTCTAAGACAGGCCAGGCCAGGCCTGGCCGCCACTTTGCCGCTGCCATGGCAGTCAGGCAAGAAAAAGTAGTAAAGGGCTCACACTGGAAAGGGAGGAAGGAAAATGCCCACAGACAACGTGACCCTATAGAAGGCTAGAGGTCACAAGGCCATTAAAGCTAACGACCACATGCAGCAAAGGGGCAGGACACAAGCCCAACACAACACCAAATGGGAGGTGTCTCTCTGCCAGCAGTGCACACCTGGAAGCAAGAACGCCACCTACAACAGCACAGAACAGAAGGAAACAGGAAGGAGTTTAACCGAGGCACAGCCCCAACGATGAACACCACACGAAGTGGTGCTGAAGGAATTAAGGGCGGCGTAGGTACACATGGGAACACCTAGGGCTGCAACTGGAAAACTGAACACTGTTAAAACGCAATATCCAGCCCACCGTGGCTCACATCTATAATCCTAGCTACTCAGGAGGCAGAGAGCAGGAGGATCACAGTTCAAAACCAGCCCAGGCAAATAGTCACCAAGACACTATCTCAAAAATACCCATCACAAAAAAGGCTGGCAAGATGGCTCAGGTGCTAGAGCGCCTGCCTATCAATCATGAAGCCCTGAGTTCAAAACCCAGTACTCCCCTCCCCCCCAAAAAAACAAAAACACAATATCCAGGTGGCTAAAGAGTCACCACAAGCCAGATGAAAGCCCAAGGGCCTCTGAAGGAGTGGAGCAGCTGGCCTGCAAGCAAATGCACCTGTGATCCCAGCATTCGGAGGCCAAGGCAGGAGGATGGCAAATCTCTGGGCACCTGGGGGGCAACTCAACAAACAAATACACCAAGTGCCAAAGGACCCGCAGAGACATTTCTCCAAATGGCCAATCAGCACACGGAAGGAAGGTCAACAAAGCCATCATGAAGGAATGTGGTGAAAAGCACCTGTCATGGAAGTGCAAAGCCCTAAGTCCAAACCCCAGAGGCACCAAACAACAAAAACCTGGGAGACATAGCTTCACCATGACAACTATGTAACAAAACCCAAAAAATAACAAGTGTTGGCAGGGATGTGGAGACAATCAGACCTCAGTCCACTGGTGATGGGATGTGAAACAGGGCAGCTTCTGTGGAGAACAGGCTGCTCAGAAAGCCAGACACATACGCTCCAGACCTGGAGAATTGCAGTCAGATGTTCAAATGAATGTTTGTACACAACTGTTCACAGCAGCATTGTGCACAGCAGCCAAAGGACAGAAGCAACCCACATGTCCACCAACAGATGAAGGGATAACCAAAACTCGACAGATCTGTGCACTAGAGTATTACTCAGCCATGAAAAAGACTGGAACACGGATACATGCCACGTGGATGAACCTCCAAAACATGACACTGAGTGACAGAAGCCAACACAAAAGACCACATGGTGTGAAATTCCATTCATAAAGAAGCGTCCAGAACAGGCTGCCATGGTGCTAGAGCCTGGGGAGGGGGATGGGAGTGGGTGCTGATGGAGACGGGTGTCTTTTGGGGGATGGAATGTTCTGGAAGCACACAGAGGTGGGGGTCACACGCACTGTGAACGTGCTAAACGCTACTGAAGTATGCACTCTAAAAAGGTCACGTTTTCAACTGTTTATTAACAACAAAGAAAAGCAGCAGCAGAAAAACGCAGCCTTGGAGGCCTCAGACCACAGGTGGGGAGAAAGTGGGGTGCAGTCCAAGCCCCAACTTCCCCATGTGAGACCCCTCTTCACCCACTTGTGTGCTCTACCACCTGGGGTCCCCACTGTGCCCCCAACACCCTGCCCACCCCTCGTGACAGAGCTTTGACCACAGAGGGAGGCGCTGGGCCGGGTGCCCTGACCCGCCCGCAACTGGATCATGGGCGGAATGGACTCTCGAGGGCCTTGGTCTCCCTGGGGACGCGCTCTGCCTCCAAACCCCCAACACCAGACCCTGCCTGTATGGAGAGGTGCTCGGAGGAGTCTGTCACCACTGTGACCTGCGTGGCTCCCAGGCAGGGCAGGCCTGGGGCAGCCTGCCCCGCCGCTGAAGCCTGCGGGGCCGGCCTGGGCACCGGGCCCTCACTCACCAGGGACCGCTTGGCCTCGGGCAGGAACTGTCCAAACTCAGAGAGCAGGTCCTCCTGGCCACGGAACAGGTTAGCCACCTCAGTGAAGACCTCTTCTTCTGACATGCCTCGGAATGGCCGGCCCTTTGTGTGCAGCTGCTCCTTCTGCCAGGGTTGGGAAGGGGAAGGGACATCAGGCAGGATCCGCAGCCCACTGCCCAGCACAGTGCCTGGGCAAGTCCACTCTGCCCCAGAGCAGAAAGAGCAGGCCAGGCCAGGGGAGTGCAAGGTCAGCGGCAACCCTGGGATACTGAGGAAGAAAGGCCAACAAGAGCGGAGGGACTCTGCTCACAGGGCAAGAACTGGCCTGTGAAACTGAAGTTTATCTTTAGAACTGTGTCCCAGTCAGCCTGACACAGAATGTCACTGAGTGAGGGGCAGCAGCACTGGGGCCCTCCCAGGGTGCAAGGGACACAAAGTCCCCTCCCTCCCTCCCTGCTCACCAGACCCTTCAGGCAAAGGAGCAAGCTGTTTGGGTTTTTGCTTCTGTGTTTCTGTCTTGTTATGCTAGGGACGGGCCCCAGGGCCTCTCCTTAGCAAGTGCCCTAGCAGGGAGTCACACCCAAGCTCCCAAAGAGTAAGTTTCAGTGGGAAAAACCAACCCTGTGAGGGTTACCAGCATAGGAAAACCAAAGGCAGCTCAGCTCAGAGATGACATTCGACTGATCCACACAGACGACACAGGCTCAGCCAGAGTGATAGCTAAAGAAACACAACTCAGGGCTGGGCGCAGTGGTGCACATCTGCCACCCCAGCTATAGGGGAGGCACAGCAAAACCCTATCTGAAAAACAACTAAAGCAAAAGGGCTGGGGGAGTGGCTCAAGTGCTACTCGAGCTACCTAGCAAGTGCGAGACCCTGAGTTCAAACCCCTATAAACCGAGTACTGAAAAAAATGAAAGAAAAAAATAGCTTTGTGGAGTTCACGAGGAGCACAAGCTGTACATCTGATCACAGACATGCACACATGCTAAAAGAATCTCATTCTCTAACTTATATGCCAAGATCATGCAGAGTTCATTTTTAAGAGTTCTGCTTAAAAAATAAGAGTCACACACAGCCCACCTGGGGAAAGATGACATTTGAACCCGCACACAGCAACTTCCCCTGCCATCAGCTGTATCTGCATCAAGTCCCTGTGGGCTCCGGCCGCCTGCTCTGGCCCCTGGACCTTTGCACAGGCTGTTCCCAGCACAGGAAGTGCAGCCGTCACCAATTGTTCTGACTGACTTGTCAGGATTCTGTGTGTCTATTGTCCCTGCCCTCCGAGGGGTGGGCCACTGCTGACCCACACACCTCTGCTGCACACCCTTCCCTTCCCCTAGTCTGTGTGACTCTATCCCATCCACTGAGCAAGAGCCATTAGTCACTGCTCAGCAATGGGCCAAGCTGTGCTTACACTAAAGAGGTCACGATGCCTGAACAAGGATGGACTAGATCATCTTAGAAAAAAGAGACTATCATCTTTAGTGGTTTTTCTTTCAGTTCCTCTAATGGGTGCAAAGGTGTCTCAAGGAGCAAATTAAAATCGAACTTAGGGCTGGGGTGTGGCTCAGTGATAAGAGTACTTGCCTAGCAAGCACAAGGCCAAGTTCAAACGCCAATACAGCCAAATAAACGCCCCCCCCACAAACAAAAAAAACTCAGGGGTGCAGCTCAGTGGCAGAGTACCTGCCTGCGTGAGGGGCACAGGGCTCACCCCCAGCATAGCAAACAAAAGGAAGCTAGCATCTCACGAAGGCCCCTGGGGCTGCCGTGCCCTGGTAGGCAGCTGAGCTCACCTGGTAGGTGTGCAGGATCTCCAGGAAGGACCTGTAGATCTCCGGGTGGTCCAGGAAGCGGGTCTTGATCTTGTTCACGTAGCTGATGGCGTTGTTGAACTCCACAGAATCCGACTCCAAGGGCACCTGCGGTTTGTCCTCCTTATATGGCAGCTGCTGCTTGAAGTCATCCACACAGTCGCCATGGTTGTGCGAGTTCTCCTGACAAGGTGACAGGGACAGACTGTGACAAATGCCAGGCCTGGCCACTGCCCATCCCACAGTAGACAGAAGCCGGCAGAGGCAAGAATGTCTCACTGTGCAAAGGCACCTCCCTGGGGCCTGGCAGGGCATACACAGAGTGCACCAGCAGCCTCCCTGGCGTCTGAGAGTGTGGGGTGAGCACCCCTAGCCCAATTCCTCCCACCCCTCCCCAAACCTACTGGGTATGCAGGTGGGGGTGGCCCTTCATGTGTGGACAGGACAGCTCCACCAAGTGTGTGTTTGGCTTTTCCGGGCCACGGGTGGGGCTGAATTAGAATGGAGGACAGGGGCCTGGGGGTCCAGGCGCTGCAGCACTGGGTGATGAGGACAGTGGGTGCTGAGCCCCAAGGCAATCAGAGCAGGGGACACGAGTCACTTGGCACAAAGAGCTGCCACCTGACCACCCATGAGCATACTTCTTACTCGCACAAGTTTCCTGTTGATGCAAATGGACAAGCAGCATCTCCCCCAGACACACAGAGCCTCGGTCCATGGGGGACAGGACCCCACCCAAGGAAGATGTACGAGGTTTCCAAACCACAACTGTCCCCCAGCCCCCAGCTCAGCCCAGCCCTTAGCTCAGATGATTCAATCTCCACGAGCCTTCCAAAACTGCAAACACCCCCTCTTCCCTCCCTGCAGCCATCACTGCTGTTTCTCTACCTCCCCCCACCCCCCACTCCCCATCCCAAGTTCCCTGATGGTGGCAGGCGGGGTTTTCTTCGTCAGAACACCGTTGGGGAGGCCCAGGTGAACAGTGAGGGCCACACAGATTTGCCTACTGTGCCCAGTGCCCGACACCGAGCCTGCACCAAGTCGCGACCTCAAGAACCCACTAGACAGGGAGGGCCAGCCACACCACAGCGACAGGCCCACGGTGACGGGCATACGCCCACGATCAGCTGAGCGGGCCTCGGTTGGCTCAGGCTGTCCACCCACGCAGCACAGCCTGGGGGGCTGACACAACACATCATTGCTCCTCACAGGACTGGAGGCCCGGAGGTGAACATCAAGGTACCAGCAGGTCTGGCTTCCTCGGAGGCGCATCCTGGCTTGCTGAGGGCTGTCCCTAACACGGTCTCTTCAGTGTCTATGTTCTGAGCTCTTCTTACAAGGATGCCCACCAGACTGGGCATGCTGATGGCCTCAGTTTACTCCACATACCTTCACAGGAGCCCTAGCTCCAAACAGCAATGCCTGGTGCTCATGGGACCAGTTCCAGGACCCCACTCAGGACCAAAAATCCGTGGGTGGGCACAAGCCTTCTAGAGCACAATGCAGTATTTGCTAAAAGCTGTGCACGCCCTCCGTGTGACTCAGGACACCTGAGACGACTACCAACAGTTATGAGTACTGCTGGGGAGTCGGTCCACAAAAAGTAAAGGGCTGGGTGCGCCCACAGGGAGCGCTCGCCTGCGCCCGACACTGCGCAGAGAAGAGGAGGAAAAGGTGCACATGCAATTCTCCTCAGAGCTTCTACAACCCACGGTTAGCTGAGTGCAGGTACACAGCCCGAGGACACAGACTGGCGGCCACGCAGTCACACTCTGAGGTTCATTCTGGGACCAAGGCTTCTGCAGGTGAAGCACGGATAAGGGACCCAATGGGACCCAAAATGGTGGTACAGAAAACAGAAGCTGGGCCGTGGAGTAGCACAGGGCCCAGAGCCGCCACCATTCTAGTGCCTGATGATGGCTACCCCTAACCTCACAGAGCTCTGGTGTCCCTCTGTGGCGCACAGGCACAGCAGGAAGTGGGGGGCTGCAAGGAAGCAGCATTGGGGCCCAGGTTTGCCCATCAGGGCTACAACTCACTGGGGGCTCCCCACCACTTCCAGGGGATGTTTTTAAGCTCTATGTGTCCCTGTGGTCCCCTGAATGTGCCACTGTGACAAGATGGGAGAGCCACCACCCTGGCCCAGGACTCGCAAAGGAAGAGATGCTGTGGAAAACAGCCTGGCAGTTTCTCAACAAACTGAACCTTGAACACAGAACACACGATCACCCCATGATGCAGCGGTGCCACTCCTAGAGACCCAAAAGAACTGGATACAAAGACTCAAATAAATTCCTCTATGTGAATGTTCACAGCAGCACCGCTCCCCAACAGCCAAAGACTGGAAACAAGCAAACATCCACAGGTAAATGCACAGACACATGAGGCCCATCCACACAATGAACTATTACTCAGCCACGAGAAGGGATGGAATGATGACATACTACATTGTCAATGAACCTCAAAGACGTGGCATTGAGGGGCAGAAGCCAGACACAAAAGGCCACCTGGGGTGTGATCCATTGACAGAAAGCATCCAGAACAGGCAAACCCAGAGATGGGAAGCAGATCATGGGGCTGGGGGAGGGGGTGAAGGGAGTGACTTCTCATGGGATTGGGGGGGTCTCCTTTTGGGGGATAAAAATGTGCTACTGGTTGCACACTGTGAATATACAAAAGCCAATGAACTGTGCATTTTTAAATGGTTAGTCAGATGAATTTCATGCTATGAAAACGATATCACAACTTAAAAAAATTTTTTAATGTGTGTGTAATCCTTGGAAAATGTAAAAACCACAAGCCACACAAAGCCACAGTGGCTTTGGCCCACAACTGCTTTCAACCTTCTGGGACAAGCCCATACCCTTCCATCCAGACAGAGGGCCACACCTCACACTGACAGCCACGCCAACCCCTAATCGTCCATACAGCACCTGGATGTGCATGGGACGCCTCAGATGGCACCAAGGTGACACAGAACAGCCCAGTGCCATGTGGCCTCGCTCACTTCAGCAGGGCCACCACCTTCACCCAGAGAACCAGACATCTCCTTCTTATACACCCCCAACCCTGGCCTGTCACCGTTTATTGTCCCCCTCACATGGGCCCTTCGTTCTCCTTGTCAATGTCTACTCCATCCTCTTCATACAAGCTCCTCCCTAGTCCTCACCACCATGCTGGGCCCAGCAGCGACATCCCTTCTAGAATTCTCCACAGCCCCACTTTCTGCCCCCCACCACCTCCGCTGCAATCTTCCAAGCACACTGGGTTCCTGGCTGCGCCTCCAGCACACCAGCTCACTGCACTAGGCCTTCGCACCCTGCCAGAGGCCCTGCACAGCTCCGCCCCACTCTGGTCTTCAGCCCTGAAGCCCCTCACCTGGTCCCAGGCAATCCACCTCATCTGAGTCCCCACCCTCAGCCACAATGGTACTGAGGCAGCAAGCACTCTGAGCAGACCGGGGCTGTGGGCTTTGTGAGAGAGGAAGACACAAACCCGAGAACCCGGGACCCAGGGAACTGAATGGGTCTCCCTGAGGTAGGCAGTGAGCCCACCCGAGTGTAAGCGGGGCACATGTGACCCACATCTCCATGATGGCTATTCTCCCCAGGACAAAGGTCTGCCTGTTGAGGACTCAGGAGCCCACTGTCTCCACTTTCCCACTAACATGGGTTTCTCATCCTCCCTGGACATCATTTGGGAATGCAGACACAGTTGTGAACAAGACAGATGGGGGCCCAGGGAAGCAAGGACTCAGCCTATGGCCAGGCTTAGCAGTGCATTTCTGTAATCTCAGCAACTCAGAAGGTGGGTCCTGGGAAGATCACTGTTCAAAGGCAAAAAGTTAGTGAGACCCAATCTCAATCAGTGTAAGTCAAGCGTGGTGATGCACACCTGTGATCCCAGCATACAGGAGACAGCAGGCCAGCCTGGGCAAAATCTCAAGACCCTATCTAAAAACAAAGTAAAAACAAAAAGGGCCAGAGGCGTGGCTCAAGTGGCAGAGTGACTGCCTAGCAAGCTTGAGGTCATGTTCAAACCCCAGTACCACCAAAAAAAAAAAAAAAAAAAGGCTCAATCTATCATAGAAAGACACCAACAAGTCTTCAAGCCTTCCTTGCATCTCAGTAAAGAAGCAGGAAGGGGGAACAACGTAGGGGTGGGCGTGGGGGTTGTCTGTGACAATGTCACTGCCAAGGCCTGAATTACGAGATCCCAAATGTCACCGACTCAGAGGTCAAGGGCCTAGCAGGCGATGCCCCCTGGTCCTCGCTGGCAACCGCACAGGTTTTGCTGCCCTTTCAGACTTGAGCTGTCAAGTGGGCCATACTGCCCACCAGGGGACATTTTTGTTTGTCATGGCCAAGTTGTCTCCTAGTCTCTGGTGGCTGGGAGTCAGGGATGCCGCTAGCCACCTCACCTCAGGACTCCCCCAAGAAAGCAATGAAGCAGCCCCACAGAGCTGTGTCACAGCCATTGTCCTCAATGTCACAGGGCAACTCTTCCTCTCTGAGTTGGCAGACTTCAGGGTGAAATGAAAAACAAGGGGCCAGGCACGATGGTGCACACCCATAATCCCAGCTACTAGGGAGGCAGATGTAGAAGGACCTCAGTCTGAGGCCAGTCCAGGTAAAAGCATACACAAGCTATCTGAAAAAAACAAATTAAAAAAAAAGGGGCCAGCACCTGGTTTGAGTGGTAGAGTGCCTGCCTACCAAGCACAAGGCTCTGAGTTCATTCCCCAGTACTGCCAAAAAAGAAAAAAAAAGAAAAACCCAAAAGAACAACAATGAAGGCTATTTCATACAGGAAAACAAGAAAAATGAGACCACATGGAGGTTTGGTTCCTGGCTGCCATGGCTTTTCTGAGGGTGCAGGCCTAGGGGGAAGCCAGGCCAGCACACAGGCTCCAGGCACCCTGGAGAGAAAGCACCTTGCTGCCATGCTCCCTCACTGTGCCCTGCTAGTCCTTGTCAAGCCTGTCTTCCAGGGAACAAGACTGAGCCTGGCACCACAGCTCTGCACAATGCACAGGGATGATGAGGCAAAAGACTGAATTCTGAACACCACCAAGTACGCCTTCTGCCAGGATCTACCTGGAAAGTGGGGTCACCCCATGTGGGAGCTGAGAGCCATTTCCACATGCAGCCACCAAAGGTCTTCCAGCCCCAGCTCCCGGCGAGCGCTGGCAATGCATCCAGCACTCACCCGAGTCTCTGCCTGGCCGGTGGCTCAGGAGGCTCCTCCTCTGAGGCTGTGGTGTTAACGAGGTCAGAAGGCTCCGGCCCCACACCAGATTCCAGGCTCCATGGCAGACGTCCAGTAGAACATCTTCAGAATCCACCAGTCATACTTGGAAAGGACCTTGGAAGGTCCCTTTTAAAACTCAGACACACTCCTTGGCTTAACTACCGAGTCGTCGCTAATGGGTGTTCACCTTGTAAAGAGGAAACGTGGAGATCACATGGAGCCACCCTCAGTCACTGCCACAGAGCCTTGTCCTCATTCCTTTTCCTAACTGCTCAACACCCCGCAATCCCCTCCATCACAGGAGAGACCACCAGTGCTCCCAAGGTGGATCATTAGCGACTCACAGAGAAGCAACGGTGGTGGGAGCAGGGCAGGAGAGCTGGCTTGCCTAGACCAGTGGTGGCTTTGCCCCCAGGAGACACTGGGCAATGTCTGCAGACATTTGTCACAACTGGGTGACAGTCTGGGATGCTGCTAACATCCCACAAACTCTGGGCAGTCCCACAAAGCAGAGTCCCGGCCTAAAAGGCAACAGTGCTGAGACAGAAAAGACACAGCTGACATCATCCACATTCAGCTCAAATAAGCTTGCTTTTCCTCAGAGCGTCCGGTGAACTCCAGCAAGAAGGGACTAAAGGGACTACAGAGACCACAAGGCCAGCAGCCTGGCACCCAAAAAAGAAGCCACCAAAGCCCGGAGCTTGGGTCAAGCCCTTGACCCTCGGCAAGTAGATAAGATGACATCAATAAAAGCCAACACTCACACGCAGAGCTCAAGCACTTTATTTGTTGGCGGTACTGAGAACAGTTGGTCACCAGATGCAGACAAGCGCAGCCCAAGTTCAAGGGCAAGCAAGCCACCCATAGGCACACTGGGAAAGCACAAAGCCAGGGCCTTACCAACTATTGGTGGGGTTATCTTGACTTAACACAAAATCCTGTGTCGGGATGGTGCATCGTGACATCCGCTCTTTTTTTTGGTGCCAGAGATGGAAGCCAGGGCCCTAGGCACGCTAAGAACATGCTGCCCCACTGAGCTATGACCCCAGCTCCTGCCTTTCCCCCCACCCCTCCTGGTAAGTGAATCCAGGGCGTTGAACTTGCTAGACAAGTACTGTGTCACTCGAGCCATGCCTCCAGTCCTTTTGATTTTGAGACAGGGCCTGACTAATTTTGCTCAGGCCAGCCTTGAACTTATGATCCTCCTGCCTCTCCCAAGTAGGTGGGAATACAGCCTTGCCCAACCACACTCAGCTGCCTACTTTTTTTTCCTCCCAGTACTGGGGTTTGAATTCAGGGTTTTACACTTGCTAGGCAGGTGCTCCACCACTTGACCCACATCCTCAGCCCTTTTTGCTTTACTTATTTTTGAAAGAGGGTCTCACATTTTTGCCTGGGCCAGCCTGGTCTATAATTCTCCAATTTATGCTTTCAGTATAGCTGGAAGGACAGGCGGATACCACCACACCCAGTTTATTGGTTAAGATGGAGGCTCTTGAACTTTTTTGCTTGGGCTGGCCCTGGAAACACAATTCTCCAAATCTCTATCTCCCAAATACCTGGGTTTACAGATGTGAGCCACCGCACCCGCCAGCTTCCAAACACATCAATTTGGGATGCAGAGGCTGTCTGTGTTTTAACCTAGTTTGATTTGTACTAGAAGCAAACAGCAAGTCTAGCAAAAGAGCTGACCCCACGTGGGTTCCCACAACACACGAACAAGACGCACTGCCCAACATGAGTAGCAGGAGGGACCTGTGAAAGCTCGGATCACTGACCACCTCCATGAAGGCATACCTGGCCGGTCAGAGGTGAGTGGCTGTTCAACTTGCCGTTCTTAGGAATGTCTATTCTGTATCCGAGGGGAAGGAAAGCGTTAAATCCAACAATGAGGTCCGGGTGCTCGTGGAAGAGCTGTGAGACACGTCTGATGACTCCAGGAGTGTCGATGCTAGAGAAAGAAGAACTCAAGTGGGCAAGAGGGTCTTGGGAAGCAAAGTAAGAGTGAACTATTAAGGCCAGGCACGGTAGCTCACACCTGTAATTCTAGTTACACAGGAGGCAGAGATCAGAAGGATCGAACTTCAAAGCCCACCAAGGCAAAAAAAAAAAATTTGTAAAATCCCACTTTCAATCAATAAAAGCTGGGCATGGTGTACACACCTGTCATTCCAACGACACAGAAAGCAAAAATACGAGGATCGTGATCCAGGCCAGCCTGACAGAAATGTGAGGCCCTATTTGAAAAGTAACTGAAGCAAAAAGGGCTGGGGGTGTGGCCCAGGAAGTACAGTGCCAGCCTAGTAAGCACAAGGGCTGAGTTCAAACCCCAGTATGTGAATACTGTGGAAATATTTATGTACACATATATGTGAAAGAAAAACTGAAACTTGTTGAAACTATTCCAGGAATGGGGGGAGGAGGACAAAGAAGAATGATGGAGGAGGTGTCAGAACTTTTGCAAGGGTCACCTTGTACCCCCAGTACAACAATAAAGATAAAATATAATAATAATAAACCCAACAAAGAACTGAGTATGGCAAAAACAAAACAAAAATCCTGCAATCTATTCCCATCTCCCTCCACACAGCCACACTGGAGTTTCTCGACTGGTAGCAAAGCTACCTCAAGTGTGCTGGGTGTGGTGTCACCAGCAGACAATGACTTATTTCCTAGTGCCTAGGCCTGGGCTCCCTGAGCCCTCCAAGAGAGAACCGTAGAATATTCACACAGCCCAGCTCCTCAAAACATTCTAACCATGAATGCTGGGTTCTGAAAACTCACAAGAGCTGACTGCAAGGCCCAGACCCCACAATCACCAGTTCAAAGTCTTCTAATCCATCTGATAAGTTCCCTCACGTTCTATGAGTTAGTAATGACAATGACACCTGTTTTGATCTTAGCAACTGACCGCAATGAATAAATACCAAAGGTCCTGCAGGCATGAGAGAAGAATAGGGGACAGTTGGGGTCTCCTGGCTGTAGTCAGCCATCATGCCTCACATTTGTGGAAGGAACCAGGTCAGTCCCTCCAAAATTCCTAGAAGAAGCAAGCAGAATGCCAGGAATGCTGAACTGAGGACCCAAGTTCTATGCCCACCTCGGCAACTAATGTGTGCCCCTTACCCTCTCCAAGTCCCAGTGGGCATCCTATAAAACCACCTCTAAGCTGGGCTCTGATGGTTGGGGCCTGTAATCCTAGCTATCTTGGGAGGCTGAGACTGGGAGGAGCATGGTTGGAGGCCAGCCCAGGAAAATTGTTCTGGAGACCCCATCTCCCAAATAACCGGAGCAAAATGGACTGGAGGTGTGCCTCAAGTGGTAGAATGCCTGCTTTGCAAGTGCGAAGCCCTGAGTTCAAACCCCAGTCCCAACAAAACATCAACAACAAAAACCCCATCTCCAACCTTCCCAATTCCGTGCCTGCAAAACAGCTCATCTGTTTTAACTTTCCCTTTAGGACAGGTCCCTTACTAAGCGTTTTATGTACTTTACTTTCCCAAGCAGGCCTGGGATTGGGAAGAGAGAGCCAAGAGAGGCACCTTGGGAGACAGGATTGAGGGGAGAGACAGTGCCAAAAAAAAAAAAAAAAAAAAAAAAAATCAAAACATTTTAATGCGGTACTTGCAAAAAAAAAAAAAAAAAATCAAAATTAATCCTTCCAAACCTTTCACGAACAAAACTTATTCAAAAAATCAGCATTTTAAATAAAGGCAGGGTCCAACTGCGCCTGTGCGTGACTCCCCCCCAACCCCCCCCCCCCCCGGTCCTCATCCCTGTCCTCCTTCCAGAAACCCCCAACAACAGCTCCTCAAGGTGGGTCCAGAGGTCCCCACCTGTGCAAGGTCACCTGGCTGCATGGGGTGGCGGGATCCGGGGTGGGGGTGCGGATGGGGGGTCCCCACCCTGCTCCTCCTGATTCAGGGGTGGGGGGGAACCGAGGGGAGGGGAGGGCCCTGCGGGTACCTCTGACTTTTGAACTCCTTCATGATCTCCAGGAAGCCGTTGTAGGTGGCAGGGTCGCTGCCAAAGCGGATCTTCACCTGGTCCAGGTAGGTAAGGGCGTCCTCCACCTGCGGGGAGGGGCAGCGTCCTAGCGGGCCGGGGTCCCGGGACGAGGGGACAGGGGGCTGGCGGCGAGGAGCGGGGCTTCCAGGGGCTGAGGTGAGGCGTGAGGGGTCTGGGGTGGTGGGGGGTCCCCCGTTGCGCAGAAGGGGGAGGCCGAAGCAGGGCCAGGGCCAGGGCCAGGGCCGGGCGGGGCTGGGGGTGAGGGGCGCCGGCCCGCAGGGGCTGGAAAACGGGGTCCCACAAGGAAGGTGGGGACGCCACTCACGTGCACCGGCAGCTTCTCGTGGCCCGCCGAACCCGAGCGACCCCAGCGGGCGCCGCTCAGCCCCCGGCCCGCGGAGCCGCCGCCGCCGCCGCCGCCGCTACCGCCGCCAGCGTGCGCCATGTTGGAAGTGAGAGCCGCGGTCCGCCCCGCCCCCGCGCCCAGGGCCAGCCGCGCATGCGCTGACCACGCCCATAAGGGCGTGGTGTCGTGACGCCACCCAAAGGGGCGGGGCCATCGGTTGAAACTCACTAGAGATGTTTACTCTACAAGTGACTTACAGAGCAGAGCCTGCTTCTGTCCGGCCCCCAAGATCTGAAAAGCTTTTTTTTTTTTTTTTTTAAACATGTTCACTTAATTGGGAAAAAAATCCAAAGAAGAATATTTCCTGACACATGAAAATTCTATAAAATGCACATTCCAGTGTTGGTTTTAATAATTTTTTTTTCCCTTTGGAGCACCGGGACCTCCATTTCGTTATCAAGAGTGAGTGACTATGAAAGGTCTTAAGCCCCGTGCATCCTTTCCCTTTATGGGGAAAGTTTGTGGTCTGCTAGTTCGTAGGTTGATGTGGCCATCGGGTGTGGAGTGAGCAGACAGCACCCAGAGTTCTTGCTCCTCCTTTTCCGCTCGCCCATCCTGGACTCCCATCACTTCCCAACTGGACCGGGTCAGGGCGTCGCAGCCGGTTTTCCCAGTTGGGCTGGTATCAAGAACTATGAGCATTACACTACTGCTTCCATACTACCTGCATTGTTTTTGTTTTTGTTTTTTTTCTGACAGTACTGGGGCTTGAACTCAGGGCCTCACACTTGCTAGGCAGGTGTCTACCACTTGAGCCAGGTGCCAGCCCTTTTTGTTTTTAGTTGATATTCAGATAGAATCTCACATTTTTGCCTTTACTGGCCTGTACCACAATCCTCTTATTCACACCTTCCACATACTTGGGATGACAGACATGCCCCACCATGCCCAGCTTTTTTGTTAAGATGGGGTCTCCCTAACTTTTCACCTAGGCTGGCCTTGAATTGCTATCCCCTGGATCTCTACCTCTGAGTTAGCTGGAATTAAAGGTGTGAGCTACCACACTTGGCCTCCAAACTTACATTTCTTATGATGTGAAATCTAAGTATCTAAACACCTTGAGAGGCCAGAACCTGGCCCTTACAAGCTTTTTTTTTTTTTCTTTAGGGATTTTCCACCCAAACAAACTATTGGTGCAGAAGCACTAGCTGTTGCCCAAGCATCCTGGATCCTTCATGGCCCTATATATGTCAGGCATTTCCCACGCTAGAAGTACTGTCCTGTCCCTTCCTCATCCAGAAAACTTCTATGCACCCTTCAAAACACAATGCAAATGTCCCTTTGCCATGGAAAGCTCCCCCAAGCCCTCCTGTGTCCTCCCATGTGAGCCCCTCACACAGAGCCTCGTCCCTGAGTATTTATCAAACATGAGTGTCCAATGAACAAGCAACGGCATCTCTTTATAAGTGAAGAGATGCCGGAATGCACCTGTGCTAGTCGTCATAGAGTGGTGGAAACAAACACAAAGGTGCCCTCAGAGAGATAGTAATCCAATAGTTATGCACATAGATGTAAAGTTTCAACTGGCACTGATACTTCAAGAACAATGTACACTGGGTGCTGATGGTCACACCTATAATCTGAGCTGCCTGGGAGGCTGAAATCAGGAGGATCACGTTTTAAGGCCAGCCTAGGCAAATAGTTTGTAAGACTCTATCTCCCAAAATAACCAGAGCAAAGTGGACTGGAGGTATGGCTCAAGCAGTGGAGTGCCTGCTTTTGCAAGTGTAAAGACTAGAGATCAAACCCCAGTTCCACGGAGAGAGAGAGAGAGAGAGAGAGAGAGAGAGAGAATGTACAAGTGTACCAGTTACGAAACACCCTACTTTGCAAAGGTGGAGGGATTCTTCGGGTATATTTAAGGTTCTAAATGAGTTGTTTTTGAGTTGATCAGACAGAGAGTAGCCTGGGTGGGCCTGGTCTAATCAGAGATACCATTGAAAAGATAACCTTGGGCCAGGGATGTAGCTCAGTGGGAGAGTATGTGCTAACCACGTGCACAGCCCTGGGTTTCAGCCCCAGAACCTCAGAGAAATGAACGAAGGAAGGAAGGAAGGAAGGACTGACTGACTCCTGGTGATCAAAGATTTTACAGGACTGAGAAATGCAGTTCCCGCTGGCTTTGAAGAAGGAGTCAGCTGTTTTGCCAAGTGGCCCTGGGGAGGGGTAGGTACCTAGGGGCTGAGGTTCACTTCTGACAGGTTCAATTCTGCCAGCCATCTGCATGAATTTGTATTCAGACTCAACTTCTCAAAGAGAAGCCAACGCAGCTGGCAAATATAGTGAGGCCCTGAACAAAGAACCCACTCACGCCATGCCTGCATCCTACTCCTCAGAAACAAGGGGATTAAAAAGCGGATACAGCCAGGTGTGGTGGCTCACACCTGTAATCCCAGCTACTCAGAAGGTGGAGGCAGGAAGATTGCAAATTTGAGGCCAGGAAAAGTTAGTGATATCTTGTCTCAAAAACAAAATACAAAAGGCTGGGGATACGGATCGAGTGGTAGAGAGCTTGCCTAGCATGCAGGAGGCGGTGGGTTCCATCCCTAGCAGCACATCCACACAAAAAAGGATGTTATTGTAACCTGGTAAATTTGCAGTGATTTGTTAGGGAGTAAAAATACGCCTATCACACCTATGGTGTAATCTCGCCCCAAATGTCCTCCTCCCCATGATGGTGACATACCGATGTAGGTTCACTCATTGTCACACAGTCTTTGCAATCTGTTGGTAGTGAAGGAGGCTGGCTGGGTGAGGGGAGGGGATCAGAACAGGGAGGGAAAGAAGTGGTACAACTGTGTACCTTCTACTCAATTTTGCTGTGAACCTAACGCTGTTCTAAAAAAAATAAAGTCTATGCTGAGCGTGGTTGCACATGCCTGTAATCCCAGCACTCAGGAAGTAAAGGCAGGAGGATCCAAAGTTTGAGGTCCACCTGGGTTATATAGCTAGATCCTGTCTCAAAAAATCCAAGGACTGGGGATGCGAGTCAGTGGTAGAGCACTCGCCTAGCCAGTGCAAGGCCCTGGGTTTGATCCCCCAGCACTGCAAAAAAAAAAAGTTTGTTTTTTTTTTTTAAAGTTCCCTTAAATCTAACCAAGCCTTGAAATAAAAGATTGGCACTTTTGTTTCCTAAATGGCAAGACTGTTAGCACTTTTGGCTTTGTGGCCATAGATTCTCTATTCCAGCTACCCAACTCTGCCACTGAAGACAGCTCTAGGCAAAACCCAGATAGGTGAGCATAGCCGTGTTCCAATAAAACTTTACTTACATAATCAGAATGTGGCTTGGTGGGAGAGTACTGGCCCAGCATGCACCAGGCCCTGGTTTTGAACCCCAGCACTGCAAAAAAGCCAAAACGAAACAAGTGGTAATTTTCCTAGGTGTAGGAGAATGACGTCATTCCTGAGAAACTTGATCTTGTGTGTTTGGGGGATGAGGTGTCTTCTTGTCACCAGGGCCAGGATGAGAGTGAGGATGGCGAGGCAGGTTGCTGACAAATGCAGCATCAACATTTCTGCTTTATATGAAATGTTGATATTTTGTTCTTTATGCATTTTTTAAAATTCATTTTGAGGTTTTTAAAAATAAAATCAGGGCACAGCATCATGGTACACAGCTGTAATCCCAGCTACTCAGGAGGCAGAGATCAGGAGGATTGAGGTTTGAAGCCAGCCTGGGCAAATAGTTGTGAGACCCTATCTTGAAAAAACCCATCACAGATAAGGGCTGGTGAGTGGATCAAGATGTAGGCCCTGAGTTCAAGTCCCAGCACTGCAAAAAAGAAAAACTTAAAACAATATAAACAGCCACTTGGAGAAGCACTTTATTAGTGAAAATTTCTATTCCAATGTTCAAATAACTACAGTCAGTGCTGTGTAGTGACATCTCAGTCAACAGTGACCACATATACCACGGGGGCCCAGAAAATTCTATGGCTGAGTGACTTCTGAGTTGTCTTAGCTTGTGTGAGCACAGGTTGTGATGTTCCCACAATGGTGAAGCTGCCTACTGATGTCCCCTGTGTGTCCCACATGTCCCCTGTAAGTGACATGGGACCGGACTTACATGTTGAGGCTGTAGAAATGGACACAGCATTTTTCTTTTTTGGGTGGTACTGGGATTTGAACTCAGGCCCTCCTGCTTGCTAGGCAGGTGCTCAACCACTTGAGCCACTCCACCAGCCCTTTTATGTGATTTTTTTTTTTCGAGATAGGGTCTCACAAACCATTTGCCCCTGCTGGCCTCAAACTTCAATCCTCCTGATTTCTGCCTCTTGAGTAGCAAGGACTATAGGAATGAGCCACCTGCACCTGGAGGACACAGAAATTTTAAACCAGAAGCTGTAGATGAAAACTTTTCTGTTACAACATCCATCTTATTTCTGCATTGGGTGAAACTGAGATCCACAGACAAGTGACAGCAAAAAGAGCTCCCTCCACAAGCTAAGTGGGTTCTGAAGTTAAATGGAGATGGTGGGCTAATCCTAAATCAGCAATCCACAGCACCCAAAATCTGCTGCTCTGAGATATGGAATCAGGCTAGATGCCCATCAGTGGATGAATGGAGTAAGAAAATGTGGCATGTATACACAATGGAATATTACTCGGTCATGAAGAATGAAACCTTGTCATTTGCAGGAAAAAGGATGGAACGAGACAACACTGTTAAGCCACACACAGAAAGACAAGTACTACATGCTCTCTCTCTCTCTCATATGCAGACATTCTTTAAATTGACTTGAAGCCGGGTGCCGGTAGCTCACGTCTGTAATCCTAGCTCCTCAGGAGGCAGAGACCAGGAGGATCAAGGTTCGAAGCAAGCCCAGGCAAGTAGTTCACAGGACCCTATCTTGAAAAACCCAACACAAAAAAGGGCTGCTGAAGTGACTAGGGTGTTAACAGCACCTGGCTAGCAAGTGTGAGGCCCTCAGTTCAAACCCCAGTGCTGCCAAAAAAAAAAAAATGTTGGCTTGAATATAGAACAGTGATTACTAGAGGTTGGGAAGGACAGAGAGGTTGAGTTAAAGGGAGGATGGATTTGATCTGTATGCTAAAATATTACATCAAACCCCCGTAACACGTACAATTAAGGCATGTTAATCAAAACTAAAATATACTTTTAAGAGTCTAAAAAAGCTGCTGCCTAATGCACCAGAGCACACACTTTGAAGTTACAGTTTCAAATATTTTGCAATGGAAGCCGGGCGCAGTGGCTCACACCTGTAATCCCAGCTACTTGAGAGACTTAGATGGGGAGGATTGTGGTTTGAGGTCAGCCCAGGCAAACAGTTTGCAAGACCCCATCTCCCAAATATCCAGAGCAAAATGGACTGGAGGAGTGGCTCAAGTGGTAGAGGGCCTGCTTTGCAAGTGGGAAACCCTGAATTCAAATCCCAGTCCCCTCTCACCTCATGTAGATAGATAGATAGATGCTTGGAATGCTAGTTTGGGAAATGAATAAATTCTAGATAGTGAGCTTAAAAGTCACATCTTCTGGGCTGGAGATGGAGCTCAGGGGTACAGCGCCATGCAAGACCCTGGATTCCATCCACAGAACCAAAAAAAAAAAAAACCCTCATTTTCTAAGGACTGATTTTTCTGCACCTCTGTCTAAAATCCATAGAGAGAGAAGGGCAGCACCTCTCTCAGAAAGTTCCCGAAGTGAGCAGGCCTTTCAAAATGCTCTGGACACAACAGAAAGATCCTTCTAAACAGAACGGAGTGTGACTGTGGGATTTGCTCAGATGGCTGAGAAGCAAAGCAGAGAGACGTCGTCGGGGGCCCTTTCCCTGCTGTCTGGGAGCCAGAAATAGGGCTGAGAACTGTAACGTGTATTAGCTTAATGTCAGTTTGAAGGACCAGAGGCACAGGCCAAAAGTGCTATCAATCTACAGCTGACCCAATCGTCAACTTTTAGAAAATGAGAATATTTGCCGGCTGCAGTGGCTCACATCTATAATCCCATCTACTGGGGAGGCTGAGATCAGGAGGATCTCGGTTTGAGGCCAGCTCAAGCAAATAGTTCTCAAGATCACATCTCCAAAATGGACTGCAGGTGTGGTTCAAGCAGTAGCGTGTCTGCTTTAGAAGTGGGAAGCCCCTAGTTCAAACCCCAGTCCTGCCCTCTACCCGCCCCGCCCCGAAAAAAAAGTGACCATTTGCATCAAAGTCTGGATTTGTGACTGCATATTGAGAAAGGCAGATCTGACAACTGGAGGCTGCTTTCACGGTGGTGATTTTGGGGGAGAATCCGAGAAGTCACGACCACCCAAGACAGGAAGGACATGGGCCCTCCGCGTTCCTGCCATCTCTGTCGCTCTCTGCTGCACACTCAGGCACAGGAAGTCATCTGTCCAAAAGGATTGGAACCTAAGACTCCTGGGTCTCACACCCTTTTCGTGGTTCTGGGATTTGAACTCAGGGCTTTACCCTTGCGAGGCAGACACTTTTACCTCTTGAGCCACTCCACCAGCCCTTTATTTGTGATGGGCTTTTTCAGGATAGGGTCTCGAAAACTATTTGCCTGGGCTGGCATTGAACTTGTGATCCTCCTGATCTCTGCCTCCTGAGTGGCTAGGATTACAGGCATGAGCCACTGGCACGCAGCTGGGTCTGACTTCTCAGCGCTCTCTTGTCCCTTAGGCTTGTGACAAATCACAGCCACCTCTGCCAGGCTCAGGTCAGTTTCCCCATGTGTAAAATCAGTGCAGAAATCCCACCCTTCCCCAGCTATGGCTCTGTACACTGACAAGCTCGATGGGCCGCATCAGGACGTTGGTCTGCCTCACATTCTTCCAGCCCCCCCTTTATCTGCCATGAGCACCCCAACTTCCCTGCCAGGAAGATCCTCTTCCATTCTCAAGTCCTCCTGGCTGAGCGACGTCATCTCCAACCTTAGCGCCCGCCTATTGGTGGGCGTTGGATCAAGCTAGCCAATCAGAGCACTGCATTGTCCCAGAGACAGTGATTGGTGCGGGAATGAGTATTGAGCCAACTGGGACCAATGGAGGCAGGGTTCGGCTCTGAACTCGGAGAAGACGGCAGCCTATTGGCCAGCGCGTTGCTAAGCTGAGGGCGGCAGATCTGAGAATGCAACCAAAAAGGAAGAACAGAAAAATGGGAGGGGTTCTGCAATCTGAGGCCTGGAGTCCCGATGCACGCCAGCAAATCAATCCTGTTTGTTGCAACCAGACAAAGTGGGGCCAAGTCACTGGAGCTCCATGTCCCCATCTGGTAGGAAGGGGGTTACACTATCAGGCAGACTTGGGAGCGTTTGTTGGGTTTTGATGCGAGGCCCTGGGCCATCTGTGATCCTGAGGCCTGGGGCGCCCCTGCAGCCATGGCCAGGTCCTCTCTCTGCCTGGACTTGACCATCCACACCGCCTTCTTGAAGCTCTTGAGCGGCTCCTGCTGGGACACTCTTGCTGAAGGGCACTGGAAACGCTCTCGAAGGACATAGCCATGTCTGGTAGGAGCTAGGAAGCCATTGGAGGTCGGGATGATTCTGTTGATCAGTGCGTGGACAAACTGGACGGTCAGCAGAGTGCCTGTGGGGATGACAGCAGGGTGGAAATGGGAAAACTGGGCTGCAGAGCCCCAGGTCTGCGTGTTCTAGAGTTCACTGCATGGAGGTCAAGTTCCTGCCGCAGTCCTTCCTAGCTAGGACTTGTCACCTAATCTCTGTAAAAGTGGGATCACAAAACCTACCTGCCAGATGGAATTTTAGGAGATTTAAAGACATTATGCAGATCAGGTGTTTGCAACAGGCCTTTGGCCCAGAGTGAACTTGCTATGATTGTTAGAAGACAAGTAGGAAGAGATGTTGTGAGCCTAGTCAGGATGAGCTTTTAAGGCCACAATCTTTTATTGATTTTTTTATTTTGTGGTACTGGGGTTTGAACTCAGGGCCTACAACCTTGAGCCACTCCACTAGCCCTTTTTTTGTGATGGGTTTTTTTGAGATAGAGTCTGGCAAACTGTTTGCCCGGGCTGGCATCAAATTGTGATCCTCCTGATCTCTGCCTCCTGAGTAGCTAGGATTACCGGCACCTGACAAGGCTGCAATCTTTAGACTTTAGCCTCCGAACCATCTGTGATTTTTTCTCTACAAACTGTTAGACTGCAGCATATCACATTTCAACATGTTAGACTCTACCTGAAGGTTATTCAGCCACTTCATTGTGACCCAGAACCTCTCTGAACCTCAGTTTCTTCATCTGTCAAAACAAAGATTGTGAGGACACTTGCACTGGTGCCAATGTCACAAGGGTTCAGAGAACCCTTGTGACAGAGCTTTCTCTACAGGAGTCAGCAAGCAACAGCAGCAAACTCTGGAGCCAGGCAGACCAGCTTCAACCTGCAGTCAACCACTGGCGAAAGTCACTGCGTGTGATCGTGGACAAGTCACCCACCTCTCAGAGCCTCAGTTTATGCTTTGTGAAATGGGACAAGGGTGATGGTGAGAGAATGAAGTCACTCAGGATGTGAACTCTTAGTAATACGACCTTGTCTGTGCTAATCCCAGACACATGGGATTTTTCAAAGTGGTTGGTCTTAAAAACCGGTGGCCTGTAAATTTACAGAGCCTGGGACAAGAGAACAGATACATCTACGTGCCCATGTCACGTCATACAAGTCACGATAAACGGTGCAATCTGATGTCTAAACTGGCAGGTTAGAAAACGTGTAATTCTAATTCTACATTGAACAAAATGCCTTCGGGCCAGGTTCAAATTGAGAACTCTCAGGGTTGCAATGCAGCAGCAGGTGACAGCCAGCCTCTCACAGTCCCCCCAATGTTGTGGCTTGTCCCCCATCTCTTCCCACCCCCAGCTCCATTGTCCATCTCAAGGAGGCCTCATACATATACGTGTGAACCCCTGGCCCCAGCTCAGATATCCAAACCCCAGCCACAGCGCTGCACGGTCACATCCCAAGTATGGGGGTGCACACACCCCAGGAAACAGTCCACTGTCGGCAAAGCTCTAAACAGGGGTCCTGTGTTGGTCCTAAAAGGGGCTCCAGGCACTGAAGAGGGGTTCTAGGGTGCCAGCGCAGGGGCCCAGCCCCTTGGACAATAGACACCTCCCTGAGCAGAGGGACCCAGCTACAGCCACAGCACGGTCGCCATGACCCTGGAGCAGAGAGGCTCCTTTCTCTCCAGACCCAAAGCCAAAGGACTCACCGTCCAGTGCACTCCAGACAGTCACCGAGCGGTCCTTCAAGCCCACGTACACGAACTTGTCACACTGGGAAAAGCAGGCACATTGAGCTCCTTGGCAGTAAGAGCTCTGAAAAACACACCGATGACCTTGATCACCGTCTGAAAGACTCCCAGGAGATGAACCCCATGTTTCCAGGCCTGGGAGCACCCCACAGGGACTGGGTGAAAGGAAAGCCTGAAGATGTGGGGTTTGGGAGACTTAGAGACATCTTGCATGAAAATTATAGGATTCAATTTTTTTTCTTTGGTGGGACTGGGGTTTGAACTCAGGGCTTTGCATTTGCAAAGCAGTTTCTCTACCACTTGAGCCACGCCTCCAGTCCATTTTGCTCTGGAGATGGGGGTCTCAAGAACTAGTTGCCTGAGCTGGCCTTGAACTGCGAGCCTCCCTAACTCAGCCTCCCAAGCAGCTAGAGTTATAGGCATGAGCCATTGGTGCCCCACTATTTCTCCTTTTCTTTTTTGACTTGAGGTCTCACTGTGTAACCCAGGTTGAGGTCCCCCTGCCTCACCCTCCTGAGTGCTGGGATTACAGGTGTGCACCACCACACCTGGCTGATTGCTGAGTTGTCTGAAACCCCCTTAAACTTTGCTCACTAGGCAAGTACCTTCCTCCCCTTACCCTGGGGTCCCCATCCTGGTCAATGGCACATGCACTTAGTAATTGACGGCTATTTATCTGTCTTGGAAAGCCAGGGCTTAGCAGCAATGCGGTGTGGGGCCACGCACCGTGTAGGTCATCTGGAATTTCCACTTGCACACCTGCAGGTCCCACAGGCACAGCAGGGCATCCTCTGACCCGCTGACTGCCAGCTGCTCCTTGTGGCTGACCTCCACACATGTGACCTTGCTCCTGTGGGCCTCCAAAGGGAACACTTTGGAATTCACACATTCATAAAGAAAGAGGTCCCCGTTGGTCATGCCGTAGACCACACGGTAGTCGGCCAGCACGGCCACGCTGGCTATGGTCTCAGGCAGCTGGGTATAAAAGGTATAAATTGGCCCATCGATGACCGGACAGGGGTCACCAGGGCTGACGTCCAGCACCAGGACGATGTTGTCATAGGCTATGGCCAGATGGTCCTCGCTCTTGCTCAGGGACATACAGTTGATGGCTTTCCGAGCCTCAGGAGGGGGGATGCATATGACATCTTGCCTGGACTCCAAGGGGAACACGAGGACGGTCCCCGAAACCAGGCCAGCAAAGAGGAGCTTTGTTTGCTCAGCCACCTCCAGACACCTGACCTCATTGGAAGTGTCCAGACAGTCTTGTTCCTCACCTGCATGGGGACAAGACAAGGAAGAGGTCACAGAGGTGCTGGCTTCCTGGTTTGACTACTTTTAAGGGTTTTTTTTTTTTTGGCAATACTGGGGCTTGAACTCAGGGCCTACACCTTGAGCCACTCCACCAGCCCTTTACTGTGATGGGGTTTTTTTTGTTTTTTTTTTTGAGACAGGATCTCCCGAACTATTTTCCTAGGCTGGCTTCAAACCATGGTCCTCCTGATCTCTGCTTCCTGAGTAGCTGGGATTACAGGAGTGAGCCACGGTGCCTAGCTGAGATCAAGGATTTTTAAATGCTTTCATTACTCATATCTTCAATTTGGATGTGGACATTTCCCTGACTACATCCCCCACCCCACGCTGTGCATGGACCCCCAGGGCCTCAAGCATGCCAGACCAGCGCTCTACCTCTGAGCCACATCTCCAGCCCTCTCTAAATTTTATTTTGAGACAGGCTCTTGCTAAGTTGCCCAGGTTGGCCTCGAACCTCACGTGTGTAGCACTACACCTGGCCCATGTTGAAATTCTAACCCCAGTGTGATATTAGAGGTGAGCCTTTGCAGTTAGGGGGCTGAGGGTGGGGTCCTCCGGAATGGGATTAGTGGCCTTGTAGGAAGAGACACTAAGCCTGAGTCCCTGAGTTCAATCCCCAGTGTTGGTAGAAGGAGGAGGAGGGAGGGGAAGGAGGAAAGAGAACAAGAAGGAAGACAGAGAGGAAGGAGGAGGAGGAGGAGGGAGGAGAGACAGGAAAACTTGCTCACTCTTGTTCCCTGGTCTGCCATGGAGCTTTAGAAGAAGTCAGCCATCTGCAAACCAGGAGTCCACCCTTATGGATCCCAGAGGCCTTGCGCCTTAACCTTGGGCCTCCGGCGTCCAGGACTGTGACAAGGCCTGCTGGTAGCCTCAGCCACCCCGTGTACAGTGATCTGTTACCAGAGCCCGAGCTAAGACGGGGACTTCAGTTCTTACCCGCACAAATGTCTGTACCGATCACTTACAAACCTTCTGCCAAGTCCCAAATGGTGACTTTGTTTTTGTCACCAATCTTGGGGAAGTAGATGTAACTTCCGTTGTGGGACACAGCAGTGAGGCCGGTGCGGTCCAAGAAGGGAGCAGAGGTCCGAGGCCTCTGAGCGTAGGTGACATCCCAGACTTTGAAGGTTGAAGACTGCTGGGACGCAGAGGCCACCAGAGTCCCTCCCCGGACCAGCAGACTCATGGGGGCCCCGACACCTTCGAGGACATCCAGGAGGGTCCCCTGTTCCGAGAGACTCCACACCTGGGAACAGAAAGCAGGAGGACAGTGGAATTGTCCAGAAGCTAGGTGACACATATTAGCACCACAGCCGTGAGAATCAAGGCGTCTTCTAAGAGCTCAGCGTTAAATGGGTTTGAAAAAAATGCAAAACAGTGACTCTCCGCTCATATGTGTAACAGGGTTTATTACTTGTGGTTCTGACCAAGCACGGCCAAAATAATAATAATAAATTATTTAAAATTTAATAATTAAAAAAAGAAGAAGAACCAGGTACCAGTGGCTCACGCCTATAATCCTAGCTACTCAGGAGGCAGAAATGAGGAGGATCAAGGTTTGAGGCCAGCCTGGGCAAATAGTTTGAGAGACCCCATCTCCAAAATATCCAATGCAAAAAAAGGCAGGAAGGGTGGCTCAGGTGGTAGAGCGCCAGCCTAGCAAATTTGAGGCCCTGAGTTCAAATCCCAGAAGAAATTTCAAAAACAAAAAGCTTAAATTCCCCTGCATGCACTGAGCAGCTTGGTTGATGCCCTACTTTGGGGGCACCATTCGCTTTTGGGGAGGGCGGAGTGTCACAGGAGGAAGCTCAGGGGAGCACTCAGCAGGTCACCCAGCGCTTTTTTTTTTTTTTTTTTGCTTTTTTTTTTTCTATTTTTTCCTTTTTTTTTTTTCTCGGTGCTGGGGACCGAACTCAGGGCCTTACACTTGCCAGGCAAGCGCTCTTCCACTGAGCTAAATCCCCAACCCCTCACCCAGCGCTTTTAACACAACTGATGACGCTGCAGGACCCCAGCTTCTCCCCATCCACTGGGCTGCAGGATGCGTGCGTGGAATTTAAAATTCTTGCTTTTGCAATTTCTCTGAATTTTAAAAAATTTCTTATATTTTTGACCGTGCTTGGATCAAAGAAGTCTTTACTTGGTGGCATTGGAGACCTGGCTTTGACGACTTTGAATGTGTGGACAACCCTCCTCCCCACCCTCCCCCAGCCCTGATCCACCCTGAAGGCCACCGTCTTGCACATTTCAGGTCCAGTGGAACCTCTGCCTCCTTGGCCGAGCACGTCAGTCATTCCTGCCACATCTGCTGGGGCCCAGGAGACCTCCCGCCCCCCCTTCCTGTGAACAGCTTGGTTTTCATTCTGTGGTTTGCTGTGCTGTGCACACAAGAGATCCGTAAAGAATCACGTTTTCTGTTCCAGAGGTGGAGATGGGGCAGAGGGGTCCTGGATCGAACCATACCTGAATGAGTGCATCCCGGGACCCAGTGAGAATCAGGTTGTTTTCAGGACCGAACACAGCCGTCTCTACCACGTCCTCATGTGCCAGGTCGGTGGCCATGAATCGGTGAAAGCCCTGTGAGTCAGCCAGGTACACCCGCACGGATGTCCCAAAGCCTAAAAACACAGCGACAGCGTTACGCTGCCAGCCTGGCACAGCTGGAGAGCAATTTATTCGGTCAACAAAGGCTTTTTGTCACCCCCACTATGTGCTAGAGGAAGGACAGTGGGGATGAAGAAGGAAGATGTGGTCCCACCTTCACACGATGAGGGACACAATGCCAGTCATCAGGCCCCTTGGGGAAATGTGTAAGGATTTTATTGTCACAACAGTGAGTTTCTGGAGGGCAGGTTTGGCCAATATGGCCTCCCAGAGTCTGACAAGGAGCAGGCCTTCTGTGAGAGTGAAGGGAGGGACAGAGGGACAGAGGGATGGAGGGAGGAAGGGAGAGGGAGAGAGAAAGGAGAGGAAGAAGGAGAGGAAAATGAGGGGAAGAAGGAGGAAGGGAGAAAGGAAGGAGGAAGAAGGACAAGAAAGACAGAGGAAAACAAAATGGTTAAACATACGACAAGAGCAACTGAGACAGAGGAAAAAGATGCCAACGCCACACCGTGGAGAAGGGGACCTGCAGACCGAGGCGGAGGCTGGGCAGATGGGGCCACAAGCCAACGAGTGCTGGCCGCGCTGAGCGAGGCCAGGAAGGACCCTGCCAGACACGCTGCACAGGGACTCTAGTCTCTACAACGGTGACAGCATCAAGTCCTGACATTTGAAGCCAGCCGGTTTGTGGGGGGGTCTGTCAGGGCAGCCCCAGGACAACTGAGCTCGGTTTGGAGCATGAGGAGGTGGCAGCCAGTGGAAAGGTGGGAATTGCCTGTGCTAACCAGAAGGTAGAAAGGCCTGGGCACACGTGGGGGGGACAACAGGGTGGACAGTGTGGCTGGATGGAGTGAAAGAAAAGAGGAAAGATGACCAGATTTAACAAGCAAACAAAAAACCCAAGCTACCCAGTGAATTTTTTTTTTTTTTGGTACTGGGGTACACCTTGAGCCACTCCACCAGCCCTTTTCTGTGACCAGTTCACAAGATAGGGTCTTGTGAACTATTTGCCTGGGCTGGCTTCGAACCACAATCCTCCTGAGTAGCTAGATTACAGACAAGAGCCACCAGTGCCTGGCTCCCAGTGAAATCTTATAGACATATATATTGGCAGTACTGGGGTTTGAACTCAGAACCTCACAGTTGCTAGGCAGGTTCTCTACTGCTTGAGCCACTCCACCAGCCCTATTTTTGTGATGGGTTTTTCTAGATAGGGTCTCACAAAGTATTTGCCCAGGCTGGCCTCAAACCACGCTCCTCCCCATCTCTGCCTCCCAAGTAGCTGGGATTACAGGTGTGAGCTACAGTGCCTGGCAACCACTCATTTCTTATTAGTATAAGTGTATCCCAAAGAATTACACAGATACACTCATCCTCAAACCTTGATTTGTGGCTTACTTATCTGAAATTTAGATTTCTCAGAGGCTCCTGTATTTTACTTGGCAGCTGTACCCAAAGGTACTGGCTCAGTCAAGTTCCAAATGTGACAGTTCCCCTTGGCACCAGCAGCTCAGGGCTGGCTGTGGACACTGTCAGCATGGACTCCACTTGGGAGCAAGGTAGACAAGCCATCAATGAACTCTTCCAGATGTCCAGAAACAAAATATCGTTGGCAAGCGCACAGATATTCTGAGGCAAGGCAGTATGGTATTTGAGAACACAGAGTCAAAACAAGATCATGGGTTCAAATCCCGGCTCCTCTGCTCAGAGCTGGGTGACCTCAGGGAAGTTACCTAGCTTCTCTGTGCTTAAGATTCCTATCTGAAAATGGACTAATGAAGGTGCTACCTGGAGAGTAGAGGAGTTCATATCTATAAATCGCGAAGGACCGGTCCTGACAAGTTGCAAAGAGCTAAGTAGCCGCCATTATTGTCACAAAAGACTCTCACACTGAAGGTCTGTGAAGGGACATACGTCCCCTGAGGTCAGCCTCCTGACAGCCCCGGGCCAGGTCACGTCCGTGGGAAGCTGGGGGTTGAGTCTTGTCGCCCGATTTGTTTTTATGGGATTTGTTTTTATTGGGCGTTCGGGAAGGTGTCTGAAGAACTCATCAAAATTCTTCCCCTGGCAGGGGATTTGCATCTGTGCTTGGCCCAGCGGGCCTCAGTTGTGCAGACTCTAGATGCCCTGCCTCATAACAGGGGTCTTTAGCCGGGCGCCGGTGGCTCAGCCTGTAATCCCAGCTACTTGGGAGGCTGAGATAGGGAGGATCGAGGTTTGAGGCCAGTCCAGACAAAAAATTCTCGAGACCCCCCATCTCCAAAATAGCCAGAGCAAAGAGGACTGGAGGCCTGGCTCAAGTGGTAGGGTGTCTGTTTTGCAAGTGCAAAGTCCTGAGTTCAAACCCCAGTCCCACCTAAAGAAAGAAGTGGTCTTTGTGTACCAGGGACTTCGTGTCACCCTAGGTTGTAACAAAAATACCTTCCTGTGGGAACTTTGGGAGCTGTTCTGTCACCATGACCTTGGGAGGACTGAGTCTAAGGTCAGTCGTGCCCATGTGACCAAACTCACCCACACCGAGGCTCGAGGGAATGTCCCTGGCTGGCACCATGCCGCCACGTGTGACTTGTCCCATGGGAGAACTGCGAGCTGTCGGCGGGGCAGGGCAGGGGAGGGGAGGCTCACCCCTCTGCCCGCACCCTTTGCTGGTTTTCATCTACGTCCTTTGTTGCCATCAGCTGTGGCTATGAGTGTGACAGCTCGTGATTTTCTGGGCGCTGGAGACTCACAGAACAGAAGGTGGCCCTGGGGTCCCCGAGCTCCAGTTCTATTCATGAGCCTGATCCTAGCTGAGTCAGGATGGGGTCGGTGCTTCCAGCAAGAGGTGGGGGTCCCCACACTGCCAGGCTCCCTCCTCTCTCGGGCTGCTGGAGAGAACCGTGCCTGAAACTCCAGGTCGCTCGGATCCTCCACGCCTAGCCTCAGTCTTATTTTATTTCGTGCCTCTCACTTCATTCCTTTTCCCTCTGACATATTTTACGCTTAAGCCACTGACAGTCCTTCTGTTTTGTTTGCAGTACTGGGATTTGAACTCAGGGCCTTTGCCTTGAGCCACTCCACCAGCCCTTTCTTTCTTTTCTCTTTTTTTTTTTTTTGAGGTACTGGGGCTTGCACTCAGGGCACTCAGCCCTTTTATATGTGAGGCATTTTCGAGATAGGGTCTTGAGGAATTAATTGCCTGGCTTAGAACCGCGATCCTCCTGATCTCTGCCTCCTGAGTGGCTAGGATTACAGGCGTGACCACTGGTGCCTGGCTGACAGTCCTTTTGGAAACAGGATAGAGGGGATACAATCACAATCAGCCAGTCTAGGATGGGTGGATCTACTAGACCTGAGCTGTCTGATGTCACCAGGCCCCGGGGCTGTTCACCTGCTGCTCTGAAATCAAAGTGTTTCAAAAGTGTAAAATACCACATTTTGGGAGGAGGTGGGACTGGGGCTTGAACTCAGGGCCTCACGTTGCTAGGCAGGTGCTCTTAGCACCTGAGCCACCCCGCCAACCCCCCCATTCTTGGGTGCCGGGGTTTGAACCCAGGGCCTTGCTCATGCTAGGCGGGTGCTCACCACTGAGCGGCACCCCCAGGCTCTGCCACCCAATGTAGACTCTGTCCCCAAAACAACGAGAGCCGGTGCTACCTGCAGCAAGAAGGGACTCATCCTCAGAGACCGCCAGGAACCCCACGGCTTCTGGAAGCTTCTCCAGCAGTCTGTCTCCTTCAGAGGAAATCTGTGCAGAGACAACATGGCCATCAAGCACATTCACGGGATGAGGAGCTCAGCTCTGACCCGGGCCTGCCACCCACCAGCTCGGAAATGCTGTCACCCTGAGCGCCTCTGTGTCCCCTGTCAAATGGGAGGCAGGGGCGAGGGAGGAGGTGGTGTTGGGATGTCGGGAGGCGATGGGGACCTGTTAAGAGGTGGGTCCTGGAGGGACGTCCTTAGTCATGGGGACATGCCCTCTGTGAGGGTTTGGATAGGGACTGAGTGTGTCCTCCAAGTTCCTGTGTTGGAACTTACTTTCATTGTGAGGTACTAAGAGAGTAGAGGCCAGGCGTGGTGGTGCATGCCTGTAATCCCAGCTACTCCAGCGACAGAGGCCAGAGGATCAAGAGTTTGAAGTCAGCCCGGGAAAACATGTTGACACCCTACCTCAAAAACAAAATACATTGGAGCACCAGTGACTCACGCCTGTAATCTCAACTACTCAGGAAGCAGAGACCAGGAGGACTGAGGTTCAAAGCCAGCCTGGCGAGAAGTTAGTGACACCCTATCTCAATCAATAGCTGGGCATCATAGCACACAGCTGTGATCCCACTACATGGGAAATGTGAACAGGATTGCAGTCCAGGTCTTCCCAGAATAAACAGGAGACCCTATCTGAAAAACGGGAGCCTGACTCAAGCTACAGCACCTGCCCAGCAAGTGGAAGGCCTCAAGTTCAAATCTCAGTGCTTCCAAAAGAGGAAAAAAAAATAAGAACAGGGAGAGAGACCCCCTGCCCACACACACACCCATGTGGTACCCTGAAGCATGTGGGGACTTTCCCCACAAGACCTGGGCCCTAGACCTTGGATCTGCACAAGTGTGAGCCAAATAAACCTCTTTACTTTATAACGTGCACAGTCTGTGGTGCTGTGTTACAGCAACCCTCAGAAGGGATTCTGGGATGGAGCTTGTTTTTCTAACCCCTTTTGTTTTTTGACAGTACTGGGATTTGAACTCAGGGCCCCATCTTCCCCCCTTCTTCAGTTTTGCCTCCTTAGCAAGACACAATAAGACATAAAAGGAACCAGATTTTCTTCCTTTTGCTGCCACCGTGAGCTGCTGAGGACCTCGGTTGAGCTGCTCAAGGGTAGGATTAGGGGTTCCCGTGGTTTAGATGTGGTTTGTTCTCCAGGCTTGGTCCCCAGTGCAATGGTATTAAAAGGTGGTGGTACCTTTAAGAGGAGGGGCCTCAAGGGAGGTGATTAGGTGGGGGAGGGGGCTCCCTGCCCAGGAATGGATTAATGTCGTACTTGAAAGGCTGGGTTAGCCGTCAGGACTGGTCAGGTCCTGCAGCGCTGGATCCGTTGCTGAGGGAGCAACGGATCTTTTTGCACACGCTCACGTCTTGTCTTGTTGCGTTTCCCCCGTCTGCGATTCAGCAGAGCCCAGAGTACGTGCTGGGCGGTGCTCTTTCTTGTTTCTTTGTTCCTTTCTGTCTTTGCCAGGCTGGGAATGGAGCCCGTGGCCTCACCCACGCTAGGTGACTGCTCCACCATCAAGCACAACCCAGCCCCTGTGCCTGCTCTTGAACTTGTCTGCCTCCAGAACTGGGAGCCAAAACAAACACCTATTCTTTATAAAGTTTGCAGCCTCGGGTACTTTGTTATAGCACTGCAAAGTGGACTGAGACGGACCCGTGTGTGTCTGCAGCCCATCTAGCCTCTAGCAGTGTGCCCAAGTCTCTCCACTGCCACTTATCCAACGTCCTGCTGCCACCTCAATTTCTTCTTCTTTCTTCTTCTTCTTCTTCCTCCTCCTCCTCCTCCTCCTTTTTTCCCTCTTCCTCTTCCTCTTCTTCTTCTTGGAGGAACTAGGATTTGAACTCAGGGCTTCACACTTGGAAAGCAGGCTCTCTACCCCTTCAGCCACACCTCCAGTCCATTTTGCTCTGGTTATTTTGGAGATGGGATCTGGAGAACTATTTGCCTAGGCTGGCCTCAAACCTTGATCCCCTCAACCTCAGCCTCCCAAGTAGCTGGGATTACAGGCGTGAGCCACCAGTGCCTGCCTCCCAATGGCTTCTGATTGCAAACACCTGCAACTTTGCACATAGTTTTTTTTCTCCCTTCCCACCGCACCCAGCAAGCTTGGCCCACGTGTTAGTGTGGTGGGTGGAAATCTCCAGCTGCCAGTCCCCCAGTGGGGACCCCAGTCCCCCAGTGGACTCCAACCCAGCCACTCACAAACACGGAATCCAGAAGCTACTGTCATTTGGTACTAGTTATAAAACAAGTCCATTCCTCCCCGCTTCTAGGACGCTGTGCGCTTTGAGATGCGTGAATGTTGGTGGCACCGTCACAATGAGTCACTTACCAAGGAGATGGAGCCGGAGCTAAACCCAGTAACCATTCTTCCTTGTTTCTGGACCGAGATGGCGCACGTGGGGGTCTCTTCTTTGATGCCGGACACGTGTCGCTTGCCCTGGAGTGTTCCGGTGGCCGAGTTCCACAGGGTGACCACACCAGCCTTGGACACCGTCAGCAGCCTGGACTCGAGCTCCAACACGGCCACACACACCCAGGGGTCAGAGGCATCTCCCAGGACACGGAGAGCCGGCTCTGCAGTGTCCAAATCCCAGGCGTTGACCTGAGCGAGTGAGGAAGATGAAAACGCGTCTCACTGGGTGGCTTAGAGCTCCCAGTGATTATATCCTACCTCCTCCTCACGAGCAGCCGGGACTACAGGCATGCACCACTGCCCCCAGCCAGATCACTTTTTTAAAAATACAGTTTGTTAACATTCAGTTGTGACAAACACACCCATGTTATATGAGGTTGGCAGTAAGGGAGGCTGGATGAAGGGTGGATGAGAACGCTCACTGCGTAACTTTTCCAGAGATCCAAAACTGTTCCAAAGGGCTGGCAGAGTGGCCCGAGTGCTAGAGCGCCTGCCTAGCAAGTGGGAGGCCCTGAGTTCAAACCCCAGTGCCACCAAAACAAAACAAAACAAAAAAACAGAGCACTATTTGGGAAAATGTCAAATATTTAGAGACAAATCACACACTTCCACATGGCCCACGGATCAAAGAAGAAATCAAAAGTGCAATCTGAAATTATCTTGGGATAAATGTGAATGAAAACATACATTAAAAGCTGTACAGCCAGGCATGGTAGCACACACCTGTAATCCCAGTTACTTGCCAAGAAGATCATGAATTCGAGGACAGCCAGGCCACATAGTGAGATCTCATCTAAGAAAATGTTTGTTTGTTTTTTAAAGTGTGGGATGTAGGAAAAATCATACTTACAGGGAAATTTATAACCCTAAAGTCTCGGTATTAGAAAGGTCTTAAATCTTACAGTCAGAAGAAATGTAATGAAAACCGTGTAATCCACCTGTGAAGTTTAGAACTTTCCAGCACCTGTCAGGCGGTGGGCACCCCGGCTTACCCCACGTCCCCCCATCTTGGCATGCTTCCCTCTGGGTTTCAGTGCACACACACAGTGGGTTGTTCACCACCTTTGATCCTGACACGGAATACACAGCTCTGTTTGCTTCGTCCACATGAAGGCTGCAGAGCTGAGGGTCAGCAGAACTCGCCGAGCCCCCATCCCAAGTGGAGAATTTCTCCTGGCCAGAGAGTAAGTTCCAGAAGCGCAGTGTGTGGTCCCTGGAGGCGGAGATGGCCTGTGTCCCTTTGGCATACACCTTCACGCACGTCACCTTTCCTACAGCAGGACATGGCGGGGGGGTGGGATTAGCGGGGAACATTCTGTCCTTGCAGTTATCAAAATGACCATTACCTTCAAAACACCCTGGTTTAGCCAGACACCATTGGCCACACCTGTAATCCCAGCTACTCAGGAGGCAGAGATCAGGAGGATTGTGGTTTGAGGTCAGTGGGGGGAAAGAGTTGGTGAGACCCTAACTCAAAAAAATCCTTCACAAAAAAGGGCTGGTGGAGTGGCTCAGGGTGAAGGCCCTGAGTTCAAACCCCAGTACTGCAAAAAAAAAAAAAACCAATGAACTAAAGGAACGTCTTGTAAAGCTCCCAGCTTTGGAGCTTTTTGTTACGCAGCTCCAGCGGACTGATACAGAGCAAAGACCACAGTTTCAACGAGGAAAAGTCTGCAGAGTCACCATGTGCTGCGGGAACGAGGACGACATGGACCACTGACTCACACTTCCTGAGCCTCACCTGTGTGTCCCATTAGAGTGTGGAGCACCTGCTGCTCCTCCATGTCCCACACAGCCACCATGCCATCGTGGGTGCCAACCAGAAGCAACTTCTCCTCCAGGCTCCACGCCAGTGCGGTGACGCCTACAGACACACAGAGATGCCAGTGACAACCTCAGCTCCCACGGCCAAGGGTTCAGTCACGGGGTCCTCCACGGAGCCCCACTTCACAGATAAGAAAACTGAGACACATATGGGACCCAGTCCCTTGTCCCAAACCCCAGGGCCAGGATGTGATCCACATTTGGCTGTGACATTTGTGTTCCTCTTAGGTAGGCAAAAGGACCACACTATGGCTTGGTCCCTTGCTCAGGGGTCTCACCCAGGGCTGCCAGGAAATGTCTGGCTACGTTTTCAGTGCCACAGCTGGGGACACACTCTTGAGGCATCTGGGGGGTGGAGAACAGGGACACTGCTCAACACCCTACAATGCTGTTGGGACCCGGATCTCATTCTGCTTCTGTGGCCCTGAGGCCCTGCTGGCTCCAGGATTCCCCCAGCAGGCTGGAGCCCAGGCAGTAATAAGACACTAACAGTGTCACCCAAAATATGAAAGAAAATGGCCCTGGGCCTGGGCCCGGTTCCCCAAACCCGCATATAAACTCTGTCCCCTGAGTGCCTCACCGCAGCCCTGCCTGCAGAGATCAGCCCGTTTCCTCACTGGGCCTCGCCAGGTGACCCCACAGTGCACGGCAAGCTTCCCGAATACTTTAGACCGATTACTGTGGCACGTGAGGATCCCAAGCCACAGCCGCATCTCAGATGACTTGGGCACCCAACCTTGTGGGGTCTCCTCTGCCACTACAGGGTTTAGTGGGGTGCCCCACATGCATTCAATCCCCAGTACAGTTAACACACACACCGATTATCTTTGTACAGGGTGGGATGGCTGATGGGTGGATGGATGGGTGGATGGATGGGTGGATGGATGGATGGATGGATGGATGGGTGGATGGATGGACGGGTGAGTGGATGGATAGACGGAAGGGTGGATGGATGGATGGATGGGTGGATGGATGGACGGGTGGGTGGATGGCTGGGTGGGTGGGTGGGTAGATGGTGGATGGGTGGATGGGTGGATGGGTGGGTGGATGGGTGGGTGGATGGGTGAATGGTGGACGGGTGGATGGGTGGGTGGATGGATGGGTGGATGGTGGATGGTGGATGGGTGGATGGTTGGGTGGATGGATGGGTGGATGGGTGGATGGGTGGGTGGATGGGTGGATGGATGGGTGGATGATGGGTGGATGGGTGTGGTGATGGGGGGATGGATGGGTGGATGGTGGATGATGGTGGATGGGTGGATGGGTGGATGGGTGGTGGATGGGTGGATGGATGGGTGATGATGGTGGATGGGTGGGTGGATGGTGGATGGATGGGTGGATGGGTGGATGGATGGGTGGATGGATGGGTGGATGGGTGGCTGGATGGGTGGATGGATGGGTGGATGGGTGATGGGTGATGGGTGGGTGGATGGGTGGGTGGATGGATGGGGTGGGTGGATGGATGGGGTGGGTGGATGGGTGGATGGTGGATGGGTGGTGGTGGATGGTGGATGATGGGTGGGTGGATGGGTGGGTGGATGGGTGGATGGGTGGATGGATGGGTGGATGGGTGGATGGATGGGTGGATGGATGGGTGGATGGGTGGATGGGTGGATGGGTGGGTGGGTGGGTGGGTGGTGGTGGGTGGATGGGTGGGTGGATGGTGGATGGGTGGGTGGGTGGGTGGGTGGATGGATGGATGGGTGGATGGGTGGATGGGTGGATGGATTGGGTGGATGGATGGGTGGATGGGTGGATGGATGGGTGGATGGGTGGGTGGATGGGGTGGGTGGGTGGGTGATGGGTGGATGGGTGGATGGGTGGATGGATGGTGGATGGGTGGGTGGGTGGATGGTGGATGGGTGGATGGTGTGATGGGTGGGTGATGGGTGGATGGGTGGATGGATGGATGGGTGGATGGATGGATGGGTGGATGGATGGTGGATGGATGGGTGGATGGGTGGATTGATGGATGGGTGGATGGATGGTGGATGGGTGGGTGGGTGGGTGGGTGGTGGGTGGATGGATGGGTGGATGGGTGGATGGGTGGATGGGTGGATGGGTGGATGGTGGATGGGTGGATGGGTGGATGGATGGATGGGTGGGTGGATGGGTGGATGGGTGGATGGGTGGGTGGATGGGTGGGGTGGGTGGGTGGGTGGGTGGATGGGTGGGTGGTGGGTGGATGGATGGATGGGTGGGTGGATGGGTGGGTGGATGGGTGGGTGGATGGGTGGGTGGATGGATGGTGGGATGGATGGGTGGATGGATGGGTGGATGGTGCAATGGTGGCTGGATGGGTGGGTGGGTGGATGGGTGGATGGGTGGGTGGATGGTGGGTTGGATGGGTGGATAGGTGGATGGATGGGTGGATGGGTGGGTGGATGGATGGTGGATGGATGGTGGATGATGGGTGGATGGGTGGGTGGCGGATGGATGGGTGGGTGGGTGGGTGGGTGGATGGGTGGATGG